GTTCACCTTTCTTTCATGGGTCCTGCTATCCGACACTCGTTCAACCTTACGCTTTCTCTCGAGAAATCGTTATCGAAGGTATTGGATCTAGCCGGCAAAATATTGGCCATGAAGTCGGCGCGACCAAATTTGTTATTACGTGCCCCCCTGATAGAAGAAAAACGTTCGAAAGTGTTTCTCTTGAGAAAAGTTTGCAATGGCGAACACATGAAATGTCACGTCGTACCGGGATTAAATGTCGCCCTGCACTACGTAATTGCAGTACGCAATGGTATTATCCCGGAGAAACGGTTATAATAGAAGTTTCTGTACGTGCACCTTCAGCATTTCTCTTTATACGTGTGTTAAAAGTTCTTTGAAATAAAATGTTACAAAACTTTAACAGACATGTAATTTGTTACATAAAAAGTCATCTTTAAAAAAAATTAAACTAATTTTAATAAAGTATTTAGAAAGCATGATATATAATATATATAGAATAGTCTGAATAGTATATTAATAATACAATAATAATTAAGGAAAATTAATTAAGAAATTATTTAATAATAATAAAATATTAGAAAATGTTAAGTAAAAGAATATTGTAAACAATTTACTATTATGTAACAACTTTTGAAACGTCTTCTTGAATAAAAGACCTTTTTAAACTTCTTTGTTAATAAAATAAAATTCAAGGTTCAATATGATCAAGGTTCTAGATGATTCTTTGAAAGCAGATGTAACATACGCATTATAAAGTAAAAATAGAAATTATACCTGGAAAAAGTTGCTACCAAGGGAAGTAGAAAATACCTGTGATCGATTACGATTCACATGTTATTTCGAAGGTCACGTAGATGTAATTGTTCCGGTATGCCTGGCTTAGGACATCTCCGCGAAAGAGTCATGTTAAAAGGAGTCCGTTAAGAAAAATTCGCGCCGACATACGCATCAAATGTCATAGTACGCGCGATTAAATGTCGCCATGTTGTACAAAGTAATGGTATTATTCAAACTAGCCATATAATTATGGTAATTGTATGACAAGATTTGCAGTACGCAGCGGGTAAACGTGAGATTTACATGCTTTATTAAAATTCAATTGATCACGCACGCTGTGTGCACGGACATACTTAATACGAAAACATTATTTAATGAGCTGAACGATATACACGAAATTACACAATTTACAGCAAAGCCGAGGTGCATATAACCACTGCATAATGAGTTTGCCGAGTGTCGAGACGTCGAGTATCAATTTCACATTACATAACAGAAGAGAAATAAGAGGCGAGAAAGAGACGAACAGGCAGAATTGAAGTGTGTCTCGTATCCGCGCTAGTCCACACAAACTTTCTTATTCCGCCCCGTAGCCTCGCTTCCGGTTGTGTAACAGGCGCCTACGCCACACGTTGCATCTACTGCGTGTATGCATCACTCTCTTCTCCTCCGCTCTTTCTCTCTCTCTCTCTCCCTCCCCCTCTCTCTCTTCCTTTTTCGCCGTCTTTTCCGCGTGCACTCGAGCACCCTCGTGTTACGCGTTATGTGTACCTCCACAAAAGATCACCAGTTTTATATGAGCTTTTTTAATAGAACTCGTATAAAAAGGAAGGCAAAGGATACACACACAGAAGGAAGAGAGAAGACCCGTGCAGCTTGTCGATAGTTCGACAAACGCTGGTAGTTTTTCAGTTGCCGGCCGACTGTCCATATATACCAGAAACAGAGAATACGAATGCAGGAAGTAACGTATCCTGCATGCGACCGATAGCTTAAGGGCCCTCGTGTGCTCTCTTCCTCGTCTAGATCAATTTGCCCACCTGCGTGACGTATGTCCCTTCCCGATATCTTCATATACGTTGACAAGATTGGGAGACTTTAATTACACTGTATCTTCCCGCTGTGCGAGTAACGATACATCGCGCATCGAAGTGAATGCTGCATTAAGTATCTTTGCGATTCTCGCCGTAGGTCTTCTTCGTAAGAAGAATAATTGCGTGTAAATTGTAAATCATCCGCGAAACTCGAGTACATAATCCATTTCTCTCAATGATGTAAGAAAAACTTAGAGTTCGGAAAAATATTTTCTTCGATGAATAATTCGATAATGAATTGTGAAATTATTTATTACAATTCCACGTTGTTATTCACAGACCTGCATAATTCAGATTATAAATGAGTCGGATACAAAACGAAGGAAGAAGAAGCGCGGTTTTGGTCGACCGTGAGAATGTGGTCGCGCAAGAGAATCTGGAAACCGCTCTCTTCGGAGAGTTTCGGAACGTATTAAGGGCAATCGTAGGAAACGGAAGGATATTTTCCATGAAGGGTTGAGGAAAGCATTTCTATTTTGTCACAAAACGCATTTATCATACGCAAACTTTGACAAGGGATAAGATTGATGAGTCTGAATGTATTTTGATTTTATTGGAAGATAGAAGAGATTTATTATTGCATTGAAAAAAAGAAAAAAAAGCGGTATTATTTGTTTGAAATTATTTCAAATTTATTTTAAAATAAAACAGATATATAAATGTCTTATATATATATATATATATATATATATACACTAAAATTCCTTTTTTTCATTAAACTTATCTTTTTATCATTATTTTATATTATTTAAGTAAATTATTATTGCGTGAAAGTATAAAGCGCACATAAACAAGCTGTTTTCGTACATGTGATTAAAAAAAAAAAGAATTTGTTGGACCATATTTAATTTATGCAAACATATAAAAATATTATATTACTCAATGTAATACTATAATGCACATATAAGTATGCGATTTAGATTCGTGCGAATACCTGAGTCTTTAGTGGAATGTGACATTTTCCGTCAACGTTAAAATCTCCCGATAGGATGGGAAAGAGTTTTATAATGCTTTACAACGCGGAAATGCAATGGAAATCGAAGGTATATCTGAAAGAAATTTGCAATCTAATAGCACCAATCATTGCACGTAAAACTTGATCACGACGTGAACGATTCTTTCTACGTAATCGCCACACAGCGTCATATGCGGGTACCCGGAAACTTTCCGTTCAACACTGTAGATCCATACTATGATTATTAAAATAATACACGTACTTTCAGCAACATTGTTAGCGTAATGGAAGGTTTCACAATCGCGCACGATCTTGAGGATGCGATAAACACGCTTTCTAAAGAATATGTGCCCTACTCGGCGCAGGATATTGGCGTATGCGGAGGCAAATTGCTTACGTAAAAAGGGATCGTATGCAAAGTAGATGCATCCTGCTGTTGATTCCGCAGATCTCTTTATCTCAAGTGTTCTCAAACGAACAGAAATCGCGCTTTCGATGAATCAAGCTGATGCGATTCTTCTTCGCTTTCACTGATTGCTTTTACTTATTTCATATGTGATACATATGATGACACGGCGAAACATGTTGGGAAGAAAAAAGAAGGATTTATTTATATGATTTATTCATTTATTTTTTTATGTGTGTCGATAAGAAAAAGGAAGGATTTACATATTTTATGCATGATGCTTCTAAGCTAAAATGTTCCAAGAAACCTAAAACCCAAAAAAGATTATTTCTTGTGCCTTTAGAATATTTTAAGCTTTTTCTGACCAACGGATATTGTAAATCCGTTTCGTAAATCCTTTCCTTCTATTATCCCAATTTTACCTGATAGCTTATTTTAGAATGCATCAAGATATTTACTATGTCTTTCAAACTTCTGGCAATGTGGCTTTTTTTGATTCCAAAAAAAGTGAAAGTGAAAGTATTGCTTTAACGAAAGAGCATAAGCTGCATATTCTTAAGAGCAGTGTTTGATGGGAATAAAAAATAATCTGTCCAAACAAATAGGGAATTAAATTTTTGGTTTTCTTAAAATTTACATATAAAAACGTATCATAATCTTTTAACATTACATATAATAAATTGTTCTTAATTAATTATGATAACAATTATGACAGAGATTAAATACATTAATCTGCAATATAATACATGTTATTCTGAATATTTTATTTTAATTATTCTATCTTAACAATTAATATTCTAAAAAATATGACTTATAATTTTGTTATATCTATCGGTGTAATAAAATGCTTTTCTATCTGTTAATCAGAATGGGAATTATTTCCAGTGAAAATTAATTATTCGAACTCATCTTTATAATATTTAAAAATGTAAATAAGTTAATTATGATTATATCTTTGTAATTAAATATTTATAATATAACGCTGGTATATTTAATAAAATTTTAAAGTTATTTTCCACAAGAAATAACAACAATTTATAACAATAATTATCGATAAAGAAGATTTATCATGTAATCCATGGATCATTCTCAATGGTTTCTTACATTGTAAGCGCCATCTCACTTTGTTCTCTTTATTTGACCATGATATTGTAACAGTATTACCAGCTGGAGAACGTACAGTTTTCAAAACTTAAATGCCTTTTAAATAAAATATAAACTTTTGTCTAATTAAAAATTAGTAGTTAATTATGCATTTTAATTAAAATAACATAAGTTATCAAAAATTAATGTAAAATATGTCTTTTTATTCATTTTTAAAATATAATAAGATATTGTATAAATATAATTTAACAAATTAAAAAATTTAAGTAATATTGATATCGTCAGACTTACTTCTAATTATTTAGGTATATTATGAATTATATTTTTGATAATATTGCAATCATATTTATAATATGAAGTTTAAAGGAATGGCAACAAATTTTACATATAGCACAGCACAGCAAGCATCTTACAGGGGCTTGATGAATCCTGTTAGAGATTAAATTATACAAATATATATATTATTTACAAATATAGTTTAAAGTAATTATATTTTCTTTAAATAAATAATTTATTTTTTGTTTGAGACATTGAAAAAATTTCAAAATAGAATTATAAAAAGAATAGATATATACGAAATATCATTTTATTTTACAAAGAATGTTTTTTATTAACAAACGTGAAGATAATAATAAATAATTATGTTACACGAAAAATAAATAGTCAATGTCCACCGAGAAAATAATTTTGTATCGCCTCGCAAATATATTCGGCAACGTACCTGTATATTTACAATATTATATACTTTGATGCATGCAAAGATGTTCAGTGCTAATTATCCTTCGACGCGTACATGTTACACTCAAAGGAAAATGGTGAACGGCTTTGTCGATATCGCAAATAATTTTTTTTTTTTAATTTAATCTTATTTACCACATATTCCGAATGTCATGCATATAGCAATTCAGAATTAGAGGAAATATCACGGATTCTTAAACTTAATCAAAAATTTAATTAGCACAACTAATTTCTCGATAAGCTAATAAATCCGCCGTCGAGCTGAATGCAAGTTTTGTTGAACCGATAAAACGATTCTACGATTATAGTCGACACGGTACCGACAGTCTTTGAATGTGGCGCTCTCGTTAACGAACCTGACATCGCGTCAGCATCGATCGTCAGCGAGCTACTTGATTATTTGGCATGCGTTTCTTTGGTCGTATCTTATGTTCCGACGTACGATCGGGAATGCGTTCACGAGGGCAACATCGGACGATTGATCGATTGCGTCGTTAGTGGGACATTAGAACGAGTTCAGTTGTAGTTCGTTGAGCTGCTTGAAGATGAGGACGATGAAGAGGATCCTACTGAGTTGTACGAGCTAGAGCTGCCGCCGGGCGAGTAATAGCTGTAAGCAAGATTTTGTGCCTCCACACTATTGGTTGGCGTCCAAACGCGGGAATAAGGACCATTACCATCCCACGTATTGACAGGATCATAACTCGACGTCGTCGAGAGCAAAGGTGGAGCACCATATGTTGATGCCGGTTCCATAGACATTCCTACGATCGAAAAATTTCACTTTTCACGCATTCCATGAAAATTACATAGCGCAAATGTGTACTTTCTTTTATGTTACAATTATTCTCTATATTTTAATATAAATCTTTATGTAAACTTTTCTTTATGTGTTAAAAATGTATATCGAAATGTTGTATAATAATACTCTTATAGAAAAAAGAGAAATATTGTTTTGTATAATTAAATTGAGAAAAGTGAAATTATTTTAGTAGTAGCGAGATATATAGTATCTGTAATTTTCGTAATAAATATAGAAAATTATTTTTATATTAAATAATACAGATGCTGAAGTGAATTAAATATATGTATATGTATATATACGCACCCATTGGCATCATCATGCCACCTTTCTTGAAGAACTGTGAGACGACAAATCCAATCACGATAAGAATGGCAAGCTTTGACAGGACAAGAGCTTTTAAAGCTTTCAGTCCAATAATAGCGACAAAAATAGGCATTAAAGCCTTTAATTTCAATTTTAATAGCAGCAAAAATGGTAGTAGAAGCTTTTTCTTCAAAAGTCCTCGAGCTTGATTGGTAGCTACGTCGTTATTCTTGAATTCGACGTCAAGGTCAGCCAGGCTCCTGCTAGGTCTGTACTTCAAACTAGCATCGATGAAAGGTAAATCAACTCCGTAATCGAAACTCTTGAGATATTTGAAAGTCCTGGCGACGATCGCCTCGTCAACAGTTTCGAGCGATCTCGCTTCCGTAATAGTTCCCAGTTTGTTATCGAGATAAGCCAAAATTTGATGTTTCAAACAAGACGTCCAGGATTCCGTCTTTATGCACTCGTTTAAGGAATTTGTCAAGAAGTCCTGATTGGCCGTGCAAGATCCAATCAACAGAACAATTACACCTACTGATACTATTGGTTGCATGTCGATATCCTGTATTTTCCTTTTCTTCAACGTTTTACAATAGATTGTTCGAGTCGCTCGCGTTTCCTTCCTCTCCGTCTTGTATGGATTCCACTTACTGTACTCGCGGTATCGCGTGTCAATAAAGGCAATCGATCGTCCACCCGTATGTGTGAGCGATCATCGGCAATCGAACTACGACTGACGGAGGAGTGGCCCGTCCCTTTTATTTAATTTGTCCCCCTTGAATCTATGTTATTCGGTCGCGCATGCCGTGAATCTACGATCGAAGGGAAATTATTCAAATTTCACTGGCATAGAGTCGTACCTCCAATCCCTCTCCCCTCATACCTCCCTCACGCTCATTCACTCATGAGTGTATATATATATGTATCGATTGTTGTGCGTCGCGTACGTCGTGCACGAAGGCATGCAACGCATATGGGAAACGGAACTTACAGCTCGCGCCTTTTCGCCTTCGCCGTCTTTTTACTTGACTCGTCGTACATTGTCAGGCACTGTTTCGCGGTCCGTATGCCCCTTCTATGATTACGATTTAACAGAATGAATAACTGTTAGAACTCTCTTGAAAATCGCAAGTCATGTGAATATGTGTGCTATTTAAAATAAGTATACAGATGCGATACTGCTATTCTAGCGTTACAGTGCAACACATTGTTTTGCAATAATTACAAAGATTTACACATTTACACGCTGCTATTATGATGTACATTTGCTGCGTACATACGACACGTTATGAAGGGCAATGACATTTGTGGAGAAAGTAGGGTAATCCAAAAAATGTTGTAATATTAAAAAAAGATAAAATTTTTGTTATAAAAAACTAAGAACTGTACATTATGTACTTGCTACGTTATTTTATTTTTTTTTACAGAATATTGATAGCAGATTTTTGTTCTAATTCTAAGTATTAATTTATAAATATAAAATTACAGTCTTTTATTTTTAAAACCAATTTTATGCTGTTTATGTATATAAGAAATTTTCTCTAATAAAAATATTGGAGTGTTTTGTATTTTATTTGAATATTTTTGTTTTAAATTAAAATAAAATAACAATAAAGACGAGATTTATTGCTAAGCTATTTGTTAAATATATTTAAGCTTAGATTTTTTTATTAAAACGGTAAATAAGAATAGTTGTAAAAAATTATAATTATTACATTATACATATAGCACTAACGTAACTAAATACACATATGTACAATCTAAAATCTTAACTTACTTATTTTTATTTATTTAAATTTATTTTAGAAGTCTTTTATTCTTCAAAAATCTTAAAATATATTAAAACATGGATGAAAACATGATGTGATGAATATTGATTGCAAATGGCTAAACATAACATATAAATTGATACTTTAATTGCATGTACGATGTACATACAGATTTTCTTGTTTTCATAGAAATTGCAAGTCACGTAATATGTTAAAATAGTGAAATGACTTTTTTACAGTAGTGATTTCTCCAATCAACTTTCGTAAGAAACGAAAGTAATCACATTCGCATATACATGTATGTGTACGCGTAGAACTCTAAATATTTTATAAAGTTTTGTTTGATTAAACATGTAAACATTCCTTTAAGTATAGAAAAGAAAGATAATTAAAGCATATTGTTAAATCAGTCGTGAAAACATAATATAATCTAGATAAAATGATTATCTGACTTTCTACATTTTTTTTTGTCATTGACAATAAAAATAATTTAAAATAAATTATTTATTTGTATGCATAGAAAAGGGAATGAGTGAGTTTAAAACAACATTTTAAATATTTTTTAAAGATGTTTAAATGTTCTAATAATAAATAAATTTAAAATCAAGTTTAAATTTATTGTAAAAATATTATTAGACACCAAGACCGTTTAGACTAGGCTTATTCTATTATTGTGCAGTATGTTAAATATTTATCTTTTATTTTATATGGTCTAAATTGTATCATAATTTTTACTTTTATTATATATATATTTTTTTGTAATGTAAAAAATGTATTGATTTGAAAGTGCAGTAAATTTATTTTCATATTAATCTAATTAATCTTTTTTCTCTTTAATATAAATTTTATAATAAAACGACAAGCAGCATCAGGAAAGCAGGTTTTTAAATAAGCATAGGTTGATGACTTGCAATAATAATTTATTAAATAGACAGTAAAAATAGGAAGCTAAGTATTTTACAAAAGCATCTACAGGTCGCTAGTGACATTAAGGTGCATGAGCGGAGTATGCGAGATTGTGCGCAAGTTGCGACGTCGAGAGTTGATCCTGATCCTGGAAAGATCTGTATTGAGTCTGATATTCCCATCCGTGAGCAATAGGTGCAGCATGGGTATCGGCAGCAATTTTTTTGCAGAGTTGGAAGATAGCCATGCCAACGGCAACGATGAAACTGAAAAACGAGAGCTGTAGGGCGTTCCAAGCTTTCAAACCGAGCACACCAATGGCCAGGGGGATCAGAGTCATCGCCTTCAGCAGAACGAACACGAGGATAGGGATGACGACTTTCTTCAGCTTGGATCTACGAGCCTCATCGACGGCACGGCCCTGGCCGAACTTGACGTTGAAGGTGAGCTGATCATCTTCGATGTCGCGTGAGCTCACCTTCACGGTGGAGTCTAGTGGCAGTTTAAAGGTCACGTCGTGAGAGGCCAAATAAGATTGTACAGTATCGAGGAAAGAACTCTCGCTACGAGCAGACGTAGATTCAATGGGGTACGAGTTACGTGTAACTTCCACTCTCTCGGATATCTGCAAAAATAGAGGCAGTAAAAAAATTGGCAGATTTATTGAAGCAAAATATCTCGTTAAATCCATCAGAAACTTATGCAACTTTACTTTTAAACCGTGCGAGAAGAGATTAACAATAATAATTAAAAATGTGAAAACTCTATCACATCACTATTTGAGTAATATTAAAAAAAGTGCTACTTACTTTGAAGTTATCCTTGCTGAAGATTTGGTCGAGCAAATTAAACACCTTGAACTTCATACAAGCAATCTCGTCGTTCTTCTGCGAACACTCGGATCTAGATTGATCTACGATCTCATCCATGGCACTTTTCCAATTTTCATTCTTGGCTGGTTGCGTAGCGGCCAACGCCATTAGGCCGCACAAGATGAAGAACTTCATGGCGTTGATAGGGGATATATCCGTGAGGATTCTTGAGGAAAATTCGCGCTATAAACTTGTTCGTTGATAATGAATGAGGACGATCGCGGTACGACGACTGATGCCAGTGGGTTGGGCAGTACGGTATTTATACGAAGGCCTATCGTCGAATCGTACAATGCACGTTGAAGAGTCGCGTAGCGACTCCCGAACACTCCCCCACTTTCATCCGGGTGTGGATTTTCTTTTCGTTCAGTATGGTCTTCGATTATTGAGGCCTCGCTACAGATCATGCCACGACTACCTAATGAGGGAGGATAGACCGGACGAGCGTGAGATCGCGCGACACGCGGCACGCGACACCGAATCGGGGTAGTGGCTCCGATAGGTCATACATTTCGCTCATGAAACGCGATGGAATTTATGATATTAATGAGCAGTAGTTTGCTTTCCATGAACAGAAGACCTACTTGCGATGGTAGTCGCTTGTTGAATATTTTTAAACCATGGCTTGAAATTAAATTTTTTATAACGAACGTAACCGGATTTTGTAATTAGATTTGATTCATTCAGGTGAGAGTGGAATTTAAAAAAAGTTATTAGGAACGTTAGAAGAAAATCTTTTAAAGATTTTTTAGGATATTATATAGAGCTTTTATCATTGGATAGAATTGAAATTTTAATTATAATAAATATATAGTACATAATAATTTTTTGCAATGGATATCACATACATAAAAAACTAATAATGCATCAGGTACTATTTAATTATTTTTTATTTTAAAATCACATTCTTACAGTGTTCTATATTACTAGACAATTATGATTTTCAATTTATCTACTTACATATTTAATTTATTAAGTTATTTTTTAATTAGTGCTTATTTTTTTATGTTCGATATGGGCAATAATTCGTCTAATGATTCGAATGTATCATCAAAAAATTAATAATTATTATAATTAATATTTATGATTCAGATATATGGAACGAAAATTATCTCGATTAAATGCCAGTAAAAAGGAAAGATTAAAGAAAGATAAATAAGTGAAAATTATTTATTTTTCTAATTATTTTTAATTATTTAGTCCTTCTAATTATTCTTTATAGCAAACAGCTGGAAATACATATACATATATATATAGCAAGATTCCTTTATCCTTGACACCGAAGTTATCGTAACATTGGCATTGTGTCAATCATTCATTCATGCCACGATCTTGACTTTCCACACGAGCGCTCCATTAAAACTCGCTTCTGTTCGTGTTCTTTTCACGTCTCCTTATGTCGTTAACCCAATCTCCAGACCACTATTTTCACCCTGCCAGACCTAATTAAATTGTAACTCCTGCAAACAAACCTAAAGGAAAACCGTCGGGGTACATCAGCAATTCGCATTGCGTGCGAATTTCTCGCGCGAAAATGCGCATGGGGTACCATCGAAGACACTTTTGTCTTCCTGCCCGACTTCTTTATCGTAACAATGAAACGACAACTGGAATTTTAGGTCAAGTTTGCATAAACATTCAGGCCATATCTTCCAATAAAATGTCAATCAATATCTTTTGCATTTTATACAAATATTTATTCGTTTTGTTCTTAATTTGTTTACTAGAAATGAATCAAGTTTGTGTTCACCGATAAACGTTTTATGAATTGCAAAACAATTCCTGTACTTTATATATATATATATATATATATATATATAATATTTTTCTAGAGATACGTATTTTAAATATTTATGAGAATTGAAAGCAATTTAATAGAATAGATAAATCAACAAATTGCGTAAAATTTTTAGAAAAATTTTATCCTAATCTTTTTAAATATATTTATGCATTCTTACTATGCTAATATGCTATACATATAAATCAGTTAATATTTAATTATTATGTTGATAATTTATCTATTTAAATTATGTATCATATGTTAAGAAGACATCAATGGAAGGAATCACTTTTTCTTAAATTTTAAAACTTATTAACTCTTTCTACTAATTATTGTTCCTACTTGTTATTCTTTTATAACATGTGATTTTTTATTATTAGAATAATAGCATTCTTACTGAAGAAGATTATAATAAATAGTTTAAATATTAAAACGGACTATTAAGATAAATCGACAAAGTTTATTTGATGAATTAATGAAAAATTTTTATTATACATAAATAATGCAGGTGGAACACTAACAATGAATAAATATTAAATAAATCTACATAAGCGATAAATCGATCAATCTTGTACATATGGTTTTTTATTTTCTATAGGCCCTATAAGGTCCGTGGGGTGCGTTGTCCCAATGAGGGGGATGTTCAATAGGTGCAGAGTGCCCGTAGTGAACAACTTCGTAAGCGATTTTCGGTTTAGTCAACTTGAAAATCATCATCGCTCCGCTGAGGACTAACGATAAAAGACCCAAAGTCAGTGCTTTCCACGTTTTCATGGCGATGAGGGCGAGAGCAAGAGGTACCAAAGCAGTAGCTTTAAACTTGAGACCAAGTAAAAACGGTATCATCACCTTTTTGACAAAACCGCGACCTGCAAATAAAAATCTTATATTATTCAAAAAATATGACATTTTCATAGTTATTTTTCTTTACCATTAATATATATAAATGCAGATTATAAGATAATGTTAACTGAATTTTTCCTGTAATAGTTATTAGTTTACCTTGTCCATTAGAAGAATCATTAAGAGGAATTGTAAGACTCTTTGGCATGCTGTCAACTAAGGATCTGGGGACAATGTTGGAGCCCACAATCGCTGCTGGTAGTTTAGCTTCAAGCTGATGGCTTGACAAATACGCATCTAATTTTTCAAGCATTAATGTTCGCAGGAGTTTTCTCTTGGATGGATCTGCATCGTCGTATTGTGAGGGAGAGTAATCCTCCGTCTCGTGCTCTGGCGCGTCACGGGATTTAACTATCGCTAAATCCTCCGTAATTGCTAATCTGTTTTGTTTCACGGCATCGGTGATGTAAGCCAACACTTTCGGTTTAACACAAGATAACATAGACTCGCTATCTGCGCATCTAAAACATTTCAAATTCGTATATCACATAAAGACACCTCAAATATTTATAAGATATTACTACTTTAATCTTGACGTTTTGATTTGATTTATCAAATAATTTTTAATAATTGGAATTGTTAATAATTTTAATTCTTAATAATTTGGAATTATAAGTAATAGAGAATAATAATAATTATAACTTACCTCTGATAAATTTCTTGCAGAATATTGATGGTAGTCTCTGTTTGTTGCCCTCCAGCAAGAATGGCCAGAAGGGCTACTGACGTAAAAGTGGTTAAGATCTTCATGACGGTACCACCGATTCGCCAGACTAAACACCGAATGCCAGTACGGTCGAAGTCAACGGGGTTTTATAGCTGATGGCTGTCGCGTACGGTCGATGAATTTTGATCACGGACGTGTTGCTGGCTGGTTGAAAGAAAAGAAGAAAGCCTCATTTATCTAGGGTGTCGGTATTTTCACGACTCTGCGCCTACGTCCCTCTGGAATAATTTCGATTTCGATGCCTACACTAAATACCACTTCCATTTTTGGATTATGTTCGTCAGTTTATATTTAGGTAGTATTTATTCAGAATATTTTTCTATAAATTCATGATTTTTATGGACATTTCTATTAGAGTGAATTTTATTGCGTAACAAAATTAAAATATTTTGTCTTATTTGTGCAATTTATAATAAAAAACATACAGTTTTTTATTAGATAAAATATAATTTTACGAAATACCGAAATATAGTTTTTTTAATTTTTTAATTTCAGTACAAATTTAAATAAAATCAAATAAATACTTTAGTTTGGAGCATATCTTTAAATAGGTATATGTTACTTTATGAAATTAAACAGAGAGAGAGAGAGAGAGAGAGAGTTACTTAAGAGAGAAGAGAGAAGAAAAAATATAAAATGGACATTATTTTACAGTATTGTGATTAAAAAGATATTTTTTATATTATCTTTATATTTATGCAATTTAACGATTTCTTTAACATCTCTAACAGGGAAATAACAATACAATAATATAAATTTTAAATAATTTATTGAATAAATTTAAATATTCTTAATTGTTATTATCAAAGAAAGTAAGAATTATTTTACTCACAAAATTATACTCAAATAATTTTAGAAAAAAAAAAGGATTTTTAGAATATTTATACAAGATCATTTTAATTCAAATAGCTTGTATGTGGAAAATATTTGTCTTTAAAAATATTGAATACAAACCTTATAGATATCAGGATAATATGAAAATATAAACATTGATTTAATGTTTTATTGTACATAAATTAATATACATGATCAGGAATTAATTAAAAATATTTATTTTCTACATTTTTCGATATTTGTATACTTTGAAGATTTAAGATAAAGATTAAATTATATTTATCGAGTAATAAATAATTTAATCTTTAAGTTTAATTAATTGAAAGTAATATTTATTGGGTATGGCACCCGAATATATAATAGTAATTGATTAATTATCTAACAAAATAAATAATTCTTATACCCTGAATGCTCTTAATTTTTATATAACATCACACATATCATGCAAAAATGCTATATGTTTTTAATAAATTTTTAATTCGTTAAAACAGCATTTAAATATTTTTAATGCTATTGCATGTAATCATAAAAAACATAAAATCATTAAGATGTTCTAATTAATTTGTTTTTCATAAATAAACATTAACAAAAATACATATATTGTGTTACGTTTTATCTGTGTAAAGACATTTTTTCCATTTATCTATGCCTTTCGGATGTAAATCAATTAAATTAGTACACTTTCACTTGTTATTTCTTAATATATCATCAATTTCTGAATATGAGAAATTATCTAAAAATTATAAAGCTCGCTTAACTCATAAAATGCCACATAATCCAACATTATATGAATCTTTCTATTATCTAATTATATTTAATAACGATATTATTCTTGAAGACAGTGATCTTGTTGACAACGCGTCAATAAACTATAAAAACTTTGACACGCCATCACAAAATTCATTGACTTTACTTCTTACTAAATTCGGTCATTAAATTTGAAAAATTGGCATAAATTACAAGGTATTACGTTCAACGTATTGATCAGCATCTTATTAACTAAATTAATTGCTAGGATTAGTACGACGGGTGGATCTGTCTGCAGGGCACCCCAATTTCTTTTCTAATAGGAAAATTAGATTTTATACGAGTTCACGCACGTCTCAAACATATAAATATTATTTATAAATTAATGCATGGCAGTATATATCGTCGATCTTATAGTAGATATTACGCAACGTTGCGACGCTGAGCTTCTAATGTAATTTCTTCGGCCTCATTGAGCAAATATATATGTCCAGTAGTATTTGTACGGGATGATAAAACATTCATCATTGTTTTAACTGCAGATTATGCAAGTGGCTATAAATTCCACACTATGGAGAATTTATTCGATATTATTATGACATGGATACGTTTTGAGGCAATCTCCACCATCTTGACCATGTCTGGCTGCGTTCACATATCTGTAGAACTTTTGACTCGACGTACTTCCTGTTACATCACGCCTGAGTTCTTGCGGATCTCTGAAAACACATGTAATTTGTTAAATTAATCTAATCTTCAAAAGGCACAATGTCTTTAAAAAGCACAGTGAGATATTATACGTCTCAATTAACGTGCTTGTTTTAAGCCGCGTCGACCCGATTCACGATGTTTTCCTTGCTCGTTACCGGAATAATTCGATATACGCGCATTGCTCTGAAACGTAATTTTGTTGCTCCTAAATAGAAAGTTACTTCTCAAAAGGCTATAATTATGCGTAAGCGAATTACCCGACAACGTCATAGACTCAACGGAACTGTACTATATTTCCCGTTCGTCGTGTAGCCGGTTTGACTAAAAGTACCTTCATATCTCATTTCAATTGTTAATAAAATTCTAAGCAATACTCAAAACTAGGTAAAATGCGCGAAATCGCATTTACAGCATTAAGAAATGGCAGAAAAGAACGATATGAAGAAAAAAGAGAAAGAAACAGAGGAAGAGAGAGAGAGAGAGAGAGAGAGAGAGAGAGAGAGAAAGAGAGAGAAACCAACATGACCCGATTAACGTTGATTCCAAGCGCGCGGGCGATCTCCACCTTTCTCTTTGTGATGCGCGATTTAATCGATAAGCCACGTAGCGCTGCTACTATGTTTCATACCTGGAAAGCTCGTTCGACACGAGGTTACTATGCGGCGAGTAGCCCGCCGGATTTTTGTACATGCTACAAACGAGCATCTCTCTGCACGTTTCTTCATAGAATCTCAATTGCCCGAAGATATCCTCCAGTCGAGCGATTATCGGACTGTAATACTCGTCTTCCATGTCCTGTCGTGAGATCGATATAGAGGAACTCTTGGCAGATGCGACAGGTGTCAAGAACCTCTGGGGCTGATGATGAATGTTTGGGCGTATGTTTGGCGCAAATATCGCGTAAGGATTCTTCATCGGCGCCTTTATCGGATTCATCGAAAGTACAGCCGCGGAAGTTGGCTGTGCCGCGGGTCGTCGATATCCGGAATAAGCCAAATTGTGGGCACTAGCCGCCATCGAATTGTCCAGATAAGTTGACGCGATTGGCTTTACGTTCGGCGCATATTGTGGCAATCCGTACGGGCCCGAGTACATAGCTCCCGAAACTGAGGTCGGAGATGGTACTATGCGATTTATAGGTTGACTGGCCTCTTCATAGGCTTCATTATGAGGCTCGATGCCCCATTCCTTCAGTTCTTCCAAATCCTTCCGATATTGAATATGAGGATGAGAGAACTCAGACAAATCGTCTAAGGTGTTATGAGAATGATCGTAATATGTTGGGACGGCCACCGGAACCGGCACGTGATGATGGTGATGAGCAATCTGAAATAAAGATTTAGATTATTCTAACATTTATTTAATATTGATAAAAATATATTATACGGAGAGATATTTTATAATCGAGATGCGAAGGTTGCATGCGCACGCATACCTGATGATGATGATGATGGAACTTGGTGGCATGGCTCGTATAGTAGCTGGAGCAAAGCTTGAATATGTGAGCGAACGCGGGAATGAAGAAGAGCACCAGTTTTAAGAAAAGTTTCTTGGCAGTGCCCACACCGAAGAGAAATGGAATTATGAACAAAAACTTTACTTTAATTAACTTGATAATTAAAAGAAGTGCCAGAAAGCTGATTAACAATTTATTCTGTATGAATTTCTCTAAAATAAAATAAGAGACATTATATTCTTCATTCTTAATATTCTATAATAAATATTGAAGAATTTGATTTTTCTTACTGATTTTTTTAAAAATTCGTCCTTGTTCTTGTACACCATTCGTTCCAAAATCTACCCTGAGGAGCGCGCCGTTCTCGTCTATCTCGCGCGGGCTTATCTTCATCGTGGCACCCTCAAAGAAAAACTGCGGAAGTTGAATTTCATAATTACGAGTTGACAAAAATTTCACTGTTTTCTGCCGCAGAGCATTCGTAATTTCTTCAAGTGGTGATTCATCACCAAACTTTCGACCTTCTGCTTTTGCTTCTTCGGCCGCTTTATTTTTACAGTTATCCGTATCGACATCCACGAGATTCTCACGAATATCGTTACGATTTTCTATTTTAGGACACGTGTCGTAAGTGACATTATTTTTTGTAAGTATAAGACCGTCGAAAATAGTGATATTGTCCCTTTTGGTGAATGCATTGTCAAGATACGTGTATGCATTTTTTTGTATGCAAGAAAATGTCACTTTTTTGTTACAGTCCCTGAAGAGCCCGTGCCAGAGCTCGTTTCCGGTCTCGTTGATGTTAAACGTGTTAAATTTCAAAATTTTCGCGTACCGCCTGAGTTTCTCGGCACTGAATAATTGCGAGTACGTTAGCGTACTCATTGAAAGACACAACAGGATTAATGTCGTTCCCCGATACATCTTCAGTATCACTTGTGGAGATTTTAATGTATATGCATATATATTTTATTTGACTCTTGTTTACATATGACCAGAAGTGTGAGGTGGCGTGCCGGAAGCACGCTCTGAATATATATATGACCGGCACCAACTCCTTGTTTAGTAACTAGAACCGGTACACTTTTGATTTCGCGAAAGGGTCATCATCACTAGTTCACGTGCACGTCGGATTCTTTGGTATCTACCCGTGATCGTCACACGCCCTTCCTACTTATTGGAGTCGCCGTTCAATGTCGATTTTCCCCCTCTTCTCCGTGGCCAAATATTTTACCGCGACCTTCTCCCACCTCTTAGCGACATCGATGGTCCTCTTCCTCACGATTCCGGCTCCTCGGCGATTCGGTGCGACGCGACGTAAGCTCTGTCGCGATCACGTTGCATCGCAAACGTCGATCGTCATACTGACCATTATTCGTATCACCATCATCCCATATGACTTCTTCTCTATGCACCTTTGATCCGTTTTGTCTTCTTCACCCTCTTCCTTTTTCTCTTTCTCTCTCTCTCTCTCTCTCTCTCTCTTTCTCTTTATCTTGTTCGTCGAGACGCGATACGTTCAATCTCTCGCTTCGCACTAACCACGAGCCTCTCCGTTCTCGGTTACAATTCACCTGAGCGTCAAGTGTGTCAAAGGCCCTCCTACTCCGTCGGCGAGCTCCTCCGTGGAAGGTCATTATCGTCTCCTCTCGGACTGCAACCGACCAGGTCTGTGCTTATACGCGCGCGTTTAAGACCGTCCGGCTCCTGACCGCAGATCTGATATATAAATATGCATTGGGGTACGTTTTGAACGATCTGCTGGGAAATACTGTTTCTCGATCGAATATGAATAGCTCACATCTGCTCACATCTTTTTAATAATCAGGGCACATATCTAGAATATCCAATAACATTTAAAACATAAAATTATATTTGCGTTTATCATATTTATGGTTCAATTATTTTGAGTTTTATTAGTATAATTTGAAAACTTTATTTACTATAAGTGTTAAGATGCAATATTCTTGCACAAGATAAGAATTAATAAATTTTATTAAATTGCAAAAGACTTGCTTTATGTTTATCCCAAACTACATGATATTATCCTTATTGCTGAACATATTATAAATTTTTATTATGTATCAAGTACGTAAAATTATGAAATATTATTAGAATTTGACGTATATGATTATACGTATATAATACGCAATACATATAAAATTTACATATAAAAATTGATCGCAATTTTTTTAGTAATTTGCTTTTTCGGAACATAGTAATGACAAAAAATTTTCCCGTAAGCGAAACAGTATATAATTAAAGTATTGCACAGACCAATTTATATGAAATTATCTGAGTCTGGTATGCGTCCCCGCTGCAAATCCAGTTTAACTTCCTTATTTTATATGTATAGCTATATAATAACTGGATTTTAAATTGGATTTTTTAATTAAATGCAGTTAACATTTATTTTGAACAAAAAAAACATGATATTAAAATTATTTAAATGTGAATAAAATCAATTGTAACATGATTTAGAAATAAATATCTCAAATATAAATATAAAACAAGTATTTGTAGATATATTATTAATTATATTATTAATTAGTTCTGAGGGACATTTTTTTTAGATTTGTTGTTTGTAAAAATAATATGTCTTAATAACATGTATATTAATTTAAAATGTGAAATATATTTTCTTCATTGAGCTAAATTTCAATTTTGTACAAAGAGATAAAAAGAGTTACTCCTATAAATAAGATAAAAATATATTTTATTGTTAGATGCAATAATTGTTTGTAATGTTCAAACTAGTAACATAAGAAATAATTAGTTAAGAATATATTTATTCTTTACCAAAATATTCCTTGAATAAAATAATTGAATAACAAATTATCAAATATTTGAGAAATATGTAATAAGTATCCGATTCATAAATTAAATTATTTCAAATTTTATAGATGTAACATATATTGGAACACAAACATATCATCTTTTAGATCTGTTAACGTTATGAAATATTAATTTCTGAATGAATCACAAATTAATGATTTATTCTTTTTTGTCAATACTGCAGCCGTCATACTTTTCCTATATTTTCCCGCTACATTGGAACCAGTGTAAAATGTAATAATAATAAGTGTTCAACCACACAAACATTATTATAACGTGTGTAAGAAATTATGTCAACGCAAGTAATACTCTGAAAAACTACTCATTTATTATTAATACCTCAGTATACTTTTACTATAAGAAATAATGTTATTTATCTCGTAACTAGACGTATTTAGAAAAGAAATGGTTTAATCGATCGAGCTAAAAACCAGCTTTATAATCTTCATCAATACACATTAACATCAGCAAAACATTATCAAATAAACACCACTTTGCTACATTTCTCTCGTACTCACCAACCGCTTTTCACTAATAGATTCTTGGTGAAGGTGTTCTCCTTATTGCAGTTAAAGAGGAGAGGAGTAACTTCAAGATACATGGTAGTATCCATGTTCAACCTATGTCTACCTATATATACCTAAGTGACAGCTAGATACATCTTCTTCAATACGCTAATAATATTAATAAATGGTTTTGATTATGCAATACAATGATTATTGAAATACGAAGATGTCTGCACCGTAATGTTGCACCCATTAGGCTTAAATTTAATATTTAGATGATTAAAAAAATCTGTGTGTATGGGCAAAGCTTTAAACTTGGTTTTAATGTTTTCAGCTTTACTAAATCACTTTTTTTACATTAAAATCTTATTAAATACGTTAATTAATTATGCTTTTCTTTTTTTTTTCTTTCCTTCAAACTAAACAGATTTTTTTAAGTTTCAACGTATTTCTACATGTATAATAAAATTTATATTAAATATATTTGGCTATTTCATATGTAAACGTTTCCGGAATATATTGTTTCTCATGTAAAAACGAGTTTTGGAAGTAGCGCATTCATCTCCCTGAACGATCTGAATCGAAAAACATGGAGGTCAAAGTCGTGTCGATACCAATCTGCGAAGAGACTGTAAGTTGTCTCTCGCGGAAGCTACCGACGAAAGATGATCAGGTGGGCCAAGCGAGTGGACGGACGCAGTTCGACCGGATGAATTCCATTGACCCACTAATGTGAGGCGCTAGGTAGGTAGGTAGGTTGAGGCACATGACCGGCTTACGCGTTTGTTGCCGAAAAAAGCGATTGTACGTACGTACAGTCCCACACGCGGAAGGCGCATTCACGGAGACAGGATTTCACACTAAAAATTTTGTTCCATTTCGCAGAGATTTATCTTCTTTCCGTTGATGAATACAAAATATAATGTGCACGCAAGCACGCGCAGGCACTCTCTTATTTTACCTCACTTCTTTACAGCTCTCGATACCCATGGAGGAACAAGGGGCTCGTTCACATTCCAGCGTAACCTAGTTACGTCTTAGTCATAATTTATCAAATACGGGCGACACAAGGTTACTTTTCCATTTCGTGGAAATGAAGACAGCAACATTCCTAAAGTTTGCATGTTTTTAATTTGCTCAGCTTTAGGTAGGATACCGTTATTTAAAGACTCATTTATATAGTGCTATTTTAGTATTTCTTTATACGCAAACTTTAATTTTATTTAAATAACACTAAAATTTCTAATATACGATTAATTACGGTATAATTAATTAGATAGAAAATAAGTGCATCAAGTGACTAAAAATAAACTAATTTTAGAATTTATACTAGATAGTTCAAAGCATAATTTATTAATAAACATCTTGATTTTTCTTAAGTGTTATAATATTTTTTACTATGTAAATTATGCCTCCAAAAAAAATTTAATTCCAGAGATTTACGATTTTGTAATGATTTCTATTTCTGTGAATCTTATCAATTTCTCTGTTTTTTTAATTATTACAGTATATATTACAATCTCTATAAAAAACAATTTGTATTGGTCTAACTGTGATTACTTGAGGTGCCAGTCGCTCATGATTGTTTGTTAGAAAGTATTTTGAGTTATAGACGTTGGAAATTGCCAATTGTGAATCAGAGATGTAAACTGCAGCGGCGACAGCAGATCCAACGGAAAGTATTTGTCTGCGGTGCACCGAAACTGGTTTGTACGTGCAGTACAAAGTGAACCAAGCAACTGGGACATACCACATATTGGGTGAGCAAAAAATGTAGTTTTAGTATTCAAGGAAAAAAATCCATTGTATGGTAAGTGATAATTACCAGGTTCGTTAAAATTTATGATCTTCCAATAATATATACTCTAAAGAATCTTAGAAAGCAATTTTTTATTTTTTACAGTGAAAAATATTTTTAAATCATTTTTTGAGAGACATACTTTTATCAGAATGATTTATCATTTTTTTATGATGTATAATTTTAAATCAAATAAATAATATATCTTTAACTAATCATGCGTTAGAATTATAATAAGTACATATATTACAGTTAAGAATAGATTAACTGTTAAGAAAGATTAACTGTTAAAGCGTCAATCATTATTTTTTCATTCTCATTCTTTGTGACGAAGAGTGACAACACTTACTCACCCACTTACCTATCTTCTACTTTTTACCACAAATCAAAGACACGCGAATACAATATTATCGCACCGTCTCTGACGGAACAAATAGCATACCTCACATTGCCTCATATTATGCAGACACAGATTGCTATACAATTTCCGTTACGTCAACTGAGACAGGGAAATGGCTTTCGGCTTTTGTCTAATAAGCTTCTCAGACAGATAGGTAAGTAAACGGAAATATCGTATGAAATATGTACCCGGAAATAAATATTAACAATAAACAACATATATACTTGTAATATGAGTTAAGTTAACATTAACGTAAATAATAAATTATAAAAATTTGTTTGAATATATCAAATTCTTTTAAAAATAATTAATCTTGCAATTCCTTTATTTTTGAAATTTTTATTTTTAAATAAAACTGAACTTACATTTCCTCTAAGGAAACACAGTAGCCAAAATATTATATTACAATATTTTCAAAATAATATATATATTAACAGTAAATTAAAATTACAGCCGTTATATTGCATAGATCCTTTTAATGATTGATCCTGAGATGCGGTAACATAGGAAAGTGATCCTCAGGCGTAGAGTTGCGCGTTGCACCTATTTCCGGAACAGTGGGAACCTTCCTTGTGTCGAGTGGCACGAACACTTTCACCGATTTTCCTGATCAGTCGCGAAAAGTAGCGAAGCAGTAGCATCCTGTTGATCAGTAGGTTACCTAACGGTGATTGACAGATAAGCTCGCGGTTTAAGCAGGCGCTTCCCCATCAAAGAAGCCAAAGGAGAGCGCCCTGAGAAAATCAAATGCACGACCATAAACGCGCACGCTCGCACATCCATTGCGATGGCTAACAAATCCATCTACCGTTTCTCTTTTCGAATCAGATCGCGTTGCCACCGAAAAGTCTACGTGTCGTGAGTCTCAAACAGACAGTCAACGTATACTAATGTAGGTCGATCATTGAACAAGTAAAAATCGCAGCAACTTAAGAATTTTGTATGTAACATACACCATAAAAAGGATATATAACTTACAATGAGTTCACAAGTCAAATAATCGCAAATATAAAGTAAAGTAAGAACATTAAATTGGTTCAAAGATACATTATATCATATTTATATACGTTTACATGTATAGCAGCTAACTCAAAATAATATTTCTGAAAAATGTTTACGGATTAATTAATTACTATAAAATATATGCATATTGACATTGTCTTTATTTTTCACGCTTTCTATTAATTTTCTTTAAATTCCAATTTAATTTCACAAAAGAGAATTATTTTATAAGTTTTAAATTATCTATTTCCTAAATAATGCATTAAATTTCTTGATTTTTATTCGTTAAATGTATTAAATAAAAATTGAATAAATTAACGAATTTTATAAAAAATAACAAAATTTATATATAAATAAATTTTAGAATAGAACCTGCTGACATATGAAAATTGAGGTGATATTCAGATTTTTTAAGGATTCTGATCATAAATATTCGCGGCTGATTTTTACTTTAAAAATATGCGCATATATGTCGAAGAAATGAAGCAACGAAATAAAAATATCCATGGAATATGACGCAAGAGAGAAACCGTTACAGACCGTGAATACGTTTTAACTGTTCTTTAAAGTGATCCGTATATGCATCTGTTCAATCTTAAACATGATTAACTATAGGAATAGCTTTCGACAATCGACACCTAGTGTAAATGTTTTTCATACTGAAACATCTCGATCGGTATACCAAGTGTACCCGATAAAATGGATCCCGTATACTTCCAGTAACATTCAAGGTCAGTTACTTACTAGAAAGTCGTAGAAAGAAGCTTGGAAGACTCTTCAAAAGATTGCGCCACTATTTTGCGGATTAAAATTAATTAAAAACTTCATAAAAATGCTTTCATAAAATCAATATAATATATTTTTTACACAGATAAGAATAGAATAAAGAAATAAATAAAAATAATATATTTTTATTAAAGGGAAAGTCTTTTTTTTTAGATAGGTATATCTATTTTCGTTCTTAGTCTAATTTTTATTTTAAATTATTTTTTATAAAAAATATATTTAGAATATTAATAGTAAAATAAAATTTCTAGAAAAAATTATGTGCAGTATCGTTTATTTAAAAATGTGCATACATGATGCCTTATAATAACGAGTAACTGAGAAGCTCTAAATTTCACGTAACAAAGGTATATCCTTAGACCGCAATTCAGTTTTCTGTAATTTAATTTCTGCATTCGTTGATAATACGTTATTAGAACTTGTTTTTTCAGCTGTAGCCTGCCACTCATCCATATACATTGCATTAGTTGTAAACTCTTGAGTAAGATCAGGTTGATCCGTGGTTATCATTGAATCAACATTCTTTTCAGCTACATTTACAATACTGATAGGTGGATTCTCGTTGAATATGAAACTTCTTCCTTTCGCATTCACTGTCGCTTCTGACTTCAAATTATTCTTCGCCGAACCGGTATTTACGTTAGTGGCCCCGTATTGGTCGAAGGCTCTGTAGTTTGACGTGTTCCAATTAGAAATTACAGTACTAGAGTTTATAATTGGTGATGGTTCTTGATAATCTTGATAATCCAGATAATCAATATTTTCTGCATTCGAGATAACTTCTCCTGTCATCGGAATGCGATTAGATCCATCCGCAATTTCTGCCTTAGTCTCTTTATCGTATTTCATTGGCCATTTGTGGAAACTGCGACCCCATCCTCCCCCGCCATAACCGCCGCCGCCTCCTGAAGGTGGGCCATAACTACTTGGTGGAGGTGCACCATAACTATCGCTAGGTCCGCCACCGCCACCGCCATGACCACCACCGCCCGAAGATTTTGTAAGGAGTACTATCTCTTTGTAGTCTGGAAGCCGTCATGATATCAGAGATGTTAATTGTTATTCAATATTTTACGAGTGTATTATTTAATTTTGCGTTATTTGTGGACTTTGTTGAAAAAATCGCTTTTGCATATTGATTTCTTACATTATATAGAAGTTAAAATTTTGGTAATTTATGAAATTATGAAAATTTTTTAGTAGAGCACCAACCAAAAATTAGTGAAAGCATGGAAGAGAATTAATTATATTTAAATTTTAAGAATTAGATACAATAAACAAAATAACGTCAAAAATATATATAATATATAATTTTACCTCCTCCGCCTCCTCCTTTCCAAGGGCCACCGCCACCGCCGCCTTTCCCAAATTTGCTACTCAACATCATCATTGAAACCATTAGAGACATTCCACCCATCATCATACTTTTGAGCGACGCCAATGCTATTGTATTGAACAGAAATATTTAATTAAAATCTTATGCAATTTAAAAATTTTGTAGATAGCAAGGGCAAAATGATATTTAAATAATAGAAATATATATTTGAAAGAAGTACAAGAAAATACAAAATAAATACAATAACATTACCTATGAGTTTCATTTTAAGCATCATCATCATGCCCATCATCATCATCTTGCATTTTCCACCTTTGCCTCCACCGCATCCGCCTTTCATCTTTCCTCGTCCTATAATATATTTAACAATTTAGTAATAAAGAAAAAAATAATTTCTTGAACAACAATGCAAAAATTCTAAAAAACTGAAGTTTAAACATCTTAGATCACGATAGATTATAGTACGTCATTGCAATATTTTTAAGATATTTTTTTAGTCTATATATTTAATTTAATAACTGTTGCGCTAACCTTCTGCTGTCTCGTCAAACATCACGTCAATCTGATTCCTTTCTCGTTTGCTGTTCCATCTAGGTAGCGTGATACGCAGAGTAAAGGAATCGAAGAAATCATCTATGCTGCGCTCGATACTGACGTCCGAGTCATTCATAGATCGAGCATCGGATCTATGTGCTATTCTGCTCTTCACCAACTTCACATCTTGCCCAAGTAATGTGATTTCATCGAGGCGACCTACTGTTTCTAAGAAACGGATGAAACGTTTCTTGATGCAACCGAGCGAAAATTCAATGATGCATTTGCCTATGTCCCTGACGGGAAACTCCGGAAAGTAATCATCTTTATTATTTTTTATCGAGTCATTCCTGGCCGCTGGAACGATTTTTAAGTCGATTTTAATGCCATTCTTTTTAATGTTGAATATACGACGTTCGACTGGTATCTTGTGTAATCCGGTATCAAGAATGTAATCTTTAACATTTCGAATCTCATTTTTTTCGTATGCATTCACGTGGATCAAGCACGTGATCAACAAACACAGGATGAGCATAGGTTCACGCACTTTTGCACAATAAAAGAAGTAAACGTTGATCAGTTCCAGTAACAAACGATGACGGCGAAGATAACTTTGGAAGAAATACTGGCTGACACTGACTAATCTCTGGGTCATCACAATCGTTTATATACATTGAGATTTATGTCATTCGCGGTATTTTTCCATCGTTTTGTCACGATTGTCATTACTTGCAGCGAGACAAGTAGTCTTCTAATAACAAGGCTGAAAAGGTAAGTCAGAATCATTTATCGAGTTTTAGCCACAATTATGGATGGCATACGCAACAATAAAACAAATATTTCCGGATGCTGCATTACGATCTACTATAATAAGCTGACACGCTTATAAAAAGATTTGTAGGATGAAACAGTTTGTGCCACTTCCAAATTAATTATACGCATAGAACAGAAATTTATAACTTCAGGATTACAGATTTTGTAATCGTAAAATAAAAAGACAAGGATAGAAACCACTAATAAAAACATATTCAATAATTGTTGACGTAATTGTGTTATTTAATTTATAAAAATATTTAATTGCAATTCATTAATTTCACACTTTCTGTTTGTTAAAAATTTATCAATTTTATCATGTTTCTTAATATATATTTTTGTAAAAAGTTTTGATATTAAAATATATAAAACTATTATTTTTTTATAGCAAAAGTATCTTGTCATTTTTCTTACATTTCATTAATGATTTGAAATTGACGCATTGTTTTCAATAAATGTATATACGGTTAATATTATGGTAATATTATGGTTTATTCTAAATGTTAGGAATACCATGTATAGGTACATGAACAATTAATAATATAGGTATAAGCTTCATGCGCCTTGAGGATCGCAACACTTTATGTTCTGATGTAAAGCTGGCAGTCTGATGGTCTAACGTGGTGAAGGGGTGCTGGCCTTATTACTTCTTAATTGGTCCGTACATTCACCTTCAGAGATATCTATGTTTAACAGTAACTTAAATGTAATTGCCGTAACAGAAAGTACGCGCATTTTTTAGCGCGTGATGTATGAATGCATTTACGCCAGGTAGTTAAAAGAGTTCAAGAGTAATGTAATTCCCTCATTTAAATTAACAAATCACCAATTACTATCGCTAAACCAACCGTAAGATAACCAACATTTATATTATTGCAGATAAACATTGCGCGTATTCTATGATTTATTGTACAATTTCTTAACTGTCACAGTTATTACAATAATGACAAAACAATATGTTTTTACAAATGTTATTTATTATTACAACTTTACAATAACGAAATAAATATCCAAAAATCATGTACATGATCAATGGGCAACTCTGCGTGCTCGACGATGATACGCTTTCTCGATAGGTATCATCAAAAATGCAACAGTAGTCGCAATAAATACCTATATGACTATAATAATAAAGGTGATAATTTATGGAACGATGAAATGAGAGTGAACGAGATCTTAGAAGGCAGAAAGTGTCATGATGGCGAAGAAGGAAGACGAAAGATGAAGTATTACAGAGCGAGATGAAGAGAAGACGCAGACAGAGTAGGGGAAAAAGTTGATAGTGCTTGAGGATGAAGGAAAAGAAACAGTAAGGAAAGTCGGTGAGGTAGAGATGTGCTAAAGGTTTTATCGTGTACCGGCGATGTGTGCGAACACTTCGAAGTTGATTGGATGATTTTAATTCTGCAGAAGCGATCTACGGTCGTGCGCGTTGCCGTATTTGAGCACGGCCTGCTGAAGAGAGTCGTGTACGGTATCGAGGGACCTTCCGTATCCGGAGTGTCCGTATCCGTGTCCGTGATGTTCCTCCGTGCTGTGCGTATGCGAGCTGGAGTACACCGGTTTGCTAACGATTTCATACGTGGTCTTCTTATCACTCCCGTGAGTTAAGGATTTCAATCCAATGATAGCTGATAACATCAGCGCCATGAGACCGGTCATCAGAGCTTTTCCGGCGAGGAGCGCAAGTGCGCCGAATCCAACTGCGCCGAGGGTTCCTTTCATCATCATTAGACCGGCCATCAAGCCGCCCATGCCACCCTTGTCCTTTTTACGTCCTGTTAAATATATAATTATTATATATATCATTATTATGTAAAATTATCTCATTTTATTATTTTATATATATAACAAAAATAAAACTTAGTAGTCTGATAAATAAACATTATATTTTTATAGAAAATAATATTGAATTATAAAATAAAACATCTTGCAAAGCGATAGTGACTCTGCGAGGACTCTTAATTTGTAACTTTATTAACAATAAGAAGTAAACTGTAAAATTTGGCATTCAAACCTGTTTCAACATTTTGATTGCCACCTAAGCCCAGTTGCGCAAGTGTCTCTTCGTTGAAGCTCCTGGTAGCTTCAAAAGTCTTTGGATCGAAAAGTTTGATGGAGATCGAGTGACTGTTAAGATAACTACCGACCTTGTGAATTAAATAGGCATCCAGCCTTTTCTCAACGTCATTCGGGAAATCCCTCGCCAAATTGGCGACTACTTCCGATGCTGGGACATCGGCGGAACTGTTCTCTTTGATCACAGATACACCCGGCAGGATACCAATGTTTTCCTGCTCCGACAATTTATCCAGGAAGGATACCACGTCCAACTTAAGGCACGTGGCACTGTACGATTTCCCGCAATCTTTGTTCAAATTCGGTGCCAGATTTTCCGGCGCATCCTCCACCATTTGCCGCGTGGTGCGTCTCTCAATCTCCGCGTTGGCGCATCCCGAAAGAAAAAGTACCAGAAGAAGGAGATGGCAACGTGACAATTGGGCAACGTGCGTAATTCCTTTCATCGTGAATTTTTGAATTATTTCCCTGAAGTCTGGCTGAAGAACGAATTCGTGCAGTTATTTTTTTCCGTCCCAGGTCTACGAATCGCCAGTAACGCGACGATATCCTCGAAGACGAAGGACCTTGAAGCTGACGGATGAGACGCGTATCGTGCACTGGGCATACCCTCGGATACTTGCAGTATATATAGAGCGAGTCAACGGATAGTCCTTTTTCCTTTTTGCCTTTCGGTCGTTCCATACATTCTCCGTAGTCGAGAGCACCGGCGACGGAACTCTCTTCTTTGCGGACGTCGAAGAGGAGGCAGGGGCCTCTCGCATAGCCATCCAGCAACAGTGGCGAGAGGGAGCGTCAAATAGAGCGGAGAATTCGAATCTGAGTCAAATTTACGGAAAAAAACGGGTACCAATGAACGGGTGTGAGATGATGAATGAGAGCGAAGGCTAATCGCACGTCAACGCCAATTCAATCGTGTTAACGGCAGTTACAGTTAATGCGTACGCGATCAGTCCTTAACAATGCAATTATTTTTTATGCACGCATCGTTACTTTTTACACGTTTATCGATGTTATACTCCACGAAGATTTTCTCCTTTCTGTTATTTTCACTTTTAGTTGTATGTTTTATGTTGTAATAAAATGGCTTATAAATATTAGGAATTTGTACCTTACACAATTTAGTATATTTGTAAAAAAAAAAAGATTATAATTTTTTCAATTAATAAAAATTATAAAGTTATAAAAATATTTATGTAAAAATCTCCATATTGCTTTTATATAATTATTTTACAAAATAATAAACATTTCGGATATAATGTAGGACATATAATATATGGTGTGTATATGATCCGGATGGCCTAGAAATTGCTCTTGCACTATCTCGCAAAAAGATTAATAACGATTTCATAAGGGTGAAACAGGAATTGAGATTAGAGATAATACTGTTAGAGGTGACGAGATTTAATCAATTAGATCAATCAATCGGAGTAAACGTTAATTAGCCGGCTCGATTCGCCATTGGTACCCGATCGTGCCCAGCGTGAAATCACTTTCGATTTCGAAAACGAAACCAAAGAGAGCGACGGTACACATTGTGTTTGCGGAGTTTGCGAACTAAGCGCGAGTAGAAATTGCAAATTGAAAAGTTTGTCGATAAGTATATCATGAAAATTATTGCGGGCGAGGCGAAACGAGACGGGAGTCCTACTTTAAATCAGCCCAGTTTAGCTAGCTCGTAGGAGATCCGATTTTCGCGCGCCACGCTCGAGCAACGGCGCTTCAGACGGATCTGCCGATGTGAAAGTATGCAGTCGATTTTCACGGGCAACTCGATGGGGCCTTATCATTGCGTGCGCGTGTGCGTATGCGCAATACGACGAGTGCGTGCACGTTTTGATATGATGCGCTTGCATGTCCATGCGGCAGGTGTGCCGACTTAGAACGGACTAGCCTTCTTTCAAAGGCATCCATTTCGCGATTTGTTGCTTCCTTTTCACATGGTGCCTTCCTTTCGTTAATAATCTCGAACACGTCGTGCTGATTCTGTTCTCGCGAAACTATGCACGACAGATCGAATCAGTAGTGGGCGTCGGCTTTACACGATCATAAACGTCAGCAAAAAGAATAACGTGGAACGAGAGAGATTCTGAAAATCTTTTTTCATTTACCTATTCTCGTTCTTAATTAAATCGAAAATCGCGGCAATAAAGAAGGTATCTCGCGTTACGCAGATTGGATTCGGTCGCGCTTATTCACGCACTCATTCTGACGTTGCAATTTTTGTTGAGTTTTTTATCCTATCAGATCTCAATCAAAATAACCCGTAATATAATCTGTGTTTCCTGTTAAACTACCAACCATTAGTTGAAACCGCAATATTCCACTGTATTTGGGACGTCCGATAAAAAATCAAGTTTTTTTATCTCACAATTTACCACCAAGTAACTTACGGCAAATAAGGAAAGATGAAAAGAAGATGAAAGAAGTATATGAATATTATTAATATTTATTTAAATTTATTTAATAAACTTCAAATTTTAAAATATAATAAATTCATGTAAATTAAATACTAATTTATAAGATAAGTATTCTTATCGGAATGAATTTAGAATAAAGATAAAATCTTTTTTTTAACAGAAAAGACTTTTTAAACTTTTAAATTCTTTCTTAGATGATTTTTTTCAATATATAAAATTAAGGAGAAAATTTCGAAAAATACTTTCTCAAGTATAGAGTATGCTTCGTAAAAATGAGATAGGTGCATTCACTCACAAGTGCGAATACAACGTCATGGCAGGTGAATTTGTATGAAGACTGTGATTGTGCGTTCCGTAACGCCATAGTTACCCCATTTTCAGTCGAAATTGAGAGAGTCGTTGTTTTAAGAAAGTCGCTCGCACTCACCCAACAATTTGAGACAATTCAGGGAATGTTCACGCTGGATCAGAAAATATGCCAATAATTTCTCCCTGACGATTACCAGCAAATCGTGTTCTTACGCATCGAAATTGTTGGAATGTCAGCACAGTAGTACTGTTAGGAATTTAGAAAAATATACGTAACATGAAATTGATTGTCCTGGAAAGCTGGAAATTACCGAGCCCGTTTGGAACGTTGTTTACCATATTGTCCGTTAATAAACGGTATCTGAAAAATTTTTACGGACGGCTTGTTTACTTCCAAGAAGACAATTGTTATCCTTTCTTTGGCATACGCACAAGCATACAAATCGTTATTATATTCCATAAATGGTTGGATATTACCGCTCCTTTGCCGCAGAAAACTTAAGATTCTAATGCTTTAACGGGAAAATCTGATTCGTCATTTTGATCTTAGATACCTCTATAATGTTTGTGCAAAAGTAGTAATGTTATCAAACTTACTTTTCCTTTAAAATTCCTAAAAATGTTATAGTAAACTGGTTTTTGCTATATTATTAGTAAATGAACAATATTTAAACAGATAATAAATTAATATATAGCAAAAAATATATTGGATAAAAATAAATTCATTGATTAAAGATGTACATCTGCATTATCTAGCTGTTAAAATATACTTAATTAACAATTTCTCCGATATAAACAATGATAGTGTAAAATATAATATTCGGAATCTGTTAAACTATCGAATAATCGCCTTTTATTCGTCTACAATAACTTCGAATTGTAATTAACAAAATTAATACACGACAAATAATTATCTAAAAAATTGTACCACTGTCTACTACATATCGAATTTTTTTAACCAATTACGGATCACCAGTTTTTATTATACATATATGGCACCGTTTTATCTGTTGACTTCGACTCCGTATTGTTTAACGCACTGATGCATCATATGTTATGTTTTTATAATATTATTAATTTTGTTTAGTTATTAAACATAAACATCGTAGTTAATTTTGATGAATATATTCGGCTGAATAAGACTGCAGTTAAGTTGAAACTACTACCACAATCCAATGTACATCTTAGTATGTAATTTGAAATATATTAATTAGTGTAACATCCACATTTGCGCTCGTTTCTAGCCTTCATATTATTTTCCATTTATTTTATTATAACAATTTCTTATTTATATATACATTTATACACATTAGTTTGTTGTTGAATGTAACACAAATTTTCACAGTAGATATATGAATTTATTTTTTAGGAAAGCGTATGATACGAAAACACGCACATGTAGTGCGGATATGATTTATGCGTCGAGGTGTGAAACAAGAAGGAAAGAAGAAAGGTAGAATTACCGCATCTAATACACTGAGTGCTGCTCGAGTGATTGCATAGACCTCGTTAATTTGAGAACGCATATCCGTTATGTACTCAAAATGCATTGCGTGCGTTTATACTTTCGCAATTTTTTCGCGGCGGTCTAAAGTGAACGTTACATACCGCGAATTTCTTCTGCCTTGACGGCGGGGATTTATAAGAATAGACTAGTCTAGAGTCACCATGTTACATTGCGATTTTCTCACTGAGTTACATTTCAAGCAAACTGGTCGCTGCTGGCCCAGTCATGTCAAGATGCGAAATAATTTATTGTCGCAATGATAGTCTTTGAATCAAAGAAATCAGCAAGAAATTCTTGGATCTACTTTCCTAACTAAAATAAAAAATTAACGTTTCCGTTTAGCATACAAATTTAATATATATAAAATGCTTGTATATTTCATCATGTAATATTTATGAATGTTCAAATAATTTTTACAAGATAATAATATATTACAATAAAATAATATATTATTATATATCTCTCGTATGTCATATCAAATTACACACATGCAAATCAATTTTTTCTTTACATTTCTTTCTTAAATTATTTCTTCTTTCTTTAAATTTAAATTAATACATTAAATTTACAATTATATGGAAAAACATATCAAGTTTTACATGATATATAATGTATATATTCATTTAAAAAATATAATGAAGGAGAATAACATTATAATATAAAAAATTTGATTTTTAAAGGTACGTATATTGTTGTTTAAACACTTTATTAATTTATGCTCTAGTCTCAATTCACATATGCAAAATTATATTTTTATAAAAAAATCATTGAAAAAGAATATTAAAAATGAAGAAAGTTTTATTTATAAAAATATACAATTCGCAATTTTGACGACTCGTAACTTATACGGTTACAATTCTTTTATTATCATGTAAGAAAAGTTTATACAACTATATTCTCAAATTTATTGATAAATTTTATTAATATTCTTTTGTATATTTTTATTATTATTATTATTATTATAAATTATTATTACAATAAAGAAAGTCCCAATTATTTGACAATATAAACGAATAATTTTACATAACTAAATAGTACAATTGTAAATAATATTTTGTTAAAACAGAATTTGAAAATAGAATCGTATGAAAAATGTTCACTACTTGCAGAGTGTCTGCAATTTTATAAATATATTATTGAAAAAAGAATGCCTCAGCATCAGTCGATCAGAGCTTGCGTTTCTCATCATGTTCGTTACTTCTCGACGGTGCTGGCCTCTCAAACAGCCTATATATACTTGTATTCACTCTTCCACTTCTCTCGAGCGACTAATCACAACCGATGCCGTTATTTTAATCCCTACTACGAAGGCCACGATCGTATCTGCTGGTAGAAGTGGAGAACCACGTGGAGGCATTGACACACTGACCTTGATACGTGCGAAGCATCGAGGGGGAACACGGTTGACCAATCACAACCACAGTCCGCTTTCCTACCTTGCTCCCGACATAGTAACCTCATTTCCTTCCTCTTCCTAGTTCCCCACCTTGATCCGATCTTTCTCCGCTTCTCCCACCCGCGCAACATCCTTCTATCTTCCCTCCGTCCGTGAACTTCCATGTAGGTCATTAGCCTTCTCGTCTGGCCGACTGAGTGACCTGCTTATGGCTATATATGTATATTTATATGTATATGTGTATACAGCTCTCTTTTTCGATATTTATTTAATTATTTACAAATTGTAAAATTTTTGCCGCAAAATAATCCTTATTATCAATGTCGCGAATAACACATGCATATTTAGGTCGAGTCTTAATAAGATATGACATATCTGAGCTTGACAATTTACCAATGTCGCAGTGATACGACATTTTTGACAATGCGTCGATGTCACGATGATACAACGTCTCTAATAACTTGCCGATATCTCACAATGATCAAGACAAAATTTTATAAAAAGATAATTTATTTTATTTTATAAAGCAAGCACATGCAAACACACAATAAATAAATAAATAAACAGATGCGAATGGCAAATGGGACATTGCATTTTATGGAATGTCATGATGGTATGGATAATGTTCGCCGTTGTATTCCGGTGCCCAGCCTCTGTAAGGTTGATTGACCTCTTCTTCTGACCTGTGCCAGTGATCGTGATGAATTTCGTGCGGCTTTATAATTCCGTAGGAGACTCTTGGTGGCGGCGGTGGAGTGACAAGGGCCTTCAAGGCTACCGCGCCAGAAATCAAGAGCGACATAAGGCCAGCGCCCAAGCCCTTCAAACCTATCAATGCGATCAGGCTAATTACGATAGGTAGAACGATTATTGCTTTTAGCTTCAGCAGGATTAAAAGTGGCATGATCATCCTCTTCAATTTCGTGCGCGCTGTAAGCAACATACAAAATATCGTGTAAGTAATGATATTCTTTAAATTTTTCAATTGATGCGTGTATATAATTCTTAACAAATATAACAAAAGAAAGTATAGAAAAATACTGTTGAAATATTAAATTATAGTGCAAATCGTACTATATATGTATAAAGTTTGTAATACCGAACCATATATAAGAATCATATATTTGCATTAATTATAACAATAATAGAGCGCAATTAATTCACGAAGATGATATCAATAATCGTAGAATACTCGGTTCAAGGATTTCTAAAAGACTATAACGGACGTTTATCATCCAGTCTACTTTCTTCGACACGCGACACTCTCGTTCAAGGTCCTTCTTAGAGACGTCTTCTCGCAGCAGCCGTCCCAGAAACCCGGAATCCCACCAGATCTACCAAACGGTAACCCACTTCGGTCCACTCCCACCTCCGGCATTTGTTTTCGCGAATATTGATAGAAGTGGAACGCGTTGTAGCTTTCTACGTACGAATCCTTCATTCCGGTCGCTCTCACCTCCCTCTCTCAATAGCTAACGTCTATTACGAGTACCCGAATTTTTCAATATTTTCAGAATTGTGTGAAAAAAAAAGTATTTACGCATTGTAAATATACGAGTGAAAAAATTCGAGAAAACTTATGAATATGAGAGAAACAATGAACTATGTCTACGCGGAGTTAGAGAGAGATACATGGAGGATACGTGAATGGTATTTCGGCCACGATCGAATTGAAAAGAACGATACAAGTTACACTTTTCAACCAATGAATCCCGAGATTCGTGAGCTACTTAAACCTCATTGGCGAGACTTTAGAAAGGTGAGGCACTATAAGTTTGCGCCCACTGAATGATGTATTCATAACAGATCGGAACGTTAGAGAAGAACAAGAGACCTGTGTTAGATTCAAATGTCTAACATAAGTCTTGCGAGACTCTAACAAGAACTTTGATGTTACTATCAAAAATTTAATCGTGAAAATTCTTGCAAAAAAAGTACAATTTTTGTACATATAAAAAAGTTGAAGCGTTTAATGATTGATCTATAAATCAATTAGGTATAGGAAGTATATCAAATATACATTTATGAAATAATTTATAGATAAAAAGAAACATTTAACATATTTATATTGTTTCATAAAAATGTGCAGCGTTTGTGTAGTGTTAAACAGATAGATTAATATAGACTTAATAGATGAATACTTGTTTTATACCCATTATTTATTGAAAAGTAACCGTAGTAATATTTTTGAAAATTTCGAACTATAGAAACATAATTACTGTAAACAGATATAATTCATTATAATATTTTACAGTGAAAATTGTAATACTCAAGTATTCTTATATCCCAAGAAAAAATTATTGGTTTTTGAACTTATTGAAACTGTTTTTAAACTGCAATCTGTATAGATTTTATTAACAATAGATACTTCAGATATTATAGCCATTACTAGCATATTTCCTCAAATTATTTTAATCACAATTTCATAACAAAAAATTGTAAGAGGTAAATACTCCAGTTACCTCTAATTTACAAATTTGACAACATTGTTCAATTTATTAATATCAAACAATCAGTTCCGTTTATACTGTTTAAAATTCAATTTATAATAATTTTTTGTAATGCACGGTTACCTTCGGATGTTCCACGTGCCAAGCTTCTAAGTTCTATGTCGATGTTTCTCTGACCAAGAGCGCGTGCGAACAATCCAGCGGTTGAAGCGTCATTAGGAAGATTAACTTGTACTTTTCGAGTTCTCAGAAATTTTTCGATCCTGCTCACAAGCGGATCAGCGCTCTCTTCCGACGATTCCTCATCTTCCAAAACTTTTTCCAGGGTTATCATATCGCCGTAAATGTCAATGATGTCCTTTCTGTTGATCTCGTCCATCGCTCTCGTGAGCTTTTCTTCTAAATGTTCCAAACTGTTTCCATTTTCCTGGCTTCGATCGGCTATCACCAACGTCAGCATTTGCAACGCTAAGAGGATGATTACTTTGGTCTTCATTGTTACGAAGTGCTATATAGCGTGACTTCGAAGAAGCGTTTTTGACTGTTTGCCCCCGGAGCAATTTTTCTTTTATACGAACCACGATCGACTAGTGGTGGGGCCATACTGAACCATTTGGCAAACAACGTGCAAGGGCAGTAGTGTCAAGAATTTTAATTCTGCCGACTCTCTGAAGAGCTAACTTGAACATGCAATGCACAAGACTCGCGTAACGTAGATACGTCGGCACGAGTAAATTTCCCTTTTACTTTCGGAATTTTACTATCAAAATAGGAAATTTCTTAAACCTTTTGAGCTCAAGGGTGTTTTCTAATCAAAAATTAAATAATTATAAAATTTTATAAAAAGTAATAATTACAAAATTATTTGTAATTAAATAAAATTAAATTTTCAAAAGGATTACATTTTATCGTTCAATAATCTTCTTTTAGCACATGTATGTTACATTTTTTCTATAAATTAACGATAGAAAATAAAACTATTTCATTTAAGAATTTCTAATTTATTTGTATGCACCTACAGTTTATTTGCATCACATATGCATACAATGGTCTGTAAGGTTGGCTCTAAGCAATTATCATCTCCTATGTTTACGATCGGCATACATCATCAACGTATTCGTACATACAGTTTGGTGAAAATTAGATTTCCGTGTCTCTTGGTGACACGGTATGGTATGTAAAACTTGTGTCCCAAATCATGCAGTCGGAAGCCGCTCGAACAAGAGAAATGGAACGAGCGACATAAGTGGCGATCAAGGCGAAAGAAAGACCGAGGAAAACAGAAGTGGGAGTGTAAATGACCTGTAGGTATGCCTATATACGATTGGAATCGGATATGAGCTCGCACGCGCGCGGCCGGTTACAATTGCACGCCAAAAGCTGTCAATATTTCTAGTGGAAACTAATCACGTACGAGGTTTTCTATGCACCGTTCTGCATCGAATCTTGCTGTGGCGATAATTTCTCCAAATTAGAAATTTAATTCTGATTTGTATTTTGCAAGAGCGGAACAATTTTCTATAAATATTTTGGGATATAAATAATTTATTAAATACAAGCGATTTAGTTATATATATATATATATATATTTAATACGTACAATTAATCAATAATTTATTTAGTTAATAAATTACTTGCGACGTATACATATAAATATTATAATCTAGCAGTCATAGGTGGGTCCAATGGCCTCGAGGAGGTTTTTTGGCTCCGTGGGATATGGCTTTCGGATATTTCCAAGTCTCTCCATGGCAGACAAAAAAATAAAATGTCTCGTTTAATCGGTACCGTTGGCAACCGGTGCGTGTGCAGAATATGCCAAATCGTGGGCGTCGACTTCCGCGTCAGTCCTGTCGAAACTTCTATATCCTTGGTGCTGCAATCCTGCGGACGCACTAGGAATCCAAGCGCCACCTCCAGCGGCGCCGTTGTCAAACCAAGGCGCAGGATTTTTATTAAAGAAAGAACCATTACCACCAAAAAGCTTCTGGAATGCCATGACGCTGGCAACAAGCAAGGCAAATTTGCCGAAGATTAAAGCTTTCACAGCTAACGCACCTAAACCGATGAACAAAATTGGTAAAAACGCGAAAATTTTGAGACCCGCTGCGGCAATAAGTGGTAGAATCATTTTCTTGATCTTGCCACGTCCTATAATTATAAAAAAAAACAATTAATGTTATTAATTTATGAGAAAAAATTGATATTAGGTTATGAGATTATAAATTTTACGTGAAAGATATCAACGATATCATTCCATCAACAATATAAAAAGCTAAAGTTAACTTTTAATTGAATGCAAAGGCATAAAACTTACATTTATAAGTAAGATAGAGATCTGTAAGTAACTTTTTCTTGTCAATGAGTGTGCGTTTGAAAGATATAAAAGTTGAATAATTAGAGAAAGCATGATTAATGAAGATGTTATATTTTAATTCTAACAATTGCGAAATTTGCTCAAATCTTTTAAAATACATTTGAGAAAGAAAGCGAATCATTTTTTCTTCGAAGAACGAGTTTATCCGGAACAGGTCTGACGTCGTACATATAGATATCACGAAGGTGAAAGGCATGCCGAGACGCTTATTCGTTTATACTCATGACGTCGCGAATCCGTAACGTTAATCGAATAGACATAATCAAGGAAAGGTGAACGATTGCGTAACAGAAATTCTTAGTGAAGGGAAAAGGAATAAGACTTACCTTCATTCAAAGTGCGAGGGATTAAACTTTTGGGCATGTTAAGTTTCAAACTATGACTCTTCAAAAAAGAGACAGTCGAATCAATCAACTTGTTGAAAAGTATTCCCATACTGTCGGAGTTCTCGCGTGATATTTCATTCATGATCTCTATTTCGTTCGTTTCTAAATTCTTGCCAATGCGCTCCACTATAACAATCAATTTTTTTAACCAAAAAGAATGATTATCAATTTTTATCTTAATCACTTATATTATTAGCTCTTTTAAAGTATTAAAATAACATAAAAATTGACAAAAAATATAATTTGTGCATTGAATACTTATTGTCGTAGAGATTGCTTTATCAAGTGTGTTTAGAAGATATAAGTAATTTCTAAAACTGTAAGATATTTTTCAATATTTTTCGTATTTTATATTATATTAATTTAATAACTTAACAGTAAATCTGATGTTATTTAAAATTAGCATTACAGCATTGATATAGTTAAAATTTAAGAATAATATATATGTAATATAAACATATAAGAACCCACTCGGAGTCTCTCGTACGAAAGTCACGCCATCGACAATCTCGATGTCGTTTGATCGAGCCGCTCTATCAACAGCACTGATGGTCTTCGCGAAGACGCAGCTGAAGAATTCATTTTCGTGCTCCAAACAATTCAGATGTTGAGAGGGCTGCACGAGAACGTTCGTAGGGCCTGCCGCGGTATACGCAGCAAGAAGTACCAGTGCCAGCAATTTGTTCATCTTCCTCGTCTAATCACTTGTCAAGTCGTCGTGGAACAGAACCGAGAGGCAGTGGCCGGAGACGAAGCAAACTACTCTCCGGAAAATTTTCGGAACAAAGTGTGACTTGGCCCTGCGGCGCTTGAATCTTTATAGGTGTGCACCATGTAGGACCCTCCTCAGTATCCCCACTCTGGATGACGACGACGTGTATGACGACAAGGAACGATGAGACGAACGACTCATCATTGTAGGTAGATGCCGAACGGCCACCTCCCCAGAAAACTTTCTTCGATAATTTTTAAACAAACGAACGACTACGTGAAGAAACGCGTCACCACTTGGGCGGACCTAGAAGTCGCTCTCCCTAACGTCACCGAGAGAAGTTTACGTTTACCACAATAACCACTCAAAATTTGGGTCAGTAGGGGAGGTAACACACTCATTATATATTCAGGAATTATTTCTATCTGTAGGGAAAGGACCTTTGAAATCATCTATCGTCTGAGGAAGGTTCCAATATCTCTGGATAAAAACATTCTGATTAATCGTTGGACATATTTTATAATTTAGTTTAAAAAGAAGAGTATTTTATATTAATGTGAGTTTTACTTCTTAAAATATGACTTCCTTTTCTTCGTTTGTAAGATTAATAACATTTTGACATACGGCACTTTCTGTTTATTCTGCATGGCAGCAGATTATTTAGAAAACCGACAACAACGGTGATGACAGACGTGCATTTCGCACCTCGCCGCCATTCACGGTTGTAAGTACATGCTTCGCGGATATAAGCTTTTCTTATGAGTAGCACCGCGTGTGCGTGTGCATTTAGGTGACGCTAAATGTGGACAATTCCTAGTAGTAATTTTCTTCGAGTTGAGAGTAAAGCAGGTAAACACATATTTTGTGCGAATATTTTATAAATTTAAGTTAGATTAACTAAAATTAAAGGTATTTAAAAACAAATATTAAATTGAATGGAAATAAAAACCTTTTTAATTAATAATTGTTATAACTATTGTAGTTATTATTAATTTTATAACGTGTTACGTTAGCTTTAAATATTTTTTCGGAGCAATTCAAACATCATAGCTTAACTTCCTTTGAGAATCGATGCATTCTCCTATAATCAAGTTCACCAAGTTGCTTACCTTGACCCAGCCACGTTCGTCGGTAATACATGAACAGATTACATCTCCAACAGGTTTTCTTAGTAAAGAATACCAAAGCTTCTATCTACGGAGGTTATTTACAGCACTGTTGTTTAAAGGAAGTAGATATCTCTATTATTCTAAAGAATGGTTGTGTGAAATAGCTTTATACATAGTGAATTCCAAAAGTTTTTGTTTTCCTGCTTTTTGTTATACGCGTAGAATAATAGAGATATTTACGACTTAATACTTGAGGTAGCAGTACTGTGGACATATAATTCTGTAGAGATAAACCCACTCTCTCCTATAACTTGAGTTAATATAACTTTTTTTACTCGTTTTTTAATGCTTTTACTTCCACTCGGTTATTTTATTATGTTACCATTAAGTAATATGTAATTATTATAATTTACAATATTTTATTAATCCTGAATTTAAAAAAATATATAGCGGAGATTATACATGAAAGAAATTCATGTAACACGTACAAACAATAAATAATAAAGCTATCATCAACATTACTTTTTAGGCAACTACTTGGAAAGGTAACTTATTCACAAGAGGTATTCCATTGTGCTCCACGCGAATCTGTTTAAATATTTAACAGGTAGGGAGGGATTCTTTGTCATCTTCGTTTAACGGTATCCGACCTGGAAGGAACAAGACAATTTTGCGATTAATTTTCTGGGTTACGAATATCATCGGTTACTTTCTTCTACAAATATCATTTTTCGAAGGAATTTGTGTGAGAATTTTTGTCTATGACAAATTCATCAATATTTTAAAAAAATTTATTTTTTTCAGAAAACGAAAAGTTTATATAGAAAATAATTGTTTATTGATCGTGTAATAATAAATAAAAAATTACTAACTGGTACATCTATCAGTGATCATATCTAACGCAAACAATTGCCAATACTTACATTTGATGTATAAGTATGCAAAACATTATATTTTAAAAATAATATAACTATGATGAAGCATAAAAGACTAAGAACATCTCCAACTAAGAATGAAGAAAATTTAGAGAATCAAAGGTCGATGACTTATATTGACCTATATATCGGGTCAGTCGAATCCTTGTCTTAGTTTTATTTTTTTTAATAATGCAAAGAATATACACCTTCTTTAACTTTCTCTCAATTGTTTATTACATAATTAATGTTAATATTCTCTATTTTGGATTGTTAAAAAAATATTACACTTAATACATAAATGTTTTTTCTGTAGTAGTTACAATATTTTATTTTCTTATAATTAATATTAAAATTTATATTTTAATTACACAGAATTATATAAATATGTTTAATTATAACGCTCAAAAAATGTTTGTCGAACATTTATTTACATAACTGATTCATGTAACTTCAACATAGTTACGAAGAGAGAAATATACTATCTACAAACTAGTTTCTCGAAATCAAGAAACTTTCTCTCTTCTTACATCTCTTTTCTCTCTTTCTTACATCATGCTAGTGAAATGAGTCAAGACATTGAGATTATTACTCATCTTTGAAATGTAAAAGAGACGTAGAGCTATCATCGAGTTGTAGTAAATCAATAATAATTGAATATATTTATTTTAGCAGTTGTATGTTTTCATCTGCGAATTTCATAGTTTTTGGCAACTTTCACCAATGTATTAACAGTCAGTTATTGCAGTTAACACAATTAACGCAAGCAGTTAACGCATTTCCATTATAAAGCTCATTCTTCTTTGATGTTAATACAAATAAAATACAAATTGTTATAACGCTAGATACAACAACGGTTCGTAGATTGCTTCTTTTGAATTTATTCTATTTACAATGTTTGATCTTAGTGTTATATTATCGTAAATAAACGCTAGAATAAATAAATAAATAAAACAAATAAAAAAATAAATTAAAAGTATAAATAAATACATCTTATTCTTAATTTTATATATAGTGTTAATCCTTTTTAGAATTGTTTGAAATTAAACAAAAATTGGTATTGTTTTACGGCAAACATTATTTTAAAAATAAAAATAATCGAGGAACCAACAAAGAATTTTATTGTCCGTTAATAATTCTTTTCACTTCTTTTTACGTCGCTCTTTGTAAAATCGATAAGGTTCGAATTCTTGCACGTCATCAACAAAATCGTATACATCTTGTCGGCTGTGCTTGTTGATTAGATCGTAGCCGTGGTCCTTCTGGGCAACCTTTTTTAATCCAACTATGGCTGCCAGAATCAAACTCATCAAACTCAGCACAACAGCTTTTCCACTTAGAACAGCCAATGCCTTTAACGTGATGGGCAATAGAATCGATTTTATCAGCAAAAATCCAATGATCAAAGGCAGAATATATTTATTCAGTTTTTTTAATTTCTTATCTTTACGCCCTGCAATTAATAAAAATAAAGATACTTAATAAATACGAACAGATGTAATAAAAAAAATATATAACTCTGTTACATTTAAATTTATAAAAAAACACGGTTAATAAAAAAAAAACATATCGTTTTATCCCCACTTGGTATCCTATATATACTACATTGCCCGCAACGTTCTACTAATCACTACACATGTTGGCTTAAAAGATTATATTATATTATAAAAGTATTTCATTCCCTCGAAAACCAGGATGTGCATACCAAGCTTCATCGAAGTATACTTTACTTATTAGGTACGATCGTCACGGAAGTTAATAAAGATGAACTAGAGTAGAAAGCACTTATTTTTTTGTACCGCGAGGCTCCGCGCGCCCGTAAACCGAAAAGTATCATAATGTAATGGACAACATGTGCAATTACACGCTCCTTTAACGGCGTTTGATTAATATGCGGTCTCATAATTCTATTTCACAGCAAATTTTCAAATCTCTGAATTGATTGATACTAAATAATTTGAAATGCCACACTAAATTTGTCGTCTTGTTACTCCGCAATTCTCTCAGTCCAGATATATTACAATTTAATATAAAAAAATTTATGATTATTATCGAGAAAAAATGTTTAACAATATATAAAAGCATAGTTAACATTAGTTTTAATACTAAATTGCATAAAGACGTCTATAGCCACGAATTTTGTAATAATTTAAATTTTCCTACTTGACATTGGTAAAATTAGAAATGTAATTATAAATTTAGTAGTAAAGATTATACATTAAAATATTTAAATTTTTAAAAACGATTAAAATAATTTCTTGTTGAAATCTAGAATATTATTAAAAAGTAGTTATTTTTGTTAACAATTTTTTATTTAATTGTATTTTATTAATTGCTTGTTCTTTATACACTGCTTTACTATTTATAATAAAATCTGAACATTTTTTTATCAATCATTAAGCATGCAAGACTTGAAAATGGTATAGGTTTGGCTCTACGTTTAATCATAAATAATTATTATTGTTAGTACCTTCTATATTATCGCGCGATTTTGAAACTGGAAAAAATGTATCAACAATGTGAAAAAAGCTTTCACCAATCCAGTCTAAAGAGTCTCTAGAGTCGTTCCGCAGCATCTCTCGGTCCAGTATCTTCATTGATTGCGATCCTTGTGCTGCGACGAATACAGGTAGAAAGAGTAGCATGTACAGAAGTATCATCTTTCCAGCATCTAGATTTCTTTTATTCCTTTTCTATATATATTTTTTTTATAACACACTCTATGATCACGTTTTATCTCGAAAACTTCGCTTATCTTGCGATCGCGACCGACCTCTCCGTCAATAATATGTTAACTGACATTCGTGCTAGACCGGGCTATTAGTTTATATAGTGGGACCGCGAAAAGCTCAGAGGAGGAGACTACTCATCTAACTTGGTACTGATGCGTGACGAAGGATCCAACGTCCACTCCCGTACCTCCCGAGCTAAGTCTACCTCGATCATTGGACGCTGTTCGTGTCTACCGCTCTTGAAAACGAATTAAGGATCTTCCCCGGAATATTTCGACCGGCGTAAGTAGATCGTACTCTCCGTCAAACGTCCTCGCCACTACTGTCCTTTGTCGTGAGAAAATACGGCATCTATTATCAATTGAGTTTGTTTTACACTCGAATAGTTGTGACACAAAGACGAGCTCCAACTGCCGCAACCTATGGCTTTATACCGCGAAAAGTAAACCAGAAGTAATACAAATTAAGCCGTTCCATTCCAAAAGCAAATCTATAATTAAAAAAGATCAATCACGTTCCGATTGTAACGATAATAATTGGTATCTAATTAAATTAGAGCCAATAATTTTTGCTTTGTCACGCTATCAGTAATAATCAACTAATATTAAAAGATTTTGACTAATTATACTAGTAAATGATATCATGTCTCTATTGTGCAGTATATAAAATTGAGTATTACAAAAGAAAGTGTACTTGATTTTAGAAATCGACTTTTCAATTAATTAAAGACTGCAAAAAAGATCTATATTCATGCTCATCGTCAAGTGAAGTATTTTCTATCAACATCACAAAAAATGATGTTTTACGCTTGAGCACGATAGATAAACGTTGAAAAAGCAATAAAGAGTAACGTTGTTATGACTGATTTAGATACAAACGTCACATCCACGTTATTGGAGTTATATTTTTAAAAAATTATTAATAAATTAAAATATATAATATTTTTTGAAAATAATTTTGATCATGTACAAAAGAGAAAAGTATTGTTGTAAATAAATTACCGTTAAGTACATTTTTTACATGCGGACGAATTTTTTTATTCAAAAAGCAATTTTTTGAGACTTTCATGCGTGTTTTATAGCTTATTACAATTAGTATCTTTTATTATTTCATACCGTTATGTATACTTATATATTAACGTTATTATACGTTAATTTACTTTACGAATAGAGTTGTTATATCGTTAATGTCACGTCTCCTCTTTTGTGTGTGAGCGTCTATTATTTGTCAAAATTAAGATACCGTAGGCTAGCAATAGTAATAACAGTAATAATAGTTCCACGTGAGTGAGCTTACAAATGATATACATTATGCTCATAAAACTAGTACAGTAATCACGCAATATTGTCTATCAGTAAAATTTATTATTTATTTTAAAGACAGTTGCCGATTTCTGAAATCTTAAGAACATAACAATTGATAATTGATTAAACATTCTTCAAACTTGTAATAATCATAATAATAATATATAAGTATAATTATACTTTATCAGTCAGAAAATTTAGCAGTGATTATTATAGAACATTATATTTATCATAATCTATGATAAATATAAAAAATAACGGTAAGAAATGTTAAAAAAATAATAATAAAACAATAATATAACAATGACAATGATCTAACATACGGAACTAGGAACCAATATGACCAACATTGTTTATTTCATTTTCTTTATTTCATCTTTTAATATCCTTCTTATTTATAACAACCATTATCATTCAGGATTCAAATTCATGAAAAAAAAACAGTCAAATTGTTCTTTATTTCCTGTTTCCAAGAATCTGAAGTGACACGCTTAGGTGACATATAAATAAAACTACCGTACCGATATGTGGGTTGTCGGCTTCATACATGAGGGATTCGACTAATGCGCTACTACAATCTATTTTCAAATAGCCAGTCTGATGATTTCAAAAGCGACAAACATTATAATGCATGGACAATATCTTTTATTAGAAACAACGCATCCAAAAAGACAATTTTGATACCCGTGCGTAATCAGTGCGTGTAGGTTCCCTGCGATAGTAAATATACAGGTTTATTACTCGTGAAACTGCCTCGATGTAATATCCGAGAATGAAGAAAGTTACGGAGAGAGTACATATGTGATAATGACTGTTAAGTATCAGTTAGTTCGATGTAGTGCATGTGACTCGTGATTTTCAGAGCAGATAAGAACCTAATGGTTACGGGAAACAGTCAAGCTATTAATCATTCAATAAAACGGAAACACCTCGCGCTGTATAACGCTTTGTCTCATCAATCTCGTGCGCGAGCATCCGATACATATTTTGCTTCATTTCAATTATGCAAAATTGCTATAATTTTTCCGCATTTACCATATTTTTCCGCAATTTAATAAGTATTAAGCACATTAATATCAATTAACTCTGCAGGTATTAAATAATATAGTTGACTCTCATCATGTAAATTCTGATGTCAATTTCGCATACACTTTTTTTATCACATTACTTTTTTATTCGATAAATAATACAATGTTCGTTTTATTTGAAATATTGTATATCTTTATAGAGAAATATTTTTCTCTTTGTTACTTTAAATTTTATCATTGAAGAAGTAGAAAAGAATAATAAAATCTATTGAATACTTGAACCAGTTAAGCAACACCGATGTCCTTATTATGTCAAAATATTACACTTATATCTTTATCATATCTATCTTAGGACAAATGGAAAGTAAGTGCAACAGTGTCTATAAATATTTTCGGACCCATATACCTACATACGTAAATTGGTACATTAAACGCAACAAGAAGAAAATATTATCAGATTGTAAGGATCATTTAAAGCTGCTGTGGGTTATTAGCAACCCGCATGTCTGCTGGGCGTAACTAAAAAAAAAAAAAAGATCCCGTCAAGATCATCTACGATTGGTCAATCTTTTCACGTAGATTTCTACGCGTAAACACGCAGATTTCTAATTTCTTATCCTGCGGGTAAGATGCTCAATAAGATGCTCATTTACGTCGTTGGTTACAGCAATGCGCAATATTCTATTGTGCACTTAAGCGGAACCACGTGCTTTAGATAGGTTGGATATATATGCAGCAGATTGCAAAATGTATGTAGTACAGTTTGCGATGCTCTGTTATGAGCGTAGGATGATGCTCTGACGAAAGACAGATCGATAATCTAAAAGTGGCGTAACACAGAATTGAAAAGCGAGTGAGAGGGAATAAAGTGAAACAATAACACGACTCTTCCGGATATTCTACCGGATATCATTTCAATCACAACTATATAAAGCTAAAAATAACAGCAATTTATATTAACTTGTAAATAGGATTATCTAATAAAACAATAGAATTATCTAAACAAAAAAAAACGCTAATTGGTTTTTTTAAATATTCGAAATTATTCATGCGAATAATCACGATAAGATTATCGAACATGCTATGTTAATTAACTTGTAAGCGTGAAATATCTTCCAGCTGCTTATCAAAACTAAGGGAATAAAAAGTCATTGAGAGATACAAAAGCGCATATCATTTTGATAGATATCTCAGAGAGATTTGAAAATGAGTTCAAATTTATAAGTTGATTTTCCTCGAGATAGGATTCGAGGTAGATCAAATCACGTTGTGATCTTACATGACGACAACGTGGACACGACGCGTTTCCGACATGAAGACCATTGATCGAGTTCTCTTCGGCCCGGATATCTGCGTGGCGTAACTGAAAAAGAATCGCGCGTTCATCGCAAAAAGACGTCAACGCATCGTGTTCCGCAAGTCCATTTCCGCCCCTATAGAGGCGTTATAACGCGCTCATTCGCGCGACGGCCTCCACTCCCTTTCTCTTGCGCGACAAGAACACCCGCAGGAACCTTCTTATCTGCGACAACCACGTACGTGCCTCGCGTATATACCGTTCTGCGATATAACGTGACACATATATCGGTACTGACAATTTGGATCATAGTGTTTACCGCGAGCGTATATATCGCTGGCTCGCCGGTCGGAGCTCATTTTGCACGGACTGCCGATTTTCCCGGCAACTGAAGCGTGCCCGGCGTGGTATCCGCGCCGTCCGGTCAGTTTGTCGTCGTGCGGTGGATCAACGGCGGATCAGTTAGTTCGCGGTTGCTCGTTGCACCGTTCATTCCTATTCTTCCTACACTGTCCATATCCAGTTAACTTCCTATATGTCGTTTCCATAGGTGACCACTCTAAATTCTCGCATACGGAACAGAACGGGCGTAACAAAAGGTGGGCACGAGCAACGGAAGAGGCATGTCGTGCCGGTCGTAACGTTCATCTTTTGTGACCCGTCGTCGATCCTAGAAAAAGAGAGTGCTCGTCCCTGTCATCCATTCGAATGTTTTTGCGATTCGTGAAAACCACGTTCGTCGGGTACTCTGTGACCTGGGAAAACTGTCAGTGCGCGATGACGTCTTGACAATGAAATAGGGTGAGTTAGGCGAAAGAGTGAGAACACGTAGACGAAACCGCGTGCAGATACCACCAGTGGATTTCCGGCGAGAGCCCGTTCTTCATGAACGCAAGGAAAGATGCTGTCGAGAGTTAATATGGTCGCGATTTTGCTGACCTTGAATTGCGTCAGTCGCGCGATTGAGCATTCGAAATCGGCGCTAGAGAAATGGCAGGAAGAAGAGAGAGCCGTCACTTCCGGCAAGAAGGTCCTCAGGTACACGTATGATAATGTCACCTTCGAGAATCCCATTTCTTCGGTCAATGGTCGCAACGTCAGAGACAAAGTAGCCAAGATCCATCGTTCAATTGATCAAGACATCTATAATGCATATTCTAAGATTGGAGTGGAGGAACGAGGTAAATCAAAAGCAGCCTTATAATGTTTAATGACAGAAATACTTTTACCTCGTATTGCAAGTGCTATAAAACACTAACGCAAAAAAGATAATAGCAAATACATTATGTTTGAATTGTCTTTATAAAGTATAATTTACTATACCGTTGTATAACGGTTTTTCTTTAATGCTAAATGATTTTTATTATTAAAATGATACATTGAATATTTATTTCTTTTAAAGTTTTATTTTATACTAAAACATTAACAAATGACATATCAATAAATCTAACGTTAATTTCTCGATTGCAATGAGTTTTTTAGGTATATCAAAAGTTTTCAATAATTACATTATTAATTATGCTCGGTATTGTATTTCGCTTGCGTGTTGATTATGCAACCTTGTAATATACGTGAAATTATTTTTATATCGAATGTTGTAATTTATAAAGTTAATACTAGAGACAACAGTGTTAAATAATTTGGCATTGTTGTGTTTAGCAAGTTCTCAAATCACCGAAAGTATAATATGTTCAAGATTTTATCATATTGTTTTGTGATAATTTTTCCAGACGAAGCACGACGTAAAAAACGGAAGGTTGGCCGCACTTTGCTAGCGTTGCTAATGGCGTACAAACTCAAATTTGTTGCTCTGATACCAACGATACTCGGAGGTTTGATTCTTCTCAAGGGAACGACGCTGCTTGCGGGATTCTTCTTCGCTCTATTCGCTGCCGTTCTTGGACTGAAGGTACACTGACAATAAAATCAAACAGGATCTTTGGAAGGAGCGCACCAAGAACACACTAAGAAGTGAGAATGACATACGACTTTATTTCGTAATAATTTACAATCAAATTAAACTTGTATAACTCTATTCGCCGTTATCCTTGAGAAAGTATTAAACGCCTGTGTGCACAAAGTAACACTTAAAGGCCGAATTTATAATCGCTTCTCGGAGTCAAACGTATACATATCGTATACATCTCGTAGAATGCGTCGCGTCAAGTGTATACTTATAAACACATTAAGTCAAATTATTTTTTATCTCTTAAAAACCACAAATGATAAATGCTGCGCGAAATGATCCGCATGTATTACGAAATAAATGTTACGTTTCTTAAAATGTAATATAACTATATGAGTTAATCATTGCAATAAATATTGACAGATGATGGAAATTAGTATTTCTTATTCGCTACATTTTAATACTCAAGTGTTTTAGTCATCACGCTTATTCTACTGAACACACGATTTTAATAACGTAAACATTGATACAGATACTCGTGTAAGTATTTGTCGCAAGCTACACATTCCAAACTCTCTCTAAGGTTATTTTATAAATCTAAAATAAATATATACTTTGCCGTCTACCTTGGTGAGGTACTATAAATAAATATATAAATATCGCAAGTGTACTGAGAAACGACTGCAAATTCGGCTAATCAAAGAATGAAGTCTGCTATCTTTTCGCTTGACCTCGAGACTGTGATCGCGTTCCGATTGTCGACAAAAACTTCGAACCGACACCGTTAGAAATTTGCGTGCGTGAAGATTACTCTCTCGCTATCGCATTTCGTTTGATTATTTACTGGGGCAATTGACAGTTGAAATGCAAATATTTGTAGTTGTAACTTCTTTTATATTACATTTTTTGACACAATTATTTACATTTCATCTATGATTTGCACATTTTGTCTCGTTTTACAGAAAATTGTCAAGAATCGCGGCAACTTCTTCTACGGGCCAAGTGTATATAATAAACCAATTTCTATTGCATCATTGCATCAAATAGCTGCATCATTTATGAAAACCGTTAATTTACAAGAAATTACAACGCGATTATTATCCAATCGATGATCATTCAAAAAGTGATCAGACTTGTAAAAATTTACACGAATAAGACAGCTCGCTCATTTAAATTTTCTTTCCTACTTTTAATATTTTTAAAGCTTTTGCATTTTTAATATTTTCTTTCACATTTTTTTTTATTCCAACATTAACGTCACTGATATATTCCATCTTTACACTCTTCTTCGTTATTTATGCAGTACACATAAATACGATGTCTTATAAACGATAAAATTGGTCTTAAAACATAAATAAGTGAATCATCGATGTCTCGAACTGTCTCTGAAATCGCGTATTATTTGCTCCTTTGGATACAGGCGTTGCTCCCTCCCAATACCTGAAGATTTGCCATTGCTTCTTTCTGCTGCAAATTGTTTAATGCTTCTGCCGCGCGCTGTAAGCCAAGGTCTGAGCGTATTCGCGATCAGCTTCCGTCATCGATGGTACAGGTGCGCCTACGACTCCCTTCAGACTTCTGTCCCATCCACCTCCGCCTTGCTGCCAGCCGCCATGATCGTGACCGCCCTGCTTTTGGCTCAGTAGCTTCTTCAAACCGATGATCAGCGACAGCACCAAAGCGATCTTGCTGATGATCAAAGCTTTGCCGGCCAGCAGGAAAAGCACGCCCATAGCAATGGGAACTAACGCGGCAAGTTTCATCGCGAATCCCATCATCATCATGCCCATCATCTTCTTCATTTTCCCACGGCCCTCCTCGATACTTCGTTTCAATTCGCTGGAACTTGTCTTTGGTAAGCTGATCTGCACGTTGAAACTGTTCATTAGCGCGGCTACGCGCTCGAACAGAATGTCGTTGAGTACTTCGTCCATGGCCCCTCCGTTGGTTCTAGCCAAAGTCTTCTCCAGATCGGAAACCGTGTTTTTCGAGCTGTCGTCTATCGAGGAGGCAGCTTTGATCAGCTCGAGATTTTCGCCGATCGGTAAAGTTTGTATACGGCCGAGTCTCTCAAAGAAGGCGATCGCCTTCTTCTTCAAACACGGCGACACAGCCATGTTGCGATGCTCGCACTCCTCGTAGACACGATAAAGGGCACGGTATCCTCGGTCAAGGAATCCACCGTCCTCATCGGCGTGAATAATTGCACTGCAGACTAACAACAGCAGCACGCACTTGGGTATAATCTTAATCGCCGACATGCTGGATGGCTTTCCAACTCGCGAATGCTTGGCTGGGCAATTTGGAATTAAATCACAGACACCTCGTATCCTCGAAATCACGCGAGAGGCACGCGACTCGAAATTCGAAGTGACTAGTCGGAGATACGAACAGTTGCGCGCACCCACGAGATGGATGATCCTCGACTAGAGAGAACTGGCATCAGGACCAAGTCTCCGGGCAGATATATACCAGCGAGGAGCCATCCTCCTAGATGCCATCCTTCACGAAGGGGGTGAGGTATCTCTCTCGTATAAACGGACGGATATGCCGGTGCACGTGACGACACGACCTCACTTGTATGAGTGGATAATCCTCTTCTATCTTCTCTCCGTCGCGAACCCCTCTCGTCCTTGCATCCTCCTCTTTCTCTTTCAGCTCGCTAGACAGCTGCCATCGCGGCGGGACGGGGCCGAGGTAAAAATTCTCATGGTGGTAGCGCGCCAAGAGCATGTGACCCTTCCTGACACAGAGACCCACTCGCGTCTCGAGATCGAGACACTGCTGTTCAACGGCCGCCACGCGATTCGTTCATTAAATTTCGCCGCGGCGGTTACGTACTTGCGAGTACTATGTGTGCGTCTTCCGCGTCACGTTAGTGTGCGGCCTCATCATGATTCGCATCTTGCGCGGGAGGAGAGGCAAAGCCTCTGTGTTGAGATGAGACCAGAGGGGAGCGCCGTGGACTGCATTGGCAGAGTATCTGGCACCGTGATCTCGCTGACCCCTGGCATAACGTGAGGATGCTAGAAACTGGTTCCAGGTTACGGACAGCCCGTGACCTTCCTATCGTACGATTTTCCTCCGGCGCGGAATGAGCGAGGATTATCGACACGGATGATCTACTTTCCCTGCATTTTGGTGTATCATTCTCATCATGTTGTCCCGTATAGATGGTAGATCGATAATGTTTTGTATTTATATATGACATATAACGATAATCGTCGCGAACGGTTTTCCATTTTTTTTTTATCTTTCTTTATTGCCAGACAAGTCAATTATTGTTCTAGAAACAAATAATTGTAAATCGCATAAATACATGAAGAACGAGAAAATAATTTGAAATTATCTTTGCTTATCTCTGCTCTTTCAGTAAGATATGCCGTTGAAGAAGAGATTTCATTTCGTTCCAGATTTATTGACACCGAAATACGTAAAGCGAGACGAACAAAATAGTAACGTGCTTCGTGATTACATGATGTGATACTGCTTTATTGCGCAATAGTACAACTTACGACTGCATAGCACCTTAACTCTTGCACAAATTGCGCTTTGATTACGTACACATCGCATCCCTCAACACACGTCATATATATATAAACCAGCTGTCGTTCATTTTTGGTGTGATAGCTATGAAATGAAGATTACCACTAGATGAATGAACATTACGAACATGGAATTCACAGCCTTATGGCGTATAATTAGCTAATTTACTCAATTACTGACAATGTTTTGACATACATATGCGCTCCGTATATGAGTGCTGATTACATTAATGCATTCATTAGACATTTTATAGCAATTTGCTACTAAAAGATAAATGACTTTTTATACAGTTAAAACAAAGCAAAATTTGGGAATTCAATTCAACAAAAGCTAAATTTTTTCTAAAGTAATTATTATTATAATTTTTTATTATAATAGAAATAAACGTTTTTTATTTATTTGTTTTTTTTTTCGAAGAAATCATTGTCATGTAAAAAATAAAAAAAAATCCGCGCCTTTCGTATACGAAATTATAGCGCTTAACCCCGAAAGGATTAATGACGTGTGCAGACCCACAACACTGTCGGTATTCTGTTTTCTTCTTGTATCACGGTTTGTTAGGAGCGTGAAGCTGAGCGCACGGCGCATCCTCGACACACTCGATCGAGGTTAGCGCATCTCTAATGCGACAACAGCCAACGATGCATCCTCCATACTGTTACCTACTTCGCGATTATCCCATAGTCAGTGCCACGGGCCCACACAGACGGTGTTTAACTGTATTAAAGCCCGTGCCACATTCTGAGCGCGCAGTTATATTCTCACGAACGGTGCGAGAAATGGATTCCGCCGCGATGAGACTACGCACAGTGCGGTTGGGCTCAATTATTATTCGTTATCTGATACCGCTCAGGTCCCAAGTCACAAAAGCGGCGGACTTTCGATTGTTCGCAAAAGTAGAGAAGTAGAACGTTTCAGCCGAAACATTTATCTTAATGACGTCGCATGAATTATCCCATTCATCCCTCAACATCTAATTCGCGGAAGTTTGCCGAAAGAATAGATACTTTCCGAGGCGTCATTGGGTCACAATAATGCGAACTATTCTTCGCGTAGAAAATTGAAAATTAAAATAGGCTACCCATTTACCACTGGACTTTATGATTTAAACCTACCAAACTATAAAGTGTGGAAAGGTAGATAATTCAGAAAAGTCTCACGTAGTAAAAGCTTCACTTATACGGAAGATCAGTTATGGTGCGGAACGCACAGGTTTCCGGAATAATAAAAGTGAGGCAATAGGTTAAACCGTCATGAACGATTTCCTCGAGAGATATTTTAGACAAGAACAGGACGTTTCTGCCTGTTATTAGATTCAGGTCAACGATCAGCAACAGGTGGTTCTGCCGATTCGCATGCGGAGGATTCTGATTTAGCTCATTACCGGATCATGTTTGTTCGCATTAAATTTAGTATGGTTTAATATAGTAGAACGAAAAAATTCAGATTCCAAGAGCCTAAAAGAAATCAAACTCCAAGAGCAGATTCTAAAGAGCTCTAATTCTCTACTGAAAAGAATTAATTTAAAATACTAAAGCTGCATATACATATAATATATGATAGCAAAAAATTGTTCAAATAATCGAGCTCGTGATGAGTATAATCGAGCATAGGAAAGCAGTACGCAGAAACATCAAATTTACATAGCAGACATAACAAGATCCATAAAACATCGCAAAATATTTTACAGAGAATAATAGCTCTTTGAATTATACCGTACATTAACGCTGAGGATATACGAGGAATTTTAGACGTCGATCAGACACTAAAGTGCAGGAGCTGCATTCTTCGTGCCATGTTAGGATGCGTATAGCCGGTAACCTTCGGAGGCTGTAACCCTGCATACTCTGAGTAGTGAATCGAGGATGCTCGATTGGCCCAGTGGCATACAAAACACTCGTCAAAGAAAAAGATCAGGCTTTTTAGGCCTTATTCTCCACTTTCCGGCGCACGAGGATCGTGGGAGCTGCAACAAGTGAAAAGCTTTTTCATTCACTTGACAATCTACTTATCATCGTAATTCAGCTCGCGCATTCATTTAAACATAATAACTTTTTACATAGCAGCTGTGGTAATAAAATCAGAACAGTTCTTCCGTTGTAATATAACGATTTTTACTGTCACTTTATATACCACGATGCGTGTAATTAGGAATAATAGACAAGATGATAATAATTGTTTATTTTAGATTAAAATACTCTTGGTAAACTTTTGGCAAATAATATAATTGTATATACTTGACAGTAGAAAACTTAATTGAATTTCATAACATTTTTAATCTGTTATATCAAAGAAAATTCTCCAAATGCATAATGTAGTACGTATTATATAATCATCATGTATTATATAATATAACAAATAACAGATAATGGAAATAATTGATGATAAGTACCTGGAATCAAACAATAAGCTCAAAGAAAACGTGAAATAGAAAACGTGAGTATGTAAGGTAAATAAGAGTAGTTAGGGCTAACACGTAAATTAATCATATGTTTCTCATCACTTTCTACTTTCTTCAACAACGTTTCTATTATCGGTCTATTTGATATTAAATAGATTACCTTTCTCGCAAATTATGGGTCCGTAAAATTACATTAAAATGTACCAAGAGCTTGCATAAAAATATCTACTCTGACCAACATATTCGTTGATGCCTGACCTTCGATTTCGATAAATTTGAAATTTCATCTATTTCGTCCTCTCTGCACAGCTACATACTTTTTCCACCCTACCTACGTTCTTTATCTATCTATCTTACTGAGCGTAAATTTGACCGAATATGCGAGTCAATGTGTATCGCACGTACTCCACAAATACATTATTCCGTACTTCGGATAAGTCGAAAATGATGATACGCGTCGCTGAGATTTATCTTCTCACTGCGCTTCATGCACTCCATTTCACACTGTGGCAAGTACAGTACTATGTACTGGGTATGTGCGCCACTATGTGCGTGCAGAAACGTACGGTTCTATAGCACCGGTTGGAATAATTTTACGCGCATGATGCATTTTACCATAGATGCATTCACGCTCTGTATGTCGTAACACCACTTTACTCCGCCATTATTACTAATTGCTAGAGCCTATAAATATGACGATCTCCACAAAGCGTCAGTTCTGATCGAACATGCTTTGGCGACTCTTCGCGGTTCTGGCGGTATTAGGCGGTTTTATCGCCATTTGTTCTTGCGAACCCGTGAACAGAAAACATCTACTGAAAGCGTCGAGGACAATCGAGTGTGCCGGCAATGAAGGTGACATCTCCATGTGTAGAACCAATGAGTCGGCTGATACTCCTTCGTCAAATAGCGAGAATCAAACGCGATCCAGCAGGAAAGTTGAACAAAAACTCGTTGATGATGTCAATGACGTAGGTGAAGGTAAGAATTCTTGCTGATTTGTTAAATAAATCCTACATAGCTTATGTAATACACAACTAATGAAAGTAATCGCGTCTTATATATTTTTTAAAAGTAATTTCAAACTAAGAAAAAAGATGTTAGATTAAATTTTCTATTAAAAAAAATATATAATTTAAAAACTATATACATTTAAGTATACTAATAAAATAAAAGTTTACTTTTATTTTACTTTTGTACTTCATTTTTTGTGTAAAATTATCTCAAAATATATACAAATTCTTTTGTTGTCTACATGTACATGTATTGTCTGTTGTCAATTATTGTTTTTTGAATTTTGCATTTAATACCGAATTTTTGAATAAAAAAATATTCTATTGACATAAAAAAAATTGAAAGAAAAGCCTTTCAGTTTTAATAATTTTATAGTCGATATTTCCAATCTCTTAACCAGCAACTAACCAAACAAATATTAAGCAAATATGAAATAATTAAATTGACTTAATAATTATATTAAAAAGAAATTGTGAATAGTGCATTTAGTAGTAAATAGTCATTACATTTAATACATTTTTCTATTATTCCTTTAAAAAATAATAATGATTTAAAATCTGATATTATGTATACGGAAAAAAAATAAAGATAAAGACGTATGTTCGTTCACATATATAGCGTTTGTTCTTAATAAATGTCTCCGTTTCCTCATAATATCAATATATTATTGATTAATTTAATTTCAGGTTACAACTAGATAGAAGGTACTAAATTAATTGATTAATTTATTTTAAATTTCAGTTTCTGCTCGAAAAAGAAATAAAAAAGGAGGTGGCAGAATAATATTTTACATGATAGCTGCTTTAAAAGCAGCATTGGTTTATGGACTTTTACATGGTGTTGCAGCTCTCGCAGGGAAGGCAATATTGCTTGCCAAAATAGCTTTAGCAATTGCCATTGCCGCAATTGTAAAAAAGAATGGTACGTGGTAGGTAAATCAAATTATAAAAAATTTTTATGAATGCTTTTACATTTGAAACCCAAGTCTTTATGATCAAAAGAAGTGCATATAAAATATTCATTTTTTTATAATAATAATGTTATACAGTCAATTAAATTAAACAATAAAAAATGGGAAACAGAAGAATATTGAAAATAAATATTGTGAAGAATGCACAACTTATGAATTCTTTCAAAATAAATCTTTTCAAATTAAATCATATTTTGCTCTTTAACAAAGTTTATAACATACATTTTATTTTTACCAGTAATATATTTTATAATTTATTTTTATAATTGTTCCAAAGATTTATGATACATTCTGTAAACTATTCTGATCATAGAAACTTGATAGATTAGCTGTTCTAAAATAATTTTTTATGACGTAAAAATAGATCATTAATTTATATAAAATAATCCAGTTAATAAAATTTTTTTTCAGATTCTGAAAAAGTTTCTTATGAAGTAGTGAAACATCCACATCACAGCTATATACAAACCCACAGCTCTAGCGTCGATTACGATCATCGTAGTGATTACAGTGACGATCGTAATGATTACCGTCCTGATTACCGTAATGATTACTTTTACGAACATCGAAAGCGACGCCAACTTATATTTTAATATAAATAGATTTTCAAGCAAATATAAAATGAATTATTTATAAAGTTATTTATATAAATCTATTTATAAACCAAAATATTTATGAAGTTTATCGATTTTTATCAATAAAAATTTTATTTTAAAAAAGATAGAACGATAAAAATTATCAATTTAAATATGTATTTTATAAATATACATTCAACGAAAAAGCTGGCTTCAACTTAAGCAGTATTTTGTGAATAGAAAATTTATTTGTACATCCAAAATTATATAATAGCAATTGTAAATCTTTAAATATAGAGTGTATTTTAAATAGCGCCCACCCTAATTATATAACGTTATTCTTTGTAAGAAACTGAGTCGAAAAATTCTGAACCATTTTTTTTCTACAGTGCTAAATAAAGCACTATAATTACTACTGCAGTAATTACTGCTACTTTTAGCATTGTAGACAAAAATAGTTCTTAAATACCGCTCACTATTCACATGCGCTATTCTTTATAAAAATTGAGTCCTGAATCATTTTTCTCTACAATATTCAATGAAACAGTTTATTGGCGCAGTAATGGTCGCTTCATTGAGCAATCTAGAAAAAAAATTGTTTTAAACTTTTCAGTTTTTTTCACAAGGAATAACTCTATATAATTAGTAGGCACTATTTAGCATACATCCTGTAGATATATTATAATAAACCTAATATACAATTTGTAATTATTTAAACAATTTAAATACATAACGTTAACTTATTTTTCATACATACTTTTAATTTTTTATGCAATTATATATCTATATATACCTATATATATACACATGTATCAAAAGTGTTCAGAAGATTAATAAACACATATGTATTTTATGGTATTTTATAGTAGACTATTTTACTAATAATGTGTGTTTTACACGTTATCTTACAAAATAATGAAATTAGGTATAAATTAAATAATACATATAATATATGTTAAATAATAAATTAAATAAAAAATATTTAATATCTCGTAAATATGAACAAAGGTATCTATTTTGATTTTACATTTAAAATTGATATAAATTAATATATTAATGGGAGATAAAATTCTTTAAGTAATGGAAAATTTAAGACAAAGTATTTATCAAACCATAATATTATGTATTGTTTATTCTATATAAAATTACAGATTTGTTCGGAAAGAAAGAAATAATGTACATTAGTTTGTTTTTATTAATTATATATTTAAATAATAAATAAATTAAATAATAAAAATAAAAAAATAATAATACGTTTTCATTATCGGAGATACATCAAAGAAGATGTATTACATGCGGTAACTAAATCATAAAACTTTCAAATTTATAGTATGTGTCGAATATGATTCAGGTTGGAGGAACTACATCCATTGTTCGTTGCCAACCACCGTATCCACCGCCGTATCCACCACCACCTCCATGATGTTCTGATGCTGTTGCATAGATCACTTCATGACCTCCTCCGCTTGACACGAGCTTTTTTAAGCCGACTATCGCGCTTAAAACTAAGGCCATTTTTGCCGTTAGCAAAGCCGTACCAGCGAGAAAAGCAATTTTTCCATAAGCTAGTTGCGCCATCATGCCTAAACAAATAATTGATGTTCCGTAAGCAAGGTTGGAAAAATCGATTTTCTTCTGTTAATCAATTTTATTGTTAGATCTTCTAGATTTTAAACACCAAAATAAGGAAAAAGATAAAATGAAAATCATTTTCAGTATAGAAAAAAAAACAGATTTTATTTATCGCTTATTTATTCGTGACATTGTTTAAAGATATAGTTTAATAGTATAATCTAAAAAAAAGTTTGACTAAGTTAATTGAATTTTTCATCTTGATTATTGTTTTTTTTACTTTAAAATTATTTCTTCTGTAAATTAAAACGTTAATGTTTTATAGAAAAAGCTTACCTGCTAACACGGCACCTGCTACTAGTATATATCCGAAACCCTTATTCTTTTTTCTTCTTCCTGCAAATATTGCAAATATTTATTTTAATATTATCGCTAAGTTCTTCTCCTTTTGAAAAACATTTTCTTTGTTGAATACCCATTGCAATAATAAATCGTGCTTTATTTGTAACGTTGTAAGGTTGCAAAACTTTTTAAATTATAATTTGCGTTGCGATGATTTAATTAAAAGACAAAATGGATTTTTAATAACATAATTTATTATCTTGAGGTGCTGTTACCTTCAAAAGCATTGCCCGGTATTGTCAGTTTTACGCTTCTCGATGTCAAATATTCATAGAATTTGTTATCCAATTCCTGATCGAGACTTAATTCCGTGCCATTTTCAGATGACATCGAACTGCGACTTCTGGCGGTAGATGATGGATCTTTGGTAATTGAAATATAATCATTGATTTTATATACAGAATCATCTTGGATAGCCGAGTCGAGGATTTCCAAGGCGCGCCGTTTGAAACAATCGAAGGTGTTTTTCTCGTTTGCGCACCGTTCAAATAGATTCGTATATTCACTTTTGGCAGTCACTAAATTGCAGAACACCGCGAGATGAAGGAAATGTAAGATCCAAATCATTGAACGTCGCTTTTCCATCGTAAGCGATAGCGTGATCTACGCGAACTCGTCGATTCTCGTTCTTCAGGTGATCTTGTAGCTGTCTGAAGCACAGATCATCAGCTTCTCCTCCGTTACGTCTTACTCTGTCCTCTCTACTGGTCAGCTCGATAAATCCTGCAGACTACTCGTTAGAATCTGGTTGCATTGTGACTTATATAAGTGTGCACCCATTAGCCTCTCCTACCAACGTATTAAGATTCTTGGTATACGCGCCCGTACTTGATCCACGCGCTGTTTAACGCCATACAACGGAAGGAAAGACCCCCTCAACCAAAACAATGTCGTACAGCCCCGTAAGTAAGTATCCCTCTGACCTGCTTGTCAAACGAACCTTAAAACTCCGCCGCGCCAATCGTCGTTAATAACAACGCATCAGGAGTGGAATGCAGGTAAAACAGGCGATATTCTCCACCCAGATATGATTACAAGCGCAAACCTCTGCATCGAGAAGCAGAAACAGTTGTAGATTTATCCATCAATTTGCATGCATGAATAACTTTACGTGTTACAGAATAGTGTCATGCGGAAATGAGTTTTTATTGTTTCAACTAGTTACTTTTTGTTATTGTTTCTACATACATACATTGGTCAAGTTCAATATCTAATATAAAATAATATCGTCAGTACGTACTACTTGGAAAATTCTTTCGTCTTTTTGCATCTACTTGCATATAATATTCTTTAAATAAAATATTTAACAATTAAAATTAAACATTTTATTTTAATAAAACGAGCAATGATTGCTAAAATTTTATTACAATTGTAATTAAAACTATTAATTGTAAAAGTAAGTGAAGTTTTAGTAATATAAACTAGAAAGAGAGAGTTACTTTGTTACTTAATACATACATACATTAGCTAGATTACATATTTTGACCTAGAAAATATACATTAGAATGCATATTAATATAAGAGGAAAAAAAGGCGTATAATAAGCGTCAAAAAACTACACTGATTTCATTATTAAATGATTATCAAGACGACTTGAAATTATTAAATGTAAATCTTACATACATACGTAAGACAATATACAATGATTAATGAAGATCGAGGAACTCATTAATGTAGCATCTAAGATACTGTTAATCCGGTACAGTTTACGATCCGTGACGAGCTACATTTGGAAAATGACTTAAACAATTACAGTAATGGACTTGATTAACATTGTCCACTTCGTTCAATGCATTCAATTCTCACAATTCTTTTTTTTTTCGAATGTAGGCTGTTTGTCATAGTAGCCAAGTTTGCTATAGTTCCGCATCATCTTGATGAATTCCAACCACACATTGATTGTTGCACGAGGCCAAGTGTTCATTATCCACTTCACTCATCGTCACTTTAATGACATACATAGTACGAGTAATTATCAAGAAGAAAGCGTACATAAAATGCTAAGCTTTTATCACGCTCTTATTACCGAATGGTCTCAATAATATCATTTCTTGCAAAATAATAAGTTCCGTGAATGCCACTTTTCCTGTCTCTCGGAAATTTGTAATCCACAAACAAGCACCCTTAATAAAAAACGAATCTAATAAAAAAAGGTATCTGATTGATATTGCTCATTCTTTAAATATTTCCATATCATATAATTAATTGGAAATCTTAATCTATTCTTAATAGAGTATTCATGTACCTCTTAACACTATTCTATGAAATAAACTGATTAGTAACATACAAAATGCTACATGTGTAAAAGGGAGAATAATTAAATGACGATGGACAAAGACGATAAACGTGTTTAAGCTTTCTTCACCGGTTATTATAACGTGCATTCCCACCTTAGTTGTTATACCTGACAGAGGTTGCTATGAGCACGTGGCCGTATGTGTATTGTGTAGTCGCATGACCGTAAAGATACGTTAGTATATTTTCTTTTACAAAGGAGGAAGAGGAGGAAGAGAAGGAAAAGGAGGGGGAGAAGGAGAAGGAGGCGATGAAGAGAAGAGAGAGAAGGGAGATACAAATGTACGTTTCCCGGATGTAATCATCGCCGTTCTTACGGACGGTAGTAACGTAAGAGCGACGGAGAAAGAGAGAACTGGTACAGTTAGGCGACCGAAAGAAAGGACGACGCAATAATAGACTGAGACTAATGGGATTGCTAAGTGAAAACGTCAGAATCCCGGTGACAATTCTTACTGATGGACAGATACTTGAAACTGAACTTGAAAGTGAACTCGCAATAAAAACATTATTACACAATACAGACAAAGAAATTATCGTTGTTTTATCGATACAAAATGTCATTTTTCTTTCGATTTATTCAATTCGTCTTAACAATACGAATTGTGCCGATAAACATTGATATGATATAACAATGTAACAAAATAGTGAAAAATTTAACAAAGATATATATATAAAATATTATCCTAATAAATATTTTACATTTCTTGTTATGTTTATTTGGACAGATTATGTAATTTAATAATATAGATCATATAATCATATCAATGTTAATAGGAAAATATTACTTAAAAAAAGAATGTTAACACGAATTTGTTCTATTTAAAGAGCCAGCAAATAGATCAAGAAATCAAACGCTTCTTAATATGCCCAATTCATCTTTTACATATATGAAGCGAGATTCGAAACAATGAGATTTTATTTATAAAACAGAACTTTGTTTATGCGAACAAATTTTTTGCTTTGTTTCAACTATACGAATTCATAACTGAGCTCTTATTATTTGGACCATTTAGATAATAAGAGTTCGACGTGTTCGATCTTATTTTTCTAAATGTAAACTTCTACTATCGGAGCTAATAAGTGAATCTATTATATTATCATTCAAATTATATTTGATTATCAAAATTGTTTTGTTCCTCGACGTGTTTAAATAAATGAAATTCTACTGTTCATATAATTAATGCAAAATGAAAAAATATAAAAGTAATTTAATTGTAATAATTGTATACGATGCTGTTATAAACTAACCCGCGTATTAAAAATTTTCCATTCTTAAAAATGTTATTTGTAGATAACATAATAATTGATAAAATGTTTCTTATATTGTAAAGTAATTGAATATGCGTTGTTAAAATATAATACTAAACTTAAATCTAGAGTAAATATATCTAACTTTGGTCATAATTTTTATATTGATTTATTTAAATCTCTTATTAATATACTTTAAAATATACTGCAGCTTAACTATTTTGAGTCAAAAAGGAAATTCTTCGTATTTTGCTTATTCTGTTCTGAATCGGTTTTTCCATCGTAAACATTGACAACTTCCCTAATAACATGCTGATCGTAAGGACTATAGTCCTGTATGGGTCTGTAAGGTCGCTGCGGAAAATGATCGTGATGCGGATGATAATCATAATGGGTATGTACACCAGCCGGTGTCTCGTGTCCGTAAGCATGGAAGCCATTGAACGCATTCCCCGGGTAAGGAGGTGCTGGTGCCCCGGAAAAGATCGTGTTCCATCCTAAAAGACTGATCAGAAACAACGCCATCTTCGTCAATAAGAGGGCCTTCTTGGTCACGATTAACAGGAAACCGAACATAAGCGGGATTAGGGATGCCAGATTGAATTTGAAACCCAATAGAAATGGCAGTAATATGTGTCTGGTCAACTGCCTTCCTGAAATGATAGAATTTGACCTTGAATTTGGAACCAGTTCTGTTGCCTTGATCGTGCTGCCTGCTAGAGGACGTTCACCAAACCGGTTGGAACACGTAACATCTTAGCCAGTACAAGAACCAGCACGAGGTTTGATTCCGCGCTAAGACAACGCGAGTAATTTCGCATGTAACAAGCTACAATCTTTTGAAGCAAGCACTTTGTAATTTTATTTATTTTATATAATCATTTGTTCACAAACAATTCGTAATAGTCACATGTAACTCTTATATTACATTATTTACGCAATTTGTATTAGCAAAGTAACACATATACCTATGTAAAAAATGTAAAATTTACATTTAAAAAGTTTCATATAAAAATCTTCTTATATTTCAAAACATTTTTCTATATTTATCTTTATGCAAAATATAAAAATAAAGATTTTACAACAGAGCAACGATTATATGTACTTAAAACAAACTTTTCTGAATTTAATGTTGTTCATAAATTGTAAATGATAAAAAATGATCAAGCTTATTAATGATAACCAAAGTCAAATGCTCGATTAATTTTGCAGAAGTAATATTATATACAGCTCACCTGTACCAGTCTGTCTATTGCCATACGAAGCAACTCTTTCATTGAGAACAAATTCCAGCATTCCGTTTCCGTTTAACATTGGTCCAATGCGCATCTGTAATCCCGGATATATATTATCCAGATTCCACTTGATATTGCGACGTTCCATCAATCTGGCAGCTGCTTGCACAACATTTCCGAAATCTTTCGGATCGTAATCCAAATCCAGAAGATCTCTGCCGTACCCCTCCGTTCTGTCCAGTCGCATCTTTCCAAACTCCAAACTATCCTTATCGTTTAAAGACTGCAGGACACTTAGAATACCACGATTTACGCATTCGAATGTATTGTGTTCCTTCTTCGCGAGACATACACCAAAAGCTTCGTTGAAACTATAAGAATGTCCATCATCCAAAGTAATATCCTCCTTGGGCTCCGTGATCACTGTAAAACTCGTAGACACGAGAACAAACAGACATAAATAACAGAGTTCGTTTTTCATCTTCGGATCACTGATCTTAACCGATCCCTCACGTCGTATAAACGTGTTCAGATAAAATCAAACATTGGAGAATTGATAAGACTTACAATAAGTTAAACAAAATTATGCAAAATTTATGAATACACATAGGTTTTATTTCAATTTATTTCGAAAGGGCAGGCACAAGAAATAGTCCACACTATACGATAACGGACGCTTAAAAAAAATGTGACTTCTAACACATTTTTCACATCTTGGAACTGTCATAATTTTTTTTATTTTTTATTTTTTTGGAAATTGTAACAGAGAATCCTATCGCACAGACGAGATGCAGAGTAATGAAGTTCCCGTAAAATACTGTTCACGTTGTTCCTGCGATCACCCACCTATATAGGCGACAAGGGGGCGTTCACACACGACAGAACAATTGGTTTCACTCGGAAGATTTTATAAGTAGCGAAAGTATACTTCGCTTGTATTTCGTGCACACGGCGCTTGGTCGATACACCGGATGCACCGAGGAAGGGTAATTTCCTTTGGCCGAAGAATGGAGTGTCGGAAAGATCGTTATATCGTCTTTGAGATTGATGGGACAAGCTTGACGGCTGGGCAAGAAAAATTGGGAACGCAAGTAGCGCGGATATAATTGCCGAATTTGTGAAATCTGGAGCAAAAGCTAGAGATCTAAAGATATCATTCACTAATTACGAGATATTGTTTGGACAAAAATATTGGATTAAATTTTCGGATCTTGTATTTAAAAAATTTTTTTCTAGTTTTTGACATGATATTATTTCTATCAATTTTGGATATCAACTTACTTTAAAAAACTTGATTTTTAACTGCAATTATACATATACATAAATCGGCTGTTTAGTTTATCGTTGTCGTATTAGTATTCCAGAAATTCTTATATCAATATAGTCTTATATTAGGCGGAATTCATATTTTTTGTGGTAAAGGATATTTGTATAATGATAATGGAACAAATATTTGGAAAAAAATAAAATTAAGTCAAATTTTAATATTATACAAAAATTACAATTTATTTATAAATAATATGATAAGTTACATGATGATCCCAAAATGGGTAATCGATATATAAATAATCATTGGATTAAATCTGGTGGTCCCGTGCGAGTACTGACTACGAATCGTTCCGCATACGATAGACGCAGAAGATTCTGAAAGGATACCGCACGAGTATGATGGAGGGGGCGCGACTTCTACCATTCTGACGGGATTCCACTATTTTGAGAGTCTTTTGAGATTCTCATAATCTCTGAGTATGGCTTTTCGTCGTTATCGATGAAATGCTAAGCTTCGTCATAGATATTTGTCGTCATGTATATCGAACCACGGCGATCGTAGTCTCCCTGTCGATTGTCGATTGCGGCATCGTCGTTGGAGTCGTCGAGTCACGTACCGTTAAATCCAGTCCGCGCAAAATCCAGTAACGTCCGTGTCTAACAGTCCTTTGCCCGTCTATATAGAGTTTACGTTCAATATATAGTCGTTTGTATATCGTAAGATAAACGTCCTCGTTGTCGAGCTGAGCTTGTACGCGGATTCCTGAGAAGCTGAGTCACGCCACCCTCAGGTGATCGCCGGATTAGAGACGATCACTTTGGCGAATGAAGGTAGAAAATTAGAAGGGAGAGAAGTTGTGCATAACATTGAGCTATTCGGAAGGTTTATACGCTTTGTACGCAAGATCAGAAGCGGCCGCTGATCTCGCCCAACCATGATGATCGTGATGCACATCGTGTCCGTAATCATGAACGGGGTGAGCGACGACCTCGTAGCTCTGGCTCTTGTAAGCAAGCAGTTTTTGCAGGCCGAGGATCAAGCTGATGATAAGAGCAATCTTGCCGATGACAAGGGCTTTGAAAGCAATCAAAGCCAAAGCACCAAGGGCAATAGGGATAAGAGCAGCAGCTTTCAGTTTCAAGAGGAGAAGGATGGGCAACAGAGATTTAACGATCTTCTTCTTCTTGCCACGAGCTGGAACATAATTCCGAAATATAAATTTTTCAACTTTTTTTTTTAAAGAAAATTTATGGGCATATCCAAATTTTTTAAATTTATATCTTAAATTTGGAAATGTTATATGAGCGATGTTATCACTGTTTAGAAAGTATATGACAGAACTTTAAAACTTTAAGAAAAACTTTTTCTTCTCTTCTTTTTAAATTAAAAATCAGTATAATTTAATTTTACCCTCATCAAAAGAGCGAGAAACGTCTTCAGGAAGGCTCAACTCAACAGTGTGTGTGGATAGGAATTTGGCGGCTCTGTCGACAATGGCTTGATCAATTGCAGCTTCTTTGGCTTCGGTCTCAGCAGGTAAAGTACTTTCAATGTCATTAAGAGACCTTGCATTGTCAGCTCGGCTGAAAAGAAAGAAGTGTTCTTTTATCATGATCATTATATCTGCATACATGCATTGAGCTATCTTAAAGTCTGTTAACAACTTTCTATGCTAATTTTACGATAACCAAACGTTGCAGAGTCAAATAGAATCAAGTAGCATTTAAGTTACATGTTCATTGATTACAGGAGTGATTAAGTGAGAGTAAAGAATTAATTCTCTTCACACAATTTATTAAATAATAAATTTTCTAGTTTTTTCTTGTCTTTTTCTCTCTCTCTCTCTCTCTTTACAATTCTAATTATAATTCTGATATATTTAAAGCGAATTTAAATCGAGTATTACAAAATAATCAATCTAGAATCTCTCGGTAATCAAAGTGATAATTTTTTATGTCTCATATTATGTAAATAATTTTATACACTTTAGTTTAATAATAAATATAATATTTAAAATATGATTTCACGCGTTCACTACACGAATCACCTGCCGCATTTCTCACGTCCCAATTTCACTGAATGTCGACCACCATCTGATTTGATGGTTGGATACCGTAAGACGTACAGATCACTATCTCGAGTAAATCCTCGCTGTCCCTTACCTATTTTTAGCATCTTCAGTCTGCACGATCTTGAATCCGTCAATGATCTCGATGTCAGCCGAGCGAGCGGCACGGTCGACGTAGCGCAGAGCCTTCATCTTCAGACACACCGCAATGCTTGATTCTCCGGAACAGGAAGCGTATACATCGAGGGCTTCCTCGAGGATTGAAGGTGGCGGCGCCGCCGCGACGTCCTGTGACGTCGGTGCAGCGAAAGCGGATACCACGAAGAGCGCGCCAACTACCACGAATTTGAACATCTTGATAGATTTTCCGGACAGCGAGAGAAACACCGAATCGAATCAATTACTCCAACTCCTCGAAACTTGTCTTCACTTTGTCTCCTCTTCCTCACGCTTCCTTGTCCTTGCGATTTCGACTCCCCTTTTTTTCTCGCACGTGAACGTTCGAACGAGTACGGCGATCGTATCGACACTGCCCGAAAGAATCACGATTGCTGCCTTTTATCCTCGTCGCGAAAGGGGCCCGCGTACGTTTTTGAAATTTTGATGGCCCCCACCGGGTGGCCCCCGCCTGCCGCCGGGTTACAACCCATACGAGCTATTGGTTCTCCTCCAGGCGGTCGTTCCGTTTGTGTCGTGTACGTCTCTCGTTGACGCGCTCCTCCACACCGCTGGTCCTTCTCCACCGGCTCTCCTCTCCGTATACCTGTGTACCTACTTAGGTCGTTTGTGTACACAACGGGTGTGTGACTGCCGACAAACCCGCCCCGTGCGTGTGCGTAATACGCAGACAGACGCACATTCGCGAGAACGCGAGAGGAAGAGGACGAGGAAGAAAGGAGAGAGAGACGGTGAAAACGAGAGAAAGATGATGTGTACCTACGCACCATTGGCCTCTTCCTCCGAACCACGAAGATCGGACCACGATCAAATCGAGGGAGATATTTCGGCACGAGTCAAAAGCATTGAGAAAATACCGACACCAAACTTATACTCTAACCAATCGTAGAAGATGGAATGCGGTGTCCTTTAGGAATTTATATTAAAAACGAAGATAAGAATGCGGACTTGTTCGACGACGTCGCGTTATCATTCACCGCGATGTGCCACTGATTGCGATTCTTATTGATTTAGCGATTTCGCGCTAGCCGCTATGCAAATAACCATGGAAATTTACGTGAGACTACTCTCGCGAAAGATTTAGGTGTTACGTCCTGTTTTTTACCTGCTAAATGCAATGGTGAAGATACAGCAGCTGCGACAGGAATTGCCTACTTGTCAGAACTTTCAAAGAGACACATGTGCAATGTGCTATGCATTAAAGATGAATTATCTGCGGTAGCATAAATTATTTGGCGTAGTCTTCTCTCCGAGGATGACTCTTGAGATGACTTGCCGAATTGAGTCACTTGTCATAATTAGTTTCTAGGACAGAATAAGGAGACTGTCTATATTTAATTTATTATCGAATTGTATTTCTTTTATGATCGTGCGTTCCCACTTGCGCTTAAATTTGGAAAAAAAAACGGGACTTTGTCTTAGATTGTTCAATTAACGCTACTTTTATTTCGAAAAATCTTGTGACACCATTTGCAAAGGATCGCATATTGTATTAATAGAAAAGTCGCAGTTATATTTAACCAAGCACTCAGGATAAGTTAGTTTATGATTTCGCTTTCAAAGTATATTACACCGGGTACTTCTATACACTATCAAGTAGATGATACTTCGCTCGCGTACACCTCCACAACTTTCCAACGTGCTTAATAGCCGATGATGGTCTTGCAATCAGATAGCACAGACGTCGCATTGCACGATTCATTATTATCTGGAATTGTAACATTTCTAACGTTTTACGACCGCCGAAGCATCTTTGATCTTATTGGAGGTCACATTTTTTAGAACAATTTTATTCTCGGAATTCTATTTCCTAATAATATGTCCCGATTTTTACTAATAACAGTTATTTTTTAATTATGTCTCACAATATTGCATTCCTCTCGATTCTCTGTTCCGCTTACTCCTCTTACCATTTGCCTTCATTTCTTTGTTTTTTATTCTATTCGTCGCCTAATCCTATAACTTAAACACATAATTTAAGATTATCTTCTTCTGGATGGTACCGATCAATACGATAACTAGTCAATAATCTTTGAAATTAATGTATTCCGATGGCTCTGTCGCACGGAACATTTAACGGTTTTTTACATGGAATGTGCGTGCACGCATCACTGTGGTTCGATCATGTGTGTGAGTTGGGCCCAAGCCAGAGGTTTCCTCCAGGAGGACAAGCCGCGCCTCGCCGCGTCTTGCCTCGCCTCGCCTCGCCTCGTCTCGCGTCACCGTGACCCGAAGGCTTCTTGACTAGAAAAAAAAAATGGAAAAAGGGAGGAGACATACTCAAAAGTATTTCATCGCTGCCAGTGTATCCGTGCACGAGGGAAAGAACTCGGATGTGCGGCTGACTTTCTCCGCGCTTCAAGTTCGAAGATGGTCAAGCGAATCTCTGCATTGATCGGTCCAGCTTACGTTCTCACAGAGTCATAAAATTCGTCTTATCAAAGAATTCGCTTACATGAAATAATATTTTAACACACGACGTGTTATTTAAATAAGTGTTAAATTTTCTAAAAATTAATTCTACAATCGCTTTTTTATTTTATTTATCAAATTTTGACATTAGAATCTAAAAAAATATTATCTGACAAATATTTAAAATTAAAACATCTTTTAAGAAATTTTTCTAGTATTTTTTAAATATATTTTCTCTTTATTGTCTAAAATGTATCTAAAACACTTAAAATTTTTTGAGATGCTATATTTTAAATTTTAATTACACAAGTTTTTCTTTTTTACATGGATGTAGATACAAATATTACACCAAGAATATATAAAGATACGAATATAAAAAAAATGTTTTTAATATTTAGTTCATGAAGATATATATCTGATAAGAAATAAGTATTATTCGCGACCTTCTCAGACGACGTACATATACAATGGATCTCATGGAACTTTCACTTTGTTCTCGCAACTTTTTTTCTCCGCGTCTTGCACGAGAAACGTTTATTCTTTCCGTGCATTGGATTCCGTTATTGTATCACAGTAAAATGTTCCCCGTTGCGATCAGCAGACAAATCTGAAAGTTCCGCCGTCCTTTGCATTGCATATCTATATATTATGTACAGCAAATTAACTTGTACATAGCATCGCGAGCTAAAACGCTAATCCGAATGGTACATCAAGCCGGGTGGCAGCCATGCGCACTCTTGGTGGTGGAACACTTTCCTCTCGTCGACGCCGGCGAGAGTGAACTCGTCCGAGGATCGAGGTCAGGTCAAGGCCCCCACGAAGTGAAGCCTTCGTACTTGAGAGTTCTCGCTCTCCTGCTTGTTCTGCTTCTTCCCATACCTCGTCCTGCACCTTTGTCCATTTGTTCGTGCGCTGATCGCTTCTTTGCTACTTATAAAGAGTTCAGAGCCATCTAAACAAAGTATCGCGACGAGAGAAAACATTTTTTGCTACATATGATGAAACTCGTTTCTCCGTTTACATTCATTGATTGTCGTAATCGTTAGACCGTACATCTTTTTTTTCCTTTTTTTTATATACGATGCGAAAGATAAGTGAAACGTGTATGAAAGTACATAATTTTGTGCAGTTATTATATACGTTATATGTCGCTATGCGGGTTAGTAAAACCATAGTATTGATCCATCTTGCTTTCCTGCATACCGTTGGAAGTGCAAACCCGGGATATGAAAGAAACAGAGAAAAAAAAGATTCGCACCTTAGACGCTGGAAGTACGCGTGAATGAACTAAACGAAAGTTCTCGACTCTCTTTTTTTCTCATTTGCGCTCGCATGCGATGCCGTAGCTTTTTACCTAGCGATTAGCTCCTCTCTTTCTCTGCCTGATGTTAATTTAGAGCAAACGAGGTGAACGAGGTTAAAAAGCTGAATGAAGCCGCATAAATGAATGAACGAAAGCTAATCGTTGGAATGAAATTACATCCACCGGGATGCAAACAATAGGATACGCAAACAGATTAATAACGACCTCGTAATAACAGCGCGCGATACCCGCAAATACGGGTATCCTCCGCGCACAGCTCTAATTTGTTTACTCGCCGCCGAAGAAAGTAGCGATATTAGTACTTTCACGAGAATAAATTTGTGCTTAATGTAAACTCAGTTAGTGCTAATTCTCGTGTATGGCCTACATAGAATACTCTCCTAGTTCGCTCCTCAGCCTATTTCACATCGTTGTTCGGCAATCATGATTGCAATTTCTAGGAATATCGTGACAAGTACCGTGACAAATTGACGACATTTTTACATCGAATGCATAAATGCAGTATTAAAATATCTAGCGATGCATACCACATCCAGGAAAATAAGAAAAAAGAAGTAAAGGATTCTGAATCTCCCGATCCATCGAGGTGACTTTCGGAATTCGAACGTGGAAGGGCCTCACCAGCACGCGTATCAGGAACGGGACTACTTGGTCAGAGATATGTTCTTGAAAATCGACTCGAAACTTCAAGTTTGGGCGAGAGGCGGAGAGGTCGATTGACGAGAACGCGAACGTAGCGAGAAAGAGAGAGAACGAAAGACGTGAACTTGTGGAATACCAAGGAGAATCGGGGGACCGGGCTTCAACTTTTTCTCCGGTATGGTAGAGAGTGTTAGGCGCACCTTGAAAAGACTCAGCGCGGATGCTGACTGGCCCGATCGGTCTGCTCGGCCTGGTTTACTTCCCGAGTGTGTGTCCACTGACTGGTCCCCGCGTACATCCTATACGTACATACACGCAGGCTCTCTCGTGAGCGCACACGTGTACGTTTACACGCTCGAATACGCACACCGCGCACACGGTGTCGTGAACGGAACGAGAGTCGAACAAGTGCGTAAAGATGGATACGTGCTCGCGTGGACACATCAGGTTTTATTCGTGCGTTTCTCATATGTAGGTGATGCCGCTCCTCCTCTCGATCCCTCTACGTACCTACGTCCTATTCTGCTGTTCGCTACCCTGACAATCTTTCTTGAAGAGACAACCGGAGAGACTCGGAGACGTATGTCCAGTTAGTTGCTTATATCGAGATGCTAAACCGTCATTTAAATGGCAATTCATCGCATACTCGGCTTATGCCTATAAAAGCCTTTCTCTATCTTGTGCATTTGTCTCGGCGCTTTCCACCTCCGATATTCCCTCACCCCCTCCATCTTCCATCTCGTCTCGCGCATTGAGATCTCTTACTTTCGATCGAGTCCCGAATCGACGGGCCATCAGTCGGTCAGGCTCCAGTTCTTTTACACGCCTCATCCCCATCGTTTTCTCGCATCCATCTCACTCATGCTCCTTCTAGCGCATTTCGCTCTCTCCCGCTCATTGCTCTCTCCTTGCCGCTCTACGATTTTAGCGCATCGTCGACATCCGTTAGTTTCACCCGAATTTTAAGCATCTCGCGATCAACGGAGAGACGAATTCTAGAGAGCAAGCGCAAATATATAATACTACTATTGAGCATAACTAACACACAGTAAAAATTCTGGAATAATCAGCTACATATGTAGATATATGTTTCATTCAAGGAATATCAAGAATTCACTGACATAGGAAATAAAACGAGAAAATAAAACAGACACACTCGTGTTCGATAATTACAGGCTTAATTTATTTGCGCATTTAAATATACATATTATATATGATAGCGAGCGTATCGCAGTTACGCGTGAAACAATAAATACCGAAGATGATTCGTGCATGAGTGGCCGCGTACGTGCGATGATCTAGAGTGTCCTAGAGTGAACACAACTAGATAGCAGACAGTGAAAAGAGAGATCAGACAGGTGTGAGAGTTTCGTGAACAAGTTTGGAAAAAGTTATCCGAGGATGGAAATAAATAAAAATTACGCGAATAGGGAAAAGAAAATTTCGCGAGAGAAAATACCGATGTGATTTGAAGAGATGCTATGATAACGTTTGAAAAATTTTTTCCTAGGTTGACGATGGTTTGTATGCAGAGTAGGCAATATCATGTCCCGATCTCGCCCATCCGCCCGATCCATGTCCTCCCCCAACTTGAACGACTTCATGTCCATGCTCGTGGCCACCAGATACGAGTTTCTTTAATCCGATGATAGAAGCGAGTACGAGCGCAAGTTTGCTCACTATCAATGCTTTGCCAGCCAACAGCGCGAGAGCACCGAGCGCCAACGGCACTAATGTACCACCAATTAATAGAGGAATAGCAAGAAGACCACCCATTTTATTCTTCTTTTTACGACCTAAAGAGGATAATATGATTAAGATTTAATGAAAAAAATTTTATATAATTATAATTTAATATTTAACAAACGATAAAATAATAGAATTATAACAAACAATTAATTATGTAAATTAATCTTGTTATAATGAAGACTTAAATTGTAATTTAAATCTTTAAATCTTTTAAGTTATTTAAATCTTTATATTTGTTAAATTATATTTAATATAAATTAATTATTAATAAATCACGTTTATTGGAATAATGTTATTAATGGTATATTTTTACCTTCTTCCGTGAGACTACGTTGAAATTCTTCTACATTTGGTAACTTTAGCTTTAAAGTGTGACTTTGAAAGAATTTGGCGATTTTATCGAAAATCATTCCATTAAGAGCGTCTTCTTTGTCTTCCAGTGCTCGGGGTAAACTGGCTTCGATTTCCTGCAGCGATTTTTCTGGCTCGGATTCGTTGGTAGCTGATTCATCTTGGACCAGAGTAACGCCATCAGCCACATTCAATTGTGCGCTTCGAGAAATTCTATCTATAGCCGACAAGAGCTTCAGTTTTAAACAAGGACTTAATTCCGCGCCGGAACATTCCTTGTATACTTGATAGACAGAACGTAAGTCGCCAAATATGCCATTGCTATTTGACCTCGCGGTTTGTTGCTCATTGATGGAATTAGACGTGGGATTAGTTTCGGCCGATCTTGCAGAGACCGCTGTTAATAATACAGCCAGACATACATAATAATGCGCGAACCGTTTCATTTTTCTCAAAGTGAATATCTGTGAAGAAAAATTAATTTAACATTTACTCATTAAATCAATTAATCAATAATCTGATTCTATAATTCAATAATAATATAGGATCAAGACAATAATAACATGATAATGTGAGTCAATTAATAAATAAATCAATTAGCAAAGAATAAAGCAATTAGTAATTTTGTGTATGCGCATGTATGTGTAATTAACAAATAATTTTTGAATAGTTTTAAATTCTAGATTATAAAATTAAATTGTTATGTTATTCATGTCATTAATTAACTGTAATGTTAAATTATAATTAATTAAAATTCATTAAAATTGATAAATTTTAATCAGATGCCAACTTTCAAAATTAAAAGTATTTATGCCGCATAATACTATATATCTTCAAAGTATAATTTCTATTCAAGGAAGTATAATTTTCTTCGAATAATCCAATCACTTTTGCGGTACATAATCTGAATCAACTCAGAATATATTTTTACAGAAAATTTTATATATGTTTTTCGTATATATCACAGGTTTATAAGAATTCAACACTTAATCGCGATCGCTGAAGGTTCAAATGAAACCGCGCAAGTCAATCAAGCACTGTACCTTCCACGTGACTCGATATGAAAATCAAACGCCTTGTCCTTTGCTTCTCCCTCGGCTATCCGGCTGCGTCCACGCGACTAACGACGTCTGTTTAATTTAACACGATGCGTGCCACAAGATGCGTGTATACCTGGGAGCACTCTAAGTAGACTGTACGTAACGGAAGCCCTGCCCTAGCTCTATATATCTGGCCAGGTATACCTCCGTACCGAGCGATATTCTCCCCACCCAGTTAACGTCGGTGTACACCACCATTGCACGACTATTTTCATTCTCGGGCATTGATTTGAGAACGGTTGCTTTTGCGCTTAGACCAACCACCCGGGGGACGAGAGTAGAGAGCAGAATTCCACCGGAACGCGCGTCATGATCTCTCGAGCTCTCCCCCCGGATTTGTCTCCCACCAGCGAAACATTGGACGCATCCAAGCGGTTCCACCGCAGTTTTATCGCGAGAGCAGACTTCTACCGCCATGCTTTCGCGAGGACCTTCTTCTTTTTCTTCTTTATTATCCTCCGCTCCCCTTCCCCCCTCGCCCTTGCCGTTGGTACCTCGCCGAATTAATTCGACCGGTTTAACCGCGCATTTCGCTCATATCGTTATTATTCCGTTGTTCCTTTTGTGCGTGGGCGGACTCCGCTATCTACGCATCGGCTGCCTGGCCAATCGACGCGGTTCGATGCTCCCGCTGTTCTCAGCTCTAATTTCTCGTCGTCACTCGGGTTCATGGAGGCATAAGAACAAGATTGAAAATGAAAGGCGCACCTCGGAACAATTCGCCGTCGAAAACGCAAGATACACACACCAGGTGTCGAGACGCGCGAAATAATACGTCGCGGATGTACAATAGAAAGCGCCTTGAACGACGTTCACGGTCATTGATATATTTGATAAGCAGGAAGCGCAATAAAATATAAAGTGTGTTATTGGCACGGGGCTACATGCCCGTAGATTATTCTCTCCTGTTTATGATACTATAAAATCATTCGTTAAACTAAGATGGCAAGAGAATTTTTAGGAATACATTGCCTCAACTTCTTCCTAGACTATATCGTAATTATTTACGTGAGATTTAGCGGTAATCTAAAGTACGGATAAGCTTCAGCCAGAATATAGGTATGTTTCTAAATACTCGAAAATGTTTCGTGAAGAACTCTTCTAAACGTTAATTGAGACAGTTTAAAGCGTTACTACCTATACAAAATTATCAACATCACATGTGTACGATTGGATATAACTGCATTTCTCATTACGTTTCAAGTATTGGACGCACAGTTATACCTGCCGGCATTAAACTTGTGATTCTTCGGTTCAGCTATTAAATCAAGGTGACAATGTACGTTCCACTTTTCAATGGAAGATCGAACAAACGTTTCCCTTTACGCACCAACATAATCATGTCATCGAAAAAGAGAAACGATGAATCGGCGAATTAACGTATACCGTTACGCGCGTTAGGCACAATTTCTTCATCCGATTAATCATCTAATTCGCACGATGCTTCATCCTTCTACTTGGTCCCTCGCGTATCCTTGACTTTTCATCCTGTCCAATTCGATATACGTCAGTGGACACGGTCTTTAACTAGGTCATACCAAGTGAAAACGCGTTGCATGTAGATACATTTAGACCATCGGCGTTTCCACGAGCAAAGAAACGAAACGGAGACCATCATCACGCAAAGAAAAAAAGCGAAATAATATCTCTATCGTCTATCATAGAATTATCATTGGAGTATAGTTTGCTTTAGCGTATCGTCGCACCACCCCCTTCGCCTTCGTTAAAACAGCGTTAAAACTGCTAGTGCATGACGTTTTCATTGAGTCGCACGCTATTCAAGAAAGCATTGCGACCATGCAGACGGATGCAGAGGAAAGAGAGACGCTTCTTCTCCTTGTTCTCCCTGGTCTCGCGGGCCGCTGCGCCGCCGCGCCGCCGCGCCGCATCGTCGTCGACGCGTCACGAGTCCACGCGACTGCGATGCTGCCGGAACTTACCTGCATAATGTCGCGTTACCGATTTCTCGTACGCGCATACGTGCCGTGAAAATGATCTCCCGACGGCGCGGCGGCGTGGCGAAAGCGACGGATCTCGTAGGACGCCACGATGAGACGCGAGATAATAATCGTGCCCGTGCGCCCGCGGGTCTTCACCGTTTCCGGTTCGCGGAACCATCCGCGCGCCACGATTCTGAATTCCATTTTGTGTACAACCGTTTCGTCGTACGGTGATTTTCTCGACCGGCCCGATACGCGTGGCTGCTCGCCCGATGAAACTGTCGTTATTGTACATCCTTTTTCTTCCTTAAGGCCCCTCCAAGCAACGGAAGGAACAGCATTACCCACGGTATGCAGGTTACCAGTTGTACCTGGCTGCGCATGCGTCCGCTTTTGGAGGGCAATTACTGGGTTAAGTTAAATATCGTAGATGTTTGCCGTGATTATGACACATTATTCCGACTATAGCTATAAATCAGCGGAAAGTCTAGAGAAATCTTATCTAAGCCTTGCAAACGCTTTATTATATATAGAACTAATCCTCGTGAAACTAATAGTAAGTCAAATTAGTGACAATTATATGATATGGAAATACACACTTCTAATATTAATGCAGTTTGTGATATTTAACATATTTTATACGAAATTAATTTTTTTTCTTTGCAACAAAATGAGTTATACTTTAAAGATACCTAAAACATTTAAAATTTTAATTTAAATAATCTCAATTTTTTGCAGAAATAAATCATATATATATATGTAATTATATATTATATAAAATATATATTCTACATATATTTTCTCTTCCAATTTTTTTCAACAAAAAATTATTTTGAATTTCTCCAGATACTTATTAATAATTATAATATAAGTGGGTAACGAAGAATGCGAAAAGAGAGTAAAAGAGAGACAGAGATAAAATTATAAAATATTTCTGCATCTATTGTAAATCTACATTTACAAATAAATCGCTCCTGATCCCGTATATATTATACAGGACTTGCATTTCAGTGCAATAAAGCGTCTGTGCCGCGCATTCTTCGACTACTTTCACCTGCGCTCGCGAACTTTGTCCTATTTTCATTATCTATTTATGTATGGAAAATGTGGTACAGCTGCGCATCCGGTATACAGATCGTGCTATGAGTTCAATAGACCGTATTTCACGGCCTTACGTTACGCTTTACGGCTACGAGTGCAAGTGCAGTGTTATGTATAAATAGAAGCACTCGGTCATGAACCACGGTCACTCTTACGAGAGCCGTAGAACGCGCTGGTTTCTTCGGCCGGGCGAACGCTGTGGGGGAACTTATTAATGAAGCTGTTTTTCGGGACAAGATGGAAGCATCTCATTTGTCGTTTCTTTTTATTACAAAAAACAGGAAGTGTCATATGGAAGCACGCAGTCAAACATCAAATAAATATTAATTATATAAGATACAACGAATAAATAACGAAACGTAATCTACGTATCACGTAATCACGTAATCACGTAAATCTACGTATATAAAACAATGAGCATCTCCCAGAGGTACTGGTGACTGGCCGTGGGATAAATCGACCGTTATTTAGGATAAAGTAAAAAAAAAAAATAGAAAGATAGGAAAGAGAAAAGAATCAGAATATAAGAGATCATGTCAAGCATAAAAAAAGGATAGGTAGAAAAAGTTTTAAATTGAAAATAGCGAACATCGGAAGCTATAGGTAGTGGCATATTTTCGTGGAGTAGAAGATAGACTAGGTATTATACATAGCAATAGCTTAGGTAAGAAAGGAAAAAGGAAAGACATAACGAGGAATGCGGCGAGTGAAGCAGGCGTGAGTGTAATGAAAGGGAAGAGAATCGTCAGAAGAAAATGGAAGAGAAGCAAGAGGCGGGACGAAAACTTTCTATGGTACGCTTAAGCTTGTGGTTGGGGTTGGTGGGCACGATAGGCAATCTCATGAGCATCTTGTGGCAGACTCCTGGCCCATCCGTGTCCACTGCTGCCGTAACCACCGCCGAAGTCACCGCCGCCGCCGCCGCCGCCGCCGCCGCCGTAACCGCTGTGGTCGTCATGGCTAACGTGGCTGCTGCTGTGATGCGGATGCGAAACTACTTCGTAGGTCACGTGCTTCTGGTGAGAACCGAGAAGCTTTTTCAGTCCGATGATGGCCGAGATCACGAGAGCGATCTTGCCCACGAGCAGAGCCTTGCCAGCAATCATGGCAATCGCGCCGAGTGCCAGCGGCAATAAGGCGGCCGCTTTCAGGGCCATGGCCATCATCAGGGGTCCTAAGATCTTCTGCGCCTTCTCTGTAATGTTTCAAATGTTTAAATTTTACTTTTATATCAAAACAAGCGATAGATATTTATTACGGATGTATTTCTTCAAGATAACTTTTTAAATAGCTACTTGATCCGATTTCATTCTATATATAAATATAATTTGAAATCGTATATATATGTTTGACTATTTCTTTCTATATTTTGCTTTTTTTCTAACAAACACGCTTAAAAATATATTTTTGAATTAAAAAAAATTATTTTTTATACATATCTATAGAATTATTTATAATTATAATCAATGCAAATTAGATTTTTGTTGAGACATTTGATTTATTAAAATAAAGATTGATACATACAGAGTGTATGTTTCCATGTACTTCTCGCTAACTATGGAATATGAATATATGAACCGCGAAGTTTAATGCTATCATTACTCTCTTTTCACACTTCTGTGGAGAACGGGAATCTGGGTACATCGTCAAATGTAGTATAGTAGGTATACTTGAGAGTATACGATTTTCGCTCCATGATGCCAATTACTCTGTTACGTGATGTCTTATCAAGGTATCTATATCTGTTTTCACGAACCGAGTAGAAAATAACAAGCAGTGATATTTACGTAAGGAATGCATTTTTTTGCTATTAGTCATGCATTTAGATTTAATTTGGTAAAGATATAAGAATTTTCAATTACAAAAAACTTAACTTTATTAAAATTTAAAACTTTGTAAAAATTAATACACACCAACATCCGTATTAGTTAGCTTCCATATAGGCTTTTACTATACTATATTTCATTTTATTATTTATTATTAGAAGACAATATCATATTTTAGAGAGTACTATTTAGATATTAAAAATTCCATAATCTGGTATAAAAATTAATTAATACGACAAAAAATATATATATGCAAACTTTACGTTTTAATTGAAATGTTATAATATAACGATTGCGTCAAGATAATCCATGCAAATTTACAAATGATGATATAATCTTGAATTAATTTGTATGGAAAACTGATCGTTAATATTCGTATGCTGAAATTAATCATCATGTAACAGTAATTCATAGCAATTCATAAATAGATAAACAGATGCTGAGATATGAAGGTGCACGTAAGTCAATTGTTCGCGCATCATTTTGTAGGTAATAATAGTTGTCTGTAAATCACGTCACGGCGATCACGGAGATGTTAATGTTTTTTAAAGTGGAATAGTCGAAGGTCAAGGCGAAGTACCAGGATGGAAAGTATGTCAAAAATCTTGCGCAGCGGGATCTCTCTCGCTCTCTATCTGTCTCTCTCCCAACCTTTCAGTATCACCGCGTTCTCCTCCTCCGTTGAGAGGTTCAAGGGGAAGCGGAACCAGTTTCTCAGTGGGTCAACGTCTGCGACCGGTATGGGCTTCCTTGTCGTCATCGTCGCTGTTCACACGGCGGCAATGAACGCAGAGAATTCCCATACCGCAGCTGACGTTATCCCGATGAACCGCGATTACTTTTTCGTTATGCGAAAAATTTTCCTTCTTTTTTTTTATTATACCTCCGTATGTAATAAAAAAAAAAACATTTCTATTAAGAGCAGAAGAAGATGAATAGTAAAGAAATGTCTATATAAAAATATTATTTTGTTTATGTATTACATATTAATATAAAAATATATATATATATATAAATTGTATATTAATAAAAAAACTTTTGCCGTTGCATGCAGAAATATGATAGAACTCTAAAATTTCGAAATTATATGATATAAATAATTATAAATAATTGCGTAAATAAATATTTTTCACTGTAAATTTATCCCTAAAAATATTTGTATAAAATAATTTATTCCCGTATAGATTAATTAATAAAAATTCTATAATGTGTCTATTTGATTATAAATTCCGACATTTATAAATGCAAATGTATAATGAGATTCACACTTGGGATGACTCACAGAATTACTCGAGTGCTACGCTAGTTTCGCTTTTAAAATAATCTTTTATTTGCAACTGTAAGCAATCACTGTAACGAAATTTCTCCGAGAATAACAAACTTAATAAAATATATAATTAGATGGTATCGTAACCGGTTCTGTATTACGTTTGAGCACATCTAAACCCCTTAATGTAAGTTTCATCACGTGCTGTACTCACTCTTTTTTCCACGGCTCTCGACAGCATTGTCGCTAAAATCCTCGAAACTGCGTCCGGCAGATTCAATCGCTCCCAAAATATCGCTGCCCTTCAAGTCAACTTTGACTGAATGCGTCTTCAGGAATCTTCCAAGACGATCAAATAATAGTGTATCCAAATCGTTGGATTCGATAGATCTGCCAAAAATGTAAACATAAATATAACGATTCTCTCGAGTTAAAATTTAGCTTTGTTAACAAAGCTCGTTGTTTAAATTACAGTATACGCGCAATCTCAGAGTTCACAGAACGACCGACAACCAACCTTGGAGCACCCTCGCCCTCGGCGTTGGACGTTTTTACGACGGTGATGCCCTCGGACAGTGTGATGTCTTCTTTGTCGGCCAGCATCTTGTCGACAAACGTGAATACTTTATACTTGATGCAGCTGATGGATTCCTTTTTCAAGCAGTCGGTGTATATGCTCGCCACCAGATCGTTCTCACTTCCGCTGGCCTTGTCGCTGGTCGGCAATGCCAGGGTCGCGGTCAATGCCGCCGACACCCACAATAACGTCACGAAATGCTTGGCCATGTTCACCGAAGTACGACCTCACCGCGCTTTACGCGTCTCGTACAAACGACGCCGAAGTATCCTCAAGTCGCGTGCGTCACCGTGCAGTTCGTTTCTCAATTCTTCCGTGCCCCAACGTGCAGGCGCGTTGTTTGAATCAAGCACGCCAGGATGCGCCGATGCTGTCTCGTGTGTTACATCTAAAAGAGGTTGCTTTGCTTTTATACCGAAGTATCGCACGAGGGGAGCCCTCGTGGGTTCGCAGGCCATCGGGGGTCCGCATTCGCGTCGTACGCTCTCTCGTCTCCCTCCTTTCGCAACTCCTCTCTCATCAGCCCCCACCCCTTTCTCTCTCTTGCTCCGTGGAGTGTATCGGGTGCCACAGAATCTCCCCACGCTGACTTCCTCCCCTTTCATTGACCTCCCTCTCGTCATCCCGCTTATTTTGACAAAATAAAAATTCTTCCTTTTTCTCGAAGCGAGGTGAGAGAAAAAGGGAAAAAACGCAATCAAAAGAAGATTGAAAAAAAAAAAGAGTAGTACAAATTTCTATATCGAATACCTTAATATATATCCAACATCCTTTAGCCAGGATGACATGTACTCTCAAATTGCATTCTTCTCTGGCCAGCCTCTCTTCTTCTTCGTATTTCTCCGCCTACTCTTCCTGCTAACATATCCGACATGTTCTCACGCTACGGACCTACTTTAAGTCACATTAACTCGCGATAGAAGGGGAGCCTCTCTGGTATCAATTGGGACCAAATACGATGAGGAAACCCATGTACAATCAGGGAAATTTACAGGCATCCAGGACGACGGAAAAAGTATATGTAGATCCTATATGATTTGCCGCACCATTTCGCCCGACCACCCGCCTACTATCATTGAGAATGTTGTGCGACTTAAATGACCATCGCATATGCAAAAGTCCATATGCGTCGCAATGACGTTGATTCGAGACGCCTAATCAAGTGAAGTTCTGGTCAACTGTGAGATTCCTCGATGATCGTCTGCCTGCAGTGTGCAATTCACGGAACGAAATTCTAGGGCTCTTAAAATGAGTTATTCGATATTTCTCCTCGTTTATTCAAATAACCAGAAGCGCTTCGGCCGCTCCAGATACTTCAATTCAACGAGGCCATATAGGCAGTAGTTTCGATAGGGATACAGTGCGTCGCGTACACCTCTCAAGGAAGATCCAATGTCGGCGGATGCGATTACAAGGTCCATTAGGACGACTGATGACTCATATCGTACAACTTTGGCTTGATTAATTCATTGTACTAAGTAGCACAATGTAGAACGCGAAGAATCTAGATACTAAGTCGCTTACGGTAAACTGTAATTATTTTCGTTCCTTTACGCAGCTTTCCTAACTACAATGGTGAATTAAGGGAATTATCTTGCTATCTGATCGCTTAATTTTAGTCGGAAGTTGCGGTTTACATCGATCACTCAAAACATATAGATAGGAATAAAATTACACAAAGAACATCTCGTATGAGTGTATTTTTAACGTATATCGAAGCCGTTTAATTGTTGCGAATGATGTTGTTCCCTCTTCGAAAATTCATCGGCAGATGATGAACATGAGATATCATCCCTGGAACGAGGTCGCTCACCTATTTATAACTGGGTCGAGAGTTGGGCAATCGTTTTGGTATCTTTCTCTCTCTCTCTCTCTCTCTCTCTCTCTCTCTCTCTCTCTCTCTCTTGCCTTCTTCTCCTCTCTGTTTTGCTTGCTCTTTTTCTTTTTCTTATTCGTTCTTACAGTAACGATGTTCTCGATCCCAACTTCTCTCGGGGATCAAGATCCCCCCGGTACGCGAGAGCGAATGTCGCCTTGAGCGAAATCACACACCTGACGCGGCCTGTAACCCGGCGGATTCTTTAAAACATTAAGCTTCAAGTAAAGTGAACAAAGTATTGAACAGAAAATCACGCCTGTAAAAGCAAATTGTCTCTTATTCTCAATACTTAATTTAATCGAGAAATAATCGACATTCTCATCAACAATTCGCCTATCTGGCAATACATAATTAAATAAGTTATAGTGTTCACTCGTTTTAGCATTATATTTAATGCTGAAAATAGTTGCTTATAATATTGTAGAACTATGATAAAATATTTTTTAGCACGTTTTTCATTTGTCATTGAAACAAAGAGATCACTGAAAGTAGTGGAATGCTTCATTAATGCTTCCTCAGAATACGCCGCAGGAGAGACGGAAAGAGAGATCCCTGCTGGGTGAGCACGAAGAGAGCGACGAGCGAAGAGAACAAGTGATGAGAGAAACCGGGCTCGAATATCGCGACGCTCCTGCGATACTAATTAGTCAGCCGCCGAAAGCAATTAAGCACGAGAGCAGCAATTAGATTGCGTTATAGCAGATATATCCATTCTGTACGTACGACTACGTGACCCTCGCCGTAAGTCGTTGAAAGTCACGGGAAAGGTAACGGTCGCCAGACGATTGTTTCGAAATCGCGGCGCGCTCGGTTAAGTTCAAGGTGTACCAGCCAGCACCTTAGCCAACGTATAATGCCTGTGTATGAGCCATTGAATGCACATGCGTAACAATGCCTCATAAATGCGCCGTCGCTGCCATGTATTAAGACTACAGACTGTCTGATTTGGCAAGTAAAAGTTCATTTTACGAATAAAAATTATCTCACGTGAGAAGATTGTATAGGATTAGATACGCGATAATTGAAGATTAGAAATTAGATAAAGCATGATCAACTTTGACGAGAATTTGGAAGATCGAATGTTTTGACATATAAATAAATAGAACATACGAATGATATACATGGATATAAATTTTTATCTTTAATTCTGACATTATAAATAAGAGTAAAGTATAATCAAGTATATGAATTACTCTCAAAATGTTTTAAATTGCTAGATGTTTGAATTGCTTTGCAAAATGGTAAGAAGATCGATGTTCTATGCCAAGTGACGGCGATATACACGCCTAATAATGATCTAGGAAATCGACCTATCACTAGAAAATCTAGTAACCCAGTGACGCATGAGAAACTCTCGAAACTAATCGTGACGTGAGAACTGTACTTGGATTTAGATACGAGTAAAAGACGCGATCGACACGGAACTTTACGACTCTCTAATAATGAGACGACGAACGCTTGGTGCTATCAACGCGGAGAAATTCCGCTTTTGTGAGCTCGAAGAACAGTTTTATTCATCCGCTTGCACATCCGTAATGCGGACCATAATGCTAATTTTTATGACTTTTTTTTTATTCGCTCTATGCTTCGCATTACGCGATTGCCGAAGAAATACTATTTTCTATTTCCAAAATGTTTCATAAACTGCAGATATTTATAATCTCGTATAAAAAATTGAAGTAAAATTCCAATTAATTACCTGAAATAAATGATTACATAATAAGAATTATTATAGATATAGAAAAACATTTTATATTATTTATTAGACAAAATATGATTGCGTACAGTAATATAAACTTATTACTGCGATCAGTCAGAATTTATGAATCTAAATCCAAAGAAGAAATATTTGTTATTACAGCGTACAAATAATAAAAACACTTAAATATATAATATACACAATTCTAAAAATAAGATACAAAAAATTTTATCCAATAAAGAGAATAATTTGAAGTATGTTAGGGAAAAAGATACTTGTTACAATCTCGCAATCAGTAGTATTAATATAGCGTTGCGCTCGACTGTATTATGAACGAAAGTAATCTCCTCTTCCTCTCGAAGCAATTTCGCATCTTTTTCTCCGTTTGTCCTTCCCGCGACCACGTCGCACGTTGCGTCGCGCATCGTCGTGGTCGTCGTTGTTACCGAGGAGCGTAACGAAGCATGACAATTGCCTTTTTGCACTGGCGCGGTACATCGCTTCTCTTCGCGCCGTTCTTATATCTCATGCTACGTCTTGTGTAAATAATTTATTTTTTGTGATATTTTAACCGCGTACAAATCTAATGTATTTTTATTTAGATATACACTTTTTGTCCGAAGCAAATTATCGATGGATTATTGTCACGATGTTTCTCGCATGACAGGAGTCGTCTACGGTGGTTAAAATAAATCACAGATCTTGCTCTACTTCCCAGACTTACTATTAAATAATCCGTTGCGTTCTTGACGTTCTTGTCTTTTCCGATGACAGTCACATTTCTTCAGTTTGTGTAAACGCTAATTATCGTTGCCCATACCGTCATACATGCTGATCAGTACCGCATCCTAGAAAAGACAACGTTATACCTGCACATACCTATTGTCGAAGTAAAATTCTTTTTACTGCATTCAGTGAGGTTTTAGCATAGTGCGAGGAAGAAACACACCATTTTGCCTCAACCTCCTTTCCAGCTATTTATTTTTCTTCTATGTGGGACTTAAGGACATCCGTCTCGAGAGATTTAGTTGTATGCCTATCCTCTCGACCCGATTAGGAATGATGTACGTGTGCCGTGACCTCTCCTCGACCTCGGGCCACCACGGATCGAGGAAACAATCGACTTTGCCCGGATGCACCTGAGACATGCACTTTCCCCTGCAATCGTACGAGAATGCCGAGAGTCAGCCGGCATTTCCATCTCGTCGGCTCGGTTTCGAGCGGCCGCTGGCCGGATGACTCGTCAAGGAAGCAGAACACTCGCGATGTATTAACGATTTCGAATGTGCTCTTTATGCAACGCGGCCGCCGCGCGCGCAGAGTTTCGCTCGTAAGAAAAAAAAGAATGTTTCGGACCTTCCTGGAAGACTGGAAAGTTGCCGCTACTATCACGATGATTTCTCTTTTTTGAAGCTTCTCCTGTTCATGAACAATTTGCGTTAAAAATAAAAACAATAAGAGCTTCTTTAAATTAGTGGACTTAATTGCCCAATCAAAATTATCATTTCAAGATTGAAACACTTTCACTGTTATCTTGTAAAAAAGAAACAAACTATGAAAATATATAAATATAGAAAAAAGGATTTCAATAATTAACACATTTGAATTTTTTAAGTACTATTAATGAATTACATATTACAAAGCGTACAGATTCGTAAGCATATAGCTAAATATGCATATTGGACATATGTTGCATATTGGACATCGTATTGGACTAGATGTAACTGTGAATTAACTGCAATGAGGAAGTTCTATTACATAGATTGTGATCGCGCTAAAACTCGCGCTAAAGTCGCGATGGCGAAGTCGTAATACATACATATACGTAATATCGTATTCCGTAATTAGCGAGTTACGTCTTCACCAATCATACGTGTGTGACTAGCCTTTCAGTTTGATTATATTTATCGATCTATCTGCATACGCGTACGCGAGCGAGTGTTTTAATGTACATCACGAAAGGGCCAGAGAGATACCCTATTCACTATTAAATAATATTTAATAATAAAATAAATAAGAATAAATATCTCCATGATCGCATGAATAAAGATCAACGTGAGACTTAAGTCATCCGATTTCTGCCAACATTTCGTTCTTCCCATCGCCCGTTGTTCAATGAAAAAATGGAAAAGAAAAAAATATATCAATGATCGTCATTAGTGATGATATCCAGAGTATGCTTGGCTGTGCGCGTGAGGATCTTCCCATCCTCCGGAAGAAACACCGTTGGCCCATCCACCAGATACCACGGGACTGGACCATCCACCGCTGACGGGTCCTGACCATCCACCGCTCCAGCCATTATTGTACGGAGTGACGTCGTGATGGTAGGTTTTGCCTGACCAGAAACTCCTCAAAGCTATGAAAGCGGAGATGATGAGGGAAACGACGGACACTTCGATCGCCTTCTTCGCTAAGAATCCGGTAACGAAGTATGTGAGAGCTCCCAAAATACCAAGCTTCACTTTCGCGGCAATCAGGAGGGGCAGAATTCCTTTCAGAATTCCCTTTTTCTTGCCTCGAGCTAGAATGTTAGAAGAGATTTATTAAATTAAGATCAATCAAATTAAGTTATTCGTTCAAATAATTGTAAGACACGTAACGTTAATTTAATTTTATTGTAATACGTAAATTGATATAATAAAGAATTAAAATGATTTGCAATATATTTATCAATTCTAACGCTACCTTCAACAATCTCGTCGACGGCCTGACGAATTTCTGGCGGAGCAGACTCACTGATAGCACGAGCCGATTCACGGATCTTCTCGAAAGCAGATGCGAGATTAATCTGAAAAAAAATGGATGGCTTGAATTTAGTCACGCCGCGTCTCTGAATATAAGATAGCAAAAGATAGAAAAACTTTATTAAAATTATCAAAATGTTATTAAACTGTTACACTCTGTGTATATATAATAATCTCAAATTTCAATAATTTTTAATGTACCCTAAGACTGCGACCGGTCAAAAATTGTCCAGCTTCTTCGCTAATAAAGTTCTCAAGGGAGTTCTGTCTTTCCGCGATGTCGCTAGCACCTTCCATCTCTTGATCGTAAGCAAGTTCTTTGCCAGACCTGGCGTCAGCATTACTCTTTACAAGGCTGACTCCTTTTACAAGCTCTAGTTTATCCTTGGCGAAAAATTCCTTGGCGGTCCTGTATAGTGACTTCTGCACGCAGGATATGCTGTCTTGCTTCAGACATTCGTCGATGCTTTGTCCAGCGGTGAAAACGACGACGGTCATCAAAATCAAGATTTTCTTTGGCAGCTTCATGACTCCTTGTGAGTTTCACAAGATCGTGTGATAAAAACTTGATTGCAGTACGACGCGTTTGTACAAGATAAAGGAAGTTCGTAGATACCGGTGGATCTACGAACTCAGATTTCACCGAAACTCCGTGTGAAGTCAAATTTCGTGTGGTCCATGGGACAATCCGTTTAGCTTATATTTAGCGGCCCCTCCTTTACGGTCTCCATCATAGACTGCCCCACCGGCTCCTTTTTTTCTTCCTATTTGGTATGCATGAATGCGTGAACGTCCTATGTGTGGTACATCTGTTTAACTGTATGTGTTCACCCAATAGACGATAAGTGTACCTATGACCGAGGTTCGACCACGCCGTCTATCAAGATGCGACCTGCGACCTACCTACGACAAAACAAATAGAGGCCGGGCGTATAGGTGCTATGAGGGACGTCTCCAAAGCTAGTAAAATCGCTTTCTTCCAACAACGTCTTCTTAAGCATACTAAGCTTAAGCTGGACTAACTTTACATTGCGATACGGAATATGCAATTTTTAGTTGAATGCATTTGATGTAGAATATTGAGATTTTCGACTAAATGTGAATGTAATATATAATAAATTTAAGAAAACAAGTTATACAATATGCAATATCACATTATTAGCAAAATTACTCCAACGGTATGATTGAATAAAAAATTGGATTAGATATAAAATATTTCTACCTTCATACACAAAGCATACACACACATAGTAACTTTATTTATCACTTTATTTTTTATCTTTACTTTTACTGAATTTTGTAAATGATATGAGTTTAAAAAAAACAGCATTTGCATCATATAAAAAAGAAATAATATTTGAATATAAAAAAATTATAAATAACTTTATATTTGTTTTTTTACACTTAAATAACATACTTTAACTACTTAGATTTCATAATTTTATGAAACAGTACATATAAATATGTGTGTGTGTATGTGTATGATAATTAATTTAATATATAAATATTTTAACACACTGTATAAGAAATGACAAATTATTAGTTTTTAAAATAGAAATTTCTACAAATAAAATTGTGCTCGCTTTAGAGATATATGTGTGTTTCTAGTTTGTCCTAATTATTTTACATTTACATATTCAAAATTGGAGAACGGGTGAAACCTGAATTTCAAGAATGTGTTAAATCTCATGTAAATAAATTCTCGAGAAAGCTCTTTCAACGATCTTTTAAATTTCGGCATTAATCGACTTTGGTAAATGTCGGATATATCGTAATTTATTAACATTGTGTCGATATTCATTATTATCTTCAATGGGAGACAATAAAAAACTTGATGAAATATTATGTCTCAGCGTACCTACTCATTTTAAATTGCGGATATTATTTCAATTGAGTAGAAAGGGTATATGTGTGTAATTATGAAAACCTAAAAGATCTAATTGCTGAGCTCGCGTGGCAGTAATTATTAAACGCAACCATTTAATAAGTTACATTCTATTGCATTATACTTCGCCCAATAAATAAAAAAAAAGCGATAGTAAAAAATGGGACAGTCGAACAAATAACGCAATCTTTATATCTGAATAGATCCTATAAGTACTCTTACTACTGAAAACCTCATTTGTGAAAAACACCAGTACGCCGGCTCGCGTAAGCGAATAGTAATATAACGAGCGATAACTTAAGTAGTTCAACTAGCCTCCTAGCGGTGACAATCAACGTTGCAGTTCAAGGAGAAAAGCCTTGAAATTACCGTACATGCTCTCTCTCTTCGTACACGAGTCCTTCGTGCGTGCGTCGTTCATTTAAGGAGCAGATATCGGGCACGATCAGCATGAATGAAAGAAAACTGGTATAGATCAGGTTCAAACATCCCGGATCCGACCTTCATTGCGGCACACACGGACACCACTTTCTATTCCGACCCTGCAACTCTCACGGGCCAACGGATAACGCCTCTTGTGATTTTCATTTCGTTTCTTCCTGCGGGGAGTGTAAAGCGGTACAATGCGAGAATCAAGAAAACCTTTGCAGTCAGCAGGCGTGTATGTGCGGCGTGGGTTTAAATTCCGAGAAAGTGAAACCGCCAGTGATCTAACAATAAGACTAATTGTAAGATTATCAATGCGGCGGGAACACTTATTAGTTCTGTGACTAGTCAGAATTTCCAATTTGCGGAAATGTAATCGGAAATGTATGTAAAATATAAAATATTTATCTACACTTTGGAAAAAAAATATATTAAAAACACAAGATATTAAACTTTTTTACTTATTGTTAGAAAGTATTATATTAGACGTTTTCTATAGAAAGTGTGTTCTCTCTCTCTTTACTTTTTTTTTAATTTGTTAAATATATGTAACTTAGAACTTTAAAATGGGAAACATATCTTTCCATATATTTCTCATATTTTTATAGTATACAACTTAATATTATGAAAAATATAAATTTCATTAATAAATTTGTCAGATTTTCTAACATTTACTTTTTTATCATTTTACGTATTACAATCATTACTTTCCTTTATTAGTTACATATTAAATAAAACAAAGTTATGACGTAGAACAGAGGAAGTGAAAAAATTGTATGCATTGTACATTCTGTGTCCATTTTCTGCTATTATTAAAGATCACACGCGTCTCTGTGCTAATTTATGCGCATGATAATTACGGAGTAAGGAAGGAGCACTCTTGTCTTGAACTCGGTCAACGAATACTCTCGTCATAAGAAGGGATTCAATGAAAAGCAAGTTCAACAACAACAGAGTTCCCATCCCCGATCTTACGTCAATGCTCATTCATCCTTTCTCGGTCATTGGGTAGCACTCAGAATCCTTTCGTCGATCCTTCACTCCCAACAGAAGAGCAAGCCTTAAAAAGTAAAACCAAAGTTTCTCCTCTGTACGTAAAACGACAGCAATGATCGTTAAACCACAGGCACGCCCATCCCAGTAAAATCACTATGCTTTGCGCGACGAGGAATACAACGTTGTAGATCCGACGTATGATTCCATTCAGTGAAATGTGGATTAAAAACGGATATTTCGATTAAACAGATTACGCCAACTCTCGCTCTTGTCACATGGATTATTATTAAAGTGATTACTATTAAAACGACATATTTATACTCAATTAATTTCTTATCAAAGTATTAAAAAATTTCAACGTAAGATATTAAAGACATATTGTACATATAAAAAATTGATATAATTTATTTAAATCAATAATTATATTTTAGCAAAAAAAGTCGAGAAAATTTATATTTAAATCGGCATTTTTAATTTTCTCTTTATCTCAATTTCATTTTCACAACGATAAATATACTTGTCCTATATATGTTAAAGTAATTAATGTTAATTAAAATAGTTTTTAAGTTATAGTAAGAATTAAGTATTACAAATATTTATTAATTCTTTAATTTTCAAAATTTTTTTCGTTAAGTCCCATTTGAAAGATTTTCTCTCTTCTAAATTTTTTATTTACTTTTTCACAAAAAATCACTCTCTTTTTGACTGCACTACCAGTTTGGTACATGTAAATGTATACATATTGAGGTCACCGACTTTCGGAGGTCATGGTATCTTTCCAGACCAATATGCCAATGAGTCGAGATGTTCCCACGATATCTAGAATTCCGTGTGCAAAGACAGAACTACTCAAAAAGCGTATCGATTTAGGACAACAACGTCCATAAAAGCGTATCCAGCAACCGTGTTGCGTTTCCTGTCCTAAATCGAAAAGAGCCGGTGGTCTTCGATATTCTAGCCTTCGAACTTGTCAGTAACTGGTTTAATGTCTGTCAATCGATTGTGCTAGGAATTTCTGATGCAATGTTCAATTAATTCTACAATGCCCGTTGGCCATCGACATGCGTACGACCTGAAAAATCGACCGGTAGCCAACCAGATCAAATTTGAATTTTAAATTTCCTTACGAAGTTTGTAATGAGTGTGGAATGTAACGGGGCACTCTTCCGCGCCCAACTGGTTCTTCTCGTCTATGGACCATAACGCGGTTGCTGTGCCAGAAAACGCGGTATATTAATTCTTTCCACATTGAGCATTACAAGCAATAGATTATAAATCAGCTACATATTAGATATTAGTATAGGTTTTTATATTAATAATGGACATTAATAATGATAAGAAATCGTCTTATGTTATATTTCTAGTTGTAATTAATAAGAGAGGGCAGGACAGGTTGAGTATCGAGCAACATAAAAGGTAATTCAAGTGACAATAGATACGTCGCCCATTCACTCCTTTGTAGTTGTAAAAGTTATCGGGAAGGATCAACGGGAAGAAAATGAATCTTGCGTTTCCATTAATCACCGCGTTGACAGTAATTGCAATTCATTACTGCTTTCATTCTTATTAAATATAAATTAAATGAACCCGATTCGATCATTCGTGCGTACGTACATAATGCACTACTATCTTCATATTCTTTCTATAGTCATAAGGAAAGTAGCGCGATGTATACGGATATAAAATTAAGCATAAAAATTAGATGGTAAATTTTGTGAAGCATTTGATTTGCGCATACGCAGCGAATTATGAATTAATTGAATCCGGCATTCCACATATAAGATGGTGGAGTTGTAGCAATTGCAGACTGCAACATGTTGAGAAGAAGCGATCGGCTTCGTTCGAAACCGCATCGCCGTCTGAGCTGCTTTCAACGCGAGTCTCCACGTTTTATGATATTCGAAACGTAAAAAAGGAAACGATCGGTATGTATGCCAGTGGGTCTTAGCCGCGGAGCTCTTCCTTCCCCTACCGCGTGGAGAAAGAAGGAGCCGAGGACTGCAGTGGGAGGGATCCAACACAGAGAAGAAGCGGCATAGAGAGATGCGTAAAGAGAAAGAGGATCCGTTCCTCTTACACCGCTTGATCGAGCCTTTCTTCCGTCGCTTCCTCTCCTCTACCCCTTTCTCCCTCGCCCCCCGTTTTTCCTTCCAACGAGCTCTCCAATCCGCTTCAGGCTTGGATCCACGTGCACGCGTGTGGAAACGCCACGAATAAAAACGAGCACCGGCATTTGTGTCTACAGACGTGTTCTCGCAATTTATCTTTCAAGTCTGAAAGACTCAAATTGGCTTTCTCGAGATTCACACCGAATTCCTCGTACAAATTGCCGCAGAGTCCCGCTACATTCCAAACTTAAACGACTCTAAATTTCATGAAATACGATCTTGAATAAGCAAATGTATGAAACGCATCAGTTTCATTATTAATCAGATTCGTTGCACATCCGCGTCGTACGGTCGCGTTAGCTAAATAAGCTTAACTTTCGATGCGCTGTCTCCATTAGTCTACTTATTCTTAGGTGACATTCGCACGGACTATTATTAGTTTTGCATCGTGTGCGTACGCGTTGCGCGACGAACGTCGCGTTAGCTAAATAAACGCTCATCCAGTAAACGCAGGTGAATATGCGACACGGTAGGTCGCTGGCACACTTTCCTCATTGGCTCGATTCGTTACCTCGTTCCTGCGATTTTCCAATGTTCCGTGTGCAAGTAAACGGGAAACATCGGCGGGCTCGACCCAGCGAACCGTGTCGCTTCATTTCCAAGCCTGTTACACGAAATGTCTTATTAATTTCTAGTAATAAGCTATGTTACGCTGGCTTGGCCGAAAATTACATACTAAACGCTGCTTCTGTTTAAATTAACTTAAAGTGATTTATGTCTTGCTTAACGTGTTTAATTAAAAAGCAATGCAATTTCATTATAATGTCATTAATAAATATCGTCGAAGCTTGAAAACAGTCGCATTTCAATCGAGATGGTAATAAATGCGAACACAATATTTCGTATCTTCCAAACACGTATGCTTTATTAACATGTGTTGCACAATAATAAATACGTGGGTAAAAAAAAATAAATAAATAAATAAAAAAGTCAAACAACGTACTTTGGTTTCTTCGGTGCGTGTCTGTGATTTTTCACTGAGAGTCCTGTCAAAGTGGCGGATCAATAGAGATCAATTACCACGTTTCTCGTGAGCAAGCATTTGTTAAATATCACTTTCTACCGTAGCTGTCAATCAGTACCCCAGTCATTGTCGTTTCGTCGCTGTCACTGTCACTGATCTTGCGTCGCGTCACGTCTTCAGTCATTTTCCAGCGCCTATTAACCCTCCTACCGCGACTGACGTTTGCAGTTTTATAAACTATAAAGGAACGAAAGCCACGTTGTGGAAATGTGGGGTGCACGTTGTGTTAAATGAACGATGTGACGATGATGATAAGAGGACAATGATGATGTGACTGAAATGTAAATTACGTGAGCGCAATGTCAATGTGCCGTTGTCAACGTAGTCGTATCTAGTCGTATCTATCTGAGAAAAGCTCTAGTAGCGATAAGAGAGTTAAGAAGCTGGAGTACACCAATTCAATCTCGCGAGGTTGGTGCAATTAACAATCAAAAGTATCAAGACGGTCCCAAGTTGGCGTAAAGATGGGCGTATCCTCGGTAGGGCAATTGTGTGGCGTCAACATCTTCGAACGATCTCTTTTTGCGATGATGATGGCCAACTTCCTGCGCATAAACGACGTGGTGGCCGCCGTGATCATCGTGACCACCTGCTAGTTTCTTTACGGCTACGATCAGTGACAGCATCAAAGCCAGTGCCGAAACCATCAACGCCTTCATGGCTAAAAGACCCAATGCGCCGAAGCCCATAGCAGCCATCATCTTACCTAAATAAGTTAGAAAAAAGTGAATTTTTAGATTAAAGTGAGCAGAATTTCAATTATGTATAATACGGAATCGAATATGAAATAAGATTATGTCAAAAACATAATGACTAACAATACATGTGTAATACACGTGTAATAATAATTAAACGTAATGATATGTTTATGCATTCCTCGTTTATATAATTAAATAAATAGAAAATATAAATTGGAAACTACAGTATAAACTTTTAAATAGCGTATATATTTATCACAAATATGTAAAATCAAAAATAATTATTCAACATTCTCAAATATTTCAATAAAATTTACGGAATATTTGCGCACGGAGCGAGACATAGCACTTAATATACATACACGTCATTAGATAGAATGTAACGAATACTTTCACATAATTATCTGTTTCAATTAATCACCTCTTTATACAATAGTAATTATTCACGAACACTTACCCATCATAAGCATCATTATAATGAGCCCGCCGCCACCGCCCTTCTTCCCACCTTTGCCGCCGCCGAAACCGCCGCCGCCGCCGCCGCCGCCGCCGCCGAAACCGCCTAAACCTCCCTCGCCTTTCCTCGCTAAAAAAAAATTTAATTTTCAGAAATTCTCATAAATTTCTCCTAAAATGACATTCGCGTTGCTAACGAATTACAAACCTTCAGCTTCGGAGGGCAAGCTCTCCTTCAAGGCAGTTTCGAGATTCGGGGGGAGTAAGGACGGCAGCTTGACTCTCAATTCTCTACCTTCCAGGAACTGTAGGAAGGGTCCGAGACCTCCAAAGCCCTTTAAGACTCTAGCCTTTCGGGTAGAACCACTTCCAGGCACCTCGACAAGAGATACCCCGTCGAACAGTTCGATGTTCCGTTCCTTGCTGGTGGTCTCCAGTAGCTGTTGTACAATCTTCCGTACGATTCGCACTCCATGACAAGAGACCGACGCGTTCTTCGAGTCCTCCGACGTGCACGACGTTGAGAATCCGGTCCATGTGTCCTTGCTTTCGTTCGTCGCGGCGTCGATCGTGTCAACGATCAAGAACGTGCAGATCGCCAACGCCAGACAAATGTGCAGACGCCGGTGATCGTTTCCCGGTATGCTGTCTATCCAAAGCATCGTTCGTCGTGGAAACGAGCGTGTCACGAAACAAAACGATTTGGGCTCCGTCGAAATCGCGGCGGGCCTTGATGCCTGCGCTTTTTTACGTCGTCAAACCACCGCGCGTGGAAACTATAAGGGAACGTCGCGTGCGTACGGTGAAGCTGCGGAACCTACGGCGGAGGTCCGAGTGCTGCAACGTAAGTGCTTGCAATTCCCATTTATATAGATCTACGTGAGGGTCGGTGATTGTACCAAGAAAAAAGCAAGGAGAGCATCGGGCACGATGGCCGCCGTTCTCTGCTCTTGCTGTGCATTAGCCGGTAATTTTTCGTTCACTTAGATGCCGGTCTCCTCGACGATTCGTTTAATTCTTGTTTCCGACGCGTTTCAGAGCGTTACGGCGCGGTCGGCTTGCGAGAGCGAGGTTCCATCATCGGCGCGGATGACGCCTTCACGCACCTTCCGCGCTCCCTACTCCCTACCTCCGCCTATTTCCTTTACCTGCTCCGCCAGACGTAATCCACGTCTAGCGAGATCTAACTATTCTAGATCACGTACTACCGGCTCCCGGATCATTCGATACCGCGGCTCTCTTCTTCGTGCCATGGCTCCGGTTCTCCTTCCTTTCTCTCTTTCCCGCGCTTTAGTAGAGCGGAAGAGAACGTACCGATTTCGAATCGTGATCGCCGGTATCGATCGTAACGCGATCGTACGCATCTCCGATAAATAATAGATGCGAACATACCGTGTCTGAATCCATGCGAGAAACCGACATGAAATGTTGCGCCTCGCCGTCGCCGATGGCTATGAAGCGGATTATTGGCGATCTTATTCCGACACAGGTAGATCGTGTCAACGTACACGCAGGACGACGAGGAGGACGATTCCCCTTACGTATAGCGGGGAATGCGAGTAATGCGAATGTATGTGGGAAGGGGCCAGGGTGTGGAGGAAAACGAGAAAGAGGCAAAGACGTCGACGAACGAGGATGACGAACGCATGAAAGGAAAGGAGAGATGACTATCCAAATCTAGTTCATCTCCATGTGCCTTTCTCTTCTGTTCCACTTCCCCTCGCATGCCCAACGCCGCGATATATACGTAGCAGAGTCTGGTAGGTATAACTACAGCCGGTTCGAAATCATTCTTCCGTTCCACGACACGACTCGATCGCATACGGACGATCGTGATCGACTACATAAACCTTATCGGAGCACACGTGGCTTTAAAGACGGCACGATCTATTAAAATTAGATTAGCGTCCTCGAAAGCAATTGCGATCTATCGCGTGTACACACACGCGGAATTCACACTTACGTACCGAATATGATAGTTTTAATTAGTGCACGCTAAGCTGTGCTCTGTTTACTTTGAAACGCGGATATTTACAACTGTATCTGTTACATAGGTATTTGCATTTGTATTTTAGTTCATTCATAAGATAAAGGTTTACTACAAATTTATCTCACGCGGCGTAGTGTCGGCATTAAGTATATTTAACGAACCGTATCACAATTGTATTATCATAACATTATTGCGTTACGAGATTTTTGCATTTAAATGCCGCCTCTTCTCCCCTCCCCCCCCCCTCCTCTTTCTCTCTCTCTCCATTCTTTCTGTACTTCTATTTCGTCTGACACGATACATTATATCTAAATCTGCTAAATCCTGAGGAAATGTCCACTACAAGAATTTGGTAAGTCTTAAAAACCGGAGAGCTCTTTGAACTAATTCAAATTTCTAATTCAAATTAACATAACGATATATAAATCGTCTACAAAAAACTATTAACTCGTATTCAATGCTGTTGATTCAGTTAGATACAATTGCAAAAATTTAAAGTAATATTAACATTCTGTAAAATTTTATTGTTATGATAAATTAGCATTTAATATTATTTTTAAGATCAAAAAAATAAAAAGATTATTTCTCTAAAAGAAAACATATTGAATAAGCCGGTACCGTAATAATTACGCGATAACAGGTCTTTCGTAATGAAATTCAACCAATTTTCACCACTTTGCTCCGTTAGTATCTCCAATCTAGATAATTGCATCTCGAACATCTCGAACAAGAAAGAATCCAGGTTACCGGCAAAGATTGACCTACATATAAGAAATCAACAATTAATTCCAGATCCGTCCACTTACCATAATAATTTTCCGATATCAATAGTGCTGATTGCTTGCCTGGCAATAAATAGTAAACGATTCGGGCACCGCCTACTAAATACCAAGCGGTAACAGTTTGTAATAACAGTAATTGAGACAAATTCAAAAAACAAATTTATTAACGAACCAACATCGGTATGTCAACGATATCCGTATACGATCGAGGTTTTGAACACACCAGACTTCAATTTCTTTCTCCGTCACGCGTGCGAACGGTTTCCGAAAATGAAAAAGAGAAAGAAAAAAGGATAAAGAAATTGGGTCAAGTCCGCGATGCCCCCGTACGTCGGAAATCGAAAGTCGATTTCCTGAATGGTACGAGATAAACGGTACTCTCTTTCTGCCACGCCATATCTGCTTTATCTCGTGGATATCCTTCGGATCCTTCAAAACCGATCAGGATGGAGAAAGCGGACATTCTTAAATGGAGGTCAACTTATTTGAATGAGAAATGTCCGGTGTATCACGTGGTCCAGACAGTTTTCCCTTCGATCCGATAGACGTACCCAATTCCTCTTCAAACATACAAATTTTTTATTCTCGCTTGGATAAATGTTATATATGCGTCCTATAGATATACATATACGCAAAATCAAAAATAAATAATATGAAAAGTACATCAAAATTAAATAATTGTATTATTATGCCGCATATATTTCAAATTGCAAATAAAAAGTTTCGCGGTATTTTTATATGTACAATAACATGTTACAAGAATTTACAGTGATTCGTCTACTAAATATATACGTCAGAAGTTAACAAGATAATTACACGCCTAGACATCAAAATCTCTGGCGATTAAAACGTTGTATTTAACATTTAATTTAATATGTTGGTGATTTAATTGCTGCGAAAAATTCATGTAAAATTTTTACTTATGTAGTAATATAATAATAGTATTAAATCTTGTGTTAAACTATATAGAATGGAATTCAAATATTAGATATAAATTCTTTGAGAAACATAAAATTATTAATATTTTATTAGCGAAATTTTTATCGCAGCTTTAACACTTTCAAAACATGTTAATTAATATAACGTTACATGTTTTACAATTATTAAGTCTCTAATTTTTTTACCGCACGAATTCGCAACTTTGTTTTGTTAAGTAGCCGAACTAACGAAATGAATCGCCTGGACATGAAATCGCGGTAACTTTTATTCTCGTGTCTATGCTATGTTTTGCTCTATCCGGTCTACAAGTTGTCTTAAATAGACCACGACTAACGATCGTGACTAAAATATTTGCTGCATACAGTTGTACCCGTATCGTTCGCAGGGATTTATGTTTAGCGTAGTCAAGCGTATCTATTTCGATTTACTAGAAAGTTATTTTTCTAATGACATCAGTCATATAAAAAAGGAGGCCAGATCTTAAATTTAAATATTATGTAAATCTCTCGACAATTATATTCAAAAATAAATAGCGTATTGAGAGATTACAATATAAGTAATCACTATCATTTGCTATTAATTTTCGTATATTTTACTAACAATCTAAAAACTTTTAATTAAGCAATTATGCCTAAATTTTATTGTGAGAAATAAAAAATAAAGGAGATTTGCAGGGTTAAATTTATACAATAGGCATATACATGAATCAGAAGGGTGCCCTCAAGAATTTTATTAAATATAACAATTAATTTAATATTAATGTCTTGTTTTGAACTAGAAACAAATCTTGATTTTATTTTTATTTTTAGTTATCGGAGCATATTATAATTTTTTTTAGCTTTATCATACATATGTATAAAAAGAAAAACGACATATACAAATTGTTATACTTAACGTATAAAAATAAAATTTGCTTATATTTATATAATTATAAATGACAAACAAAGTTGTATAAAAATAATATATAATTTATTTGTTTATAAAAATAATATAAAAATATTATTATACATTTGCAGTCTCATTATTCGGACAATTATAAATTAAACGTATATTAATTTAGTATATTAATATATTAATATAAATAAAATATACATGCACTTTGTGTAGTTCAGTCATTATTTTTCGTCATTGTGACACAGTTATTGTTCTTCTGTTAAAGAAGAATCTATATATCTTGTCCGTCTGTTGTGTCAAGTAAATCACTACAAGACTCTCTGTTGAAGATAACACATTTCAATTTAAAATTTTTAGAGTAATAATCATTAAATTAATTACACAGTATATGTGTAATTATTTTACTATTTACTAATTATTTACAAAAATAGAGACAATTTAGTAATATATTTCTCTCTTCACGATCACTAAAATTACATAGAAATCTCCGAAAAGCTGATGAAAAGAGAGCTTAGAAAGTTTTTAATATTATGTCATTCTATGATATAAAATCTTGATTTTAACCTTATTTCATAACATCTTGTGTTCTGATTTCGAATAACATTTAACGTTAAAAGTGATTAGCTGTAATAAATGTAAAATTCTTAATTTTAAAAATCTTATAAATATATAAATGAATAATAAATATAGAATGAAAATAATAAAAGGTAAACAACAGCATTCTCTCATGTTCATTTAACCGCGCACATTTAATGTCAAATGCAGATATATTATAATCTGCAGCATTGAATTTGATCCATTTAGAATGAAGATTGTATTCAACATGAAATGACAGTTATATCTAGTGTCAAATATATGGTAAGAATACAAACTGAAAGTAGAATAATCACGTTTAACGTTTAATGCGAACATACAAGCTAAGCTCTCGAGATATCACAGATCTAAATACTGTAATGTGAGAAGCGAGAAGAATATAACGCTCATGCGTAATTTGATGTTCTAATGACGAGAGTCTCGCAGTATCCGCAATTATATTCACAAGTAGAGTCGCGAAAGTAGGTAAGATTCTTGTGACGCGTATCCTCCATACGTACGCATCCAAGAGTTTCCTGCCCACGTATCCGTAAATCGTGATGTGACATCCTGATGTCGCCGTTGTCATAAACACGTGCGTCGTTGTGTGTCATTGACGTATTCATGCGTCGTGCAGTCGTTCGGAAATTTAGGTATAATAGTATTAAAGAAAAAAGAGAGAAAGAAAAGGTGAAAGAAAGTTAAAGAGGATCACAATATTGACGATAAAAAAAATGAAAGAGAAAAAAGGACACAGTAAAATAGATAATTATGGATAGAAATAAATATTCTGTGGAATGTAAATCTAGCGGTGATTCAGAAGAATACGTTTGGTACGGATCCAAGAACGTCGCACTTCTCATCTCAAACGTCGATCTCGGCGATTTTTGGATCCTGCTTCCAATGGTAGGAGTCAATCACTTCACGTGCGCCGCATAAGCCAGCTCGTGAGCGTCTGGCTGTCCAGGAATCGGCGTTTGTTCGTGGAAACTTCTCGCCCACCCGCTGGAGTAACTATCGTGGCCGCCATGGTCGAACGAATGACTCGAGCCATGGTGAGGATGCGCTACCACCTCATAGGTCACGTGCTTTCCTTGCGAGAAGAGTTTCTTTAGACCTATGATACTGGCCAATAGAAGCGCGATCTTCGACAAAAGGAGAGCCTTGCCGACCAAGAGGGCAAGAGCCTTGAACGCAAGACCGCCGATGAGACCAATTTTCAAGACGGCTGCGGCGATTAACGGACCCATATTGTTCTTCTTTCCACGGCCTACAAAAGATGGAACGAATTACGCTATTGTCACTTTCGGTTAGTCAAGCAGAAAACGAAGAAACAACTTATTGCAGATACATAATTGTACTTTCCACGGAGAAAGCAGTAAAGTTCGGTGATGAGCAGATGAATGAGCAGATGAACGAGCTAAAGGTGAAAGCTATTTGTTTATGCAGTCGGTGACACAACTTTACTCATGTGAAAACAGCGAAAATTGAAATTAGTATAAAAGTAATATGTCATTTAAATATAAAATTATTTGATGATGATTTCGATAAATTTCGATAAATATGCTACTTATCAAAATTATTATATTTAATGCTGGCATACTTTTATAATAGGAAAAATTCTAATATGTATTATAACTCTATAATCTTTTCGAATAATTAAAACAAATAAAGCTCTGCAAAAAAGACAAATAGATAATAACATTTTACATGAGTTTAACAGAATTCTATCTCAAAGCTTATTTTAAGTTTATTTATATCAAATCTTTAAAATCTATAAAAATATGATGTCTAATTAAATTAAATTTAATATAGCAGATAAATTATTTAGAATGCGTTTACTGCAAGTTATTGAACCCGGTACTCAACACTCAATTAAATATATAATTGTGTTTGAAATATCTTTTAAAATTTTCTAAGAGAATATAGTTATAAAAACTATATAATTACCATCTTGAACGGGTCTATCGGCGCGTTCAATAGACAAGCCCAAGTTTAATGAACCGGTCTCGTCTTCCGATGCAGATACAACGATATCGTCTTCTGGTAGAATTCTCCATTTAATACTTCTCGATTTGATGAAGGCGTAAACTTTATTCGCGACGAGATCAAGGACCTGAATCTCATCGTCTTTGCTTCTGCCGGCCTCGAACGTAATCACATCTTCTGACGTCTGACTTGTCTTTCTGATTTCAATGTCGTCCGTGAGTTCGATCGAAGCCTTCTTCAGCAACTTGTTCATGTATGTCACCAACTTCAACATCACGCAACTGCTGATGTCGTTTTGGGAGCATTTCGAGTTGAGTTTTCGAAGAAGTTCTTCCTCGTACTTAGCTCGATCTGTTAGCGTCACAGACTGCTGCTCGACGACGCTTATCTTTTCCTTCTTCTCCAGAGGATTGGCCAAACATACACCAAGGCCGAACAACATCAATATGAAAATCGCCTTCATGATGCTTTTCTGCTAAAACATTTCACGATGTGTAATAATCAATGATCTTTGAAAGACAATCATCGAAAAATGTTTAATTAACAATACAAAGAATTAATCAAAATTATAAACTTTTTATTTTTGTTTAAAATAAAATTTAAATTTAATAAATCTAAAACAAGTAGAAAATTTAAAAAAGATTAAAATAAATTTTTAAAAATAAGATTCCACACAGTTACATTACATACAAAACAAATCACAAATCACAACAAATCTCCGATAAATGTAATACTTAACGCACGGCAAGATGCTAATCACATGTAAGGTGACAACTGTCGACGCGTATGCCTTCGAGACGCGACGTATACATTTAATAATCCGCACAAGTAACGGAAATGATAAAATGCTCTACCTGTTGACTTCGAAGCCTTGAAAACTACAGAGGCGTAAAGAAGGGACAGACGAGATTTGCGCGAGAAATCAAAGCTGTGACCCTTCTCTCGATTCGCTGATCGATCAGCTGATCGATACTCGTATCACGAAGAATCCTTTTCAACGCGCTTCTCTTCCTATTTCCGATACGTAGATGAAGGAGTAGCACGAAACTTCTGAACTCGCGTCTCGCCCCGTCGAGTTTATATACGTAGATCTCCGCCTTAGTAGACATCGAGGTGTGCACAATGTCGTCGCAAGTTGACCCACCACTTCCCGCAGGAAGTATACAGAGGCCCCCTGCAAGGCGATGACGGGGCGGATGGCGGGTGGCGATGGCTATGGACGAATGGTAGTGGTGCCCACTTTTGCCTTTAATACGGCTTTGAGACTTGAGAGCGGCCGTAACGGCTTGGGCTTGCCACGATAGACTCAGATAGTCCTTGGTGGTGGGATGAATCGCTTCATGACTACCTTACAAGCGCGTAAGAGAAGATCAAGTCGATACCGAAGCTGAAGCTTGTCGTCCTTTGCTCGCAAACTAGTTTTCCCGCGGCGTGCATATACACGACACCCGGCGACGCGCAAAGGAGAGCGTCGTCGGCGTACTTTTTTCTTAGAGGGAAGAGAACGGCGTCGTCGTCCTCCTGCGTGAGCGCAAACTGGTTCCCAGCGATGCATGGTGCACCGTGTAAACCGGCGCCGTAAACTCGCGAACGAGTAGCGGCTCATCGCTCGCGCGTCCTTGTGTGTAGGTGAAGCGGCATATACGGCGCTCATGTACGGCGCGCGATTCATAAACAGCCGCATGGAAGCATGATGCGCGAGCCCCTGTAGTTCTGATGGACCATTACCCGACCTGCCCGCCCGCGAGAACCGTGTCACGGATGTAGAGCACGCACGCCATCCATCCCCGACTCGCGAATGCGTAAGCGTCTACCTTATATGAGCGTGCGACTCGCGCGGCACGTTAATCGCAGCTCTAGCCGTGTCTTTTCACGAACCTCCTCTATGCACTCATAGACTTTTAGGGTAGAGAGACGAGACTCGACCCATTGAGCGGTGTAAAGAAAGCCGAGATACTAGGAAAGCTGGGATAAACGAGCATGGTTCGAGGAAGTTACTGGAGCAGAGTAGTCCGGCGAGGAAGCGTCCGTGCACTTTAAATTATCTCATTTAATTTAATTAATTTTCCAAAAACCGTGAAGAGCTAATGACCGAGCCGTGATGACGGTTGCATATGTCAGATTAACATACTTCGGCGACGTGGCGGTATGCAGATGCACCGGATATACGTTTGTTCCAGAATGACAAGGATTCAGGGTATTGAAGAGAAACTCCAAGACATATCGGTACATTCGCAACGCTCATGCGTGTACATGCCTATAGACAACGTTATATCTAATCACACGCGCGCGCGCACACACATACACACGTATGGTCTGACGAACAATCGGGCAACTCTCGATTAATTTTATTGCTTCCGTTGTTCCCGATATTAGATTCTTATTGAGGAGTAAGTACTATCGAATGTGTTGACTTGCCATTCATTAACTCACTCGTAAATCTGCCTACGTCATTTCGGTTGCAAAACGAAATCAAAGTGTAAACGCGTAGAAAGCAGCGATGCGTTACAACAATTCCGAGGAAAGTAAAGAGAGGCAAGGAGAGACGAGTGAGCGAAGGTATCGTCAACTGCACATTTATCCTATTGCATGTCACACGTGACGGATATACGAGCTGAATGCTATTTAGGAATCATTCAGTAATATTTTCCAATAAGCAAAGATCATTAATATTTTATTAGACTTGTAATACCTATTACACAGCTAATCTACAATAGACAAGATATATAGAGTTAAGAAATTGTTCTAGAAAGTAACTACATATATAATCTACAAACTAAACTAAGCATTGCGATGCACGTTTCACGCGACTGCCAAGAGCTTATTAAATCAAATTTCATTATCTTGACGATTAATCAAGTCGTACATGATATGGTTTAATTATTCTCCCCCCTCCTCACACACACACACACACACACATACCCATAAAAAAACAAACTGTTACATGGAAAGAAGATTTCTCACTAGACTTGTCTGGCAAAATACATTTTTCACGAGATGAGTGTGAAGATATATAATCCATGAAGAACGATATTAACACCGATGTCCACTTCGTAATGAAAAAAGTTCACATAATCTATCTAATTAATTATAAAGAAATTCGTAGACTTCCGTTTGTCTAAAATATTTTATTGCAATAAATGATCGCCGTAATTATATGACAAATAAAGTAAACAGTCCATACATATATATGTTCTACTATCAGATTTGTGTCAATATAAAAATGATCATATAAAACATTGTGTGTGCATATATATATATATATATATA